GACAGGTGGGGTGGAAAATCGCAAAACGCATTGGTACGAGGCCGTCAGCTCTGCACTCAACTTTCCATTTTTGAAGGCAGTCTCGCAGAATTGCTTCGTTTCTGATGTTGCCAAGTTCAAAAAGTGAGGAAGTGTCGCAAAATAGCTGCGTTTTCAAGCTTGCAGATAGACAGATAGATAGATAAACAACTACGACGGCAACTACAACAAGTATCACTACACTACACTACTACTACTACAACTACAAGTACAAACATATCACGCCACATTACACAACACTAATTACATCTAATTGCGCTACACTACACTAATTACACTATGTATACAACTCTACTACAACGGCTACTACCACGGCTACTGCTACTGCTACTACTACTACTACTACTGCTTGTATTACTACTACTACTACTACCACCACCACTACTACTACTACTACTCCTACTACTACTACTACTCCTACTCCTACTCCTACTACTACTACTACTACCACTACCACTACCACTACCACTACCACTACCACTACCACTACCACTACTACCACCACCACCACCACCACCACCACTACTACTACTACTATTACTACTACTACTACTACTACTACTACTACTACTACTAACTACTACTAACTACTACTAACTACTACGACGACTACGACGACTACGACTACGACGACGACGACGACTACTACTACTAGTACGCAACACTACAGTACAGTACAATACACAACACTAATTACACCACACCGCAACAACCACTGCAACTGCAACTACGCTACACTAATTACATTCCATTACATTACAACTACAACATACAACTACAACTCCACTACACTACAACTACAACTACACCTACAACTCCAACCACAACTGCGCTACACCACACTACATCCAGCAGTTGTGGTGAGGTGACCACTGCAACCATTGCAACCACTCCAGACAACACTAATTACTCCAACCACCTTTCGGTCCATCAGTAGATTCACTCTGCCATCCGTGAGTCAAAACAACCAACCCTTCCTATAGGTTTCCTATTTTTGAAACTTCCGCCACCGCCTTGTGCGGTACTACTAGTATTTAGTAATAAAATCAAAGGACTGGATGATCCCACAAGTCAACTTCTTCCAATAATCAGAAAAAGTGGTTGAAGCGGCACGGAGAAAGCAGAAAGGACAATGGAGATGGTGGAGGATCCATAATTTAAAAAGTTGTATGTGAAGAGTTGTGTGTGTGACAAAGTTGTGCGACCAAGCGCGCCACCAGAGCCAGCCCAGTGCCATAAGAGCCACGCCTGCCACGCAAAACGAAGGTCGATGTGAGCAAGTGCCACGCCTGCCACGCAAAGTGACGGTGGATGTCGCCAAGTGCCACGCCTGCCACGCAAAGTGCCGCCAGATGGTATGTGACAAAGGTGTGTGTTGACAAAGTATGTGACAAAGTTGTTTGTGAAAAGTTGTGTGTGTGTGTGACAAAGTTTGTGTTGAAAAATGGTGTGTGACAAAGTTGTGTGTGAGCAAGTTGTGTGTGACAAAGTTGTGTGTGAGCAAGTTGTGTGTGACAAAGTTGTGTGTGTGAGCAAGTTGTGTGTGAAAGAGAGTTAGTGACAAAGTTTGTGTTGAAAGATTGTGTGTGTGTGAGCAAGTTGCGTGTGACAAAGTTGTGCGTGAGCAAGCTGTGTGTGAAATAGAGTGTGTGACAAAGTTGTGAAACATGTGAAACAGTTGTGTTGAAAGATGCGGTGTGACAAAGTTGTGTGTGTGAGCAAGTTGTGTGTGACAAAGTTGGTGTTGAAAGATGTGTGTGACAAAGTTGTCTGTGAGCAAGTTGTGTGTGACAAAGAGGCGGAGGAGGAGGAACGGGATACAGAATCAAAAACAAGAACCCCACACAAAGATGTGGGGAAATAAAAAATAAACTTGTGAGATGGGACCCGCCCTAATAAAAAACCTCCAGGTGGCAATCTATTTTTAATTGATAGGGGGTTGAACCCATTGTTTCACGATCCTGTTCTCCTTTTGATTCTCAATTACCACAATTAAGAATCCAATTGTGCCCAACCAAAAAACAACAGAAGTGCCACACCAATCATCACAAATCCTATTTTTTTTTATTTGGGGGAGTTTGAGTAATAGGAAGAAGGGATTGAATAACATCCGAAAAAGGTGTTGAGGGACACTGGCACACTTCAATCCAACTCTTCAAAGGTTTCCAGGAATCTTGGATTTTTTTCGGCGGATGATATGGATGGGGCCCCCGTTGGATAGCGTTCAGTTGCCTTATAAGTGGCTTAACTCTATGGTTTATGATAGATATAGCTATAGTTAATGGGGATTATAATGGTTCATAAACCAATTTATAACTGGGAGACCATCCAAATACGTGGCTATTGCCATGCAAATAAGACCAAAATGGGAGCTGGTCATCATTTTGCTCAAAATCCCGCCCAAAAAAAAGGCAGATGGAATCCCTCTTTTTCACGGTCCAATCTAGATACTACCCTGCAAAAAAAAAACAAAAACACATGCATTGCTGATATTTTGGCATATGTTCCATCAAAATCTCCGCCCAGATTTGGGTTCAACTATCCCAGTTGGCCCAGATTTCTGGCGTGTCCATACCAGCCCCCTGTCACGGTGTCAGCGCGGTCACCTGGCTTAGTTCAACTCCTTCTGAAAGGCTCGAGGCCCTCACCGGAGAATCAAGTCATGGATATGTCACTTACCCGGCCTGGTAAACTAACAGTTTGCGAACTGGTAAATGGCCATAGAAATAGTGAGTTTTCCCAGCTATAAAATGGTGATTTCCCATAGCTATGTTAAATTACCAGAGGGTCATTTTTCAGAAGGGAGGATCATGGGGGGTGAAGGCGTGCACATTGTAGAAACGCGCATGTGACTTGCACTGTCTGCTTAAAATCATCCTGTCTGCTGATCTGCTTCCGCTCCTGGAAAAAAATGCAACATCAACACTTTCACCACTCCGCCCCCCACGGTAGTCCGCTCCCTAATTTTTTCTCGACTTGAACGCCAGGGACATCCCCAAAAAAACTAGCAGCACTAGCAGGTGGCCAATCATGCCCCCCCGCCAAAAAAAAAGGTAGTATAACTAGTATAACTAGATGAATGATCTCTTATATCTCATTAAGCCATGATTGTGTCTGGTGAACATCCCATTTTCCATGGTTCAACCCATTGAAAAAACATGGATTTACTACATCCCTCAACAAAACTGACGCCGCTCCTTCGGTTGTTTCAGGGCTCTCGGCGTGTTCTCCTCCTGCTGGGATTGGAAGAAGCCAATGATCGCTCATCGCAGGGGCTCCGTGTTCGTGTGGCATGTTGATTGGGATCCCCAAAAAGGCATGATTTACCCTCCAGTAAATTAACATAGACCCTGCCAGATAGGGGTTGGAAGATTAGTGTCCATTACACATTGGTGATTTTCAAGGTCTATGTTTATTTACCAGAGGGTATCATGATTTCAAGGGGAAGATCATGAACGATTAAGAAATTGGTGTTTGGCAGGAGGCCAATTTTTGGCTATGAGGATTAGAAGGGATGTCGGGGTGTCCTGAATAATTTTCCCTGGATGTTCAAAAACTATGACAGTCTTGGGGCATCTTTTAATTGCAATTTTCCTGAACCCAATTCTCGGAAACAATATCATCAAAAAAAGACGTAAACACCTGTATGCACAAATGTCAACATATCCATGATGGAAGTGGGACACAGGAAAGAACACCATGGAGGCAAGGCATGTTGAGATTCCGACCAGATGTTTCTGGCATGTTTTGAATCTTTAATGGGGATGATATTCTTTGGGCAACTATTCACCAACCAATACCAGCATTTGAATGCCGATGTCTACAGGTGCCTCTTGCAGAAATGGTTCAACAAATTTCAAGGGCTTGTCACCACGTGCCATGCCACCATCGTTCTGCACATGCTCTGGTATCATCCAACTTGGAAACCTACCAATATAATTACATAATAGAATCAAAAAAAAACAACAAAGAATCAAACATAAGGGATGTTGGAAAATGTTGGAAACCACTGGGATTCTTGTACTTTTTCACGGATATTGGACATCAACAGACCTTCAAAACCAGCCCGAAACCTCCAGTCCGCACCAGTGGCTGCTGAAATCCGCACAGTTTTTCTCCGCCGATGCGGCGGCGGTTTCTGAGCCGTCTCCCACCCCTCGCTGGACTTCGAAGCACCATGGATTTGCCACACGATTTCTTGCACCCACAAGCGGCTTGGCCAATCGAAGACTACCCTTCAAAAACGATGCAACAAGAACAAGTACCCTCCAGTAAATTAACATAGACCCTGCCAGATAGGGGTTGGAAGACTAGTTTCCACTATAAATTGGTCATTTTCAGGGTCGAACTGTTAATTTACCACGGGGCAAAATTGGATTGCAAAACAGAAAATCGATTCAGTCCCCAGAAGGGCTACATGATGAAACTAGTTTGTAAATGCCACCATTCTATCCAGTTGGTTGACCCCGTGGCACGCTGGTGCCAGGGTTTTTATCATTGCTATATCACACACATAATCACACATACACAGATATTATATAATCATTCATACATATATATATACTTATAAGCCTATCCTGATCAGGCTGGTTTATGTTTTGTTGGCCTTCTGACTTCGAAGTGATTCCCAAGAAGTCCAACATTTTCGAGGTCTGCGGCGGGAACTCTCGCAATGGCCCCATGACGGTGGCCTCTGTTATAGCACTCCACAACTTTGAGGGATGCAACCCGTATCAATCGCATCCCAAGATGCGGTTCCAGCATGTTCCTTTGTGGGTTGTCTTGACTAAGTGTTCAACTCTAAAAAACATGACAGTCTTGGTTACCTTGGTTTCTGATGGTGCAAAAATCACATGGTTGCGTGTTTCGAACGTGTACAAACATCGCGGTCATGGTTTGCTGATCACATCACTATTTCTTCTTGAGTGTGGAGGAAGCTTCCCGGATGACATCTGCATCACTTACAACTCCCTGTCAGAATTGCAGGGGCAAAATCCTGAGCGACGGGCTGGACTGCGAAGGGTTTCTCGCCACTGGCCCGTTGGCTTTTCTTACGGTTTCAAATGGATTACAGCACTCCCCCCTAAGAAGGAACCGACGCTTCTACACAAAATATCGACCAAATCATTGCATAGCCAAGGTCTCTTGGTTACCTTTTCACAGTCGACCAGGAGTATTGGTATGACTTGAAACTTGAACCTGAAAAACAAGAAAATCCATCAAAATCCCAAACATGAGTTGATTCTCTTGGAATTGACAGACACCAACAAATTCAGCAACATCAATGAGTTGGTTTCGGCTGATTTGTTTGATCGAATAGCTCGTCCTTGAGCTCCGTCTTTGTTGGGAATATGAATGCCCCTAGCTCCAAATCCTTCCCCAGTAAAATCCCATGAAATCCCCTATGAAATCCCATGAAATCATCACTAGATCCATATAAATCCATATGAATTCCATATTTTATCCATATTTTTCATGGTTTGATTCACCCCAACGGCTTAAAAGAAGAACCCAAGCTTCGGTAGGTGCCACTGTCTCCCGCTGCCCCGCAGCGGCTGTCGCCATCCGAATGGTCGGGGCCCGACCAGCCGCAGTGGTGTCCGTCCGTGCTGGGATCGTACCTCGAGTGTGTTACCCTCTGGTAAACTCACATAGCTATGGAAAATCACCATTTTTAATGGGAAAATCCACTATAAATCACCATCTTCAATAACCATAGTGATTTAGTGATCTAGTGATGTATTCAAGGGGAATTTCAGGATCCTAAAATGGAGGTAGTGTACCATATTTTTGGCCATATTTTGTGGGGATATTCCCTGAAACATAGGCCTTATATAGGCCTTAATATATGGTAGGTACCTCCAATTTGGGTTCCTGAAATGGCCATTGACTATTGCAGATGGCCCATTTGTAGTTGATCTACCATGATCTAGCTATTTTTTATATATAATGGTCATATTTTCCATAGCTATGTTAGTTTACCTGAGGGTACCCATGTTTTACCTATCATTTTTGCATGTTTACATGAGGATTTAATGGAGAAATTATGAGAAATTTATAAAATTGGGATGTACTATGAGCACAGGGATATGAACGACTGAACTCTGGAGATCATGTTTGGTTGGGGATGTTGGGGGTACATTATTATCTAAACTGGTAAACTGGTTGGTGATTTGGAGCTATCGGAAGCTTTCTGTGGAAGTGTTGTCATGCCCCCTGGGCCTTTTTCAAGGGGCTTACGCGCTGAGCTCAGGGGTTGGTCCATGGTTCATCGAAAAGATCTGTCAAAAACATGGTTCCCATTCAAATGCAATAAACACCAGATTGTCGGTTAGTTAAATTTCATGATATCCTCATTGCATCCCCACTATCTCCTAATTATATACCCTTTCTCAACAAAATTATCAAACAACACATATGGCTGAAGTTGGCTAATCAAATCGCATTATATCATATTATATCCCCATCATGCACCCAATATTTCACCAGTATTTACACATATTGCTAGCACTATTGTTGTCCCAATGTACTGATTGTTTGGCAATACACCATTTCATCCAAATGATGTCCCTATGATTCCATCAAATATCCCTCACCTTCTGGTAATTTGATGTAATTTGTTGACATAGCTATTGAAAATGGCACAGTTCTAGTTGACCTATTAAAGATGGTGATTTTCCACAGCTGACTGTTAGTTTACCAGGCTATTTCCATTGATTTCCCACGAAAAATCCACCGAGGTGCTTGGCACCACCTGCCTGTGTTGTTTCGCAGCTCTGCCCAGCCAGGGAGGCAATATCCTGGTGGAATCTGTAGCCTTTTGAGGCTCAAAGGGGAACCCTGGGAACTGAGAAATACATCGAGCTTCAAAACATCCTACATTGATGGCTATTATTTCCTTAAAAATGGTACATTTCTATGGTTATTATATCGTTAATGATGGTTAATAATAACCTGGTTGGTGGTTTCAACCAACCCCTCTGAAAAATATGAGTTCGTCAATGGGAAGGATGACATCCCATATATTATGGAAAATAAAAGTCATGTTCCAAACCACCAACCAGATAGGTACTATTTCCTTAAGCTATAGATTCCCAGTAGGTTCCCTATAGGAAATATACATCCTCATTTTCCCATCAATGTACTCTGCTTCAAAATGAGCTTCCAAAAAATACACATGTTCCCTATAGATTCCCCAAATCATTTCGGGTGGATTTCCCGGCGAGAAATGTCAGCTACCCCCCCATATGCACGATCCCCAAAACTCACAGAATTGGATGATGGGAAAATTGAATTGAAACCAGAGAACCCTGTTATCCATTATTATCCTATTTAGAATAAGAAAACCAATCCATTGACCATATCTTGTGTTTGGTGATTAACTCACCATGAAATCTCATTATTTTTTTTCTTGATGGTGAACATATGGTTCAATCATCCCTATTGTTGATGGTTAAATCCTGCATTGAATCCCTCTTGTTCATGTTCCACTCCCCATACATTTTCGATTTGTTGCTGATTAAACCTCCATGAAATCCCGGCCGGAGCTCCACCATGAAAAATCCCTCTTGATTGATGACTGTTGATGGTAGCCCCTCCATCAAAACCCATTGAAATCCATATTCTTCATGGTTAAATCCCATTAAATATATATACTAATTGCTGGTTGACCTACCCCCCTGAAAAATATGAGTTCGTCAAATGGGAGTATTGTTCCCAATATATGGAAAGTCATAAAATTCAAGTTCCAAACCACCAACCAGTTATGATATACCATTTATAATGGTTATATATAAATCCCCATTAAATCCCCATTAAATCCCTATTTGTTGCTGGTTCCAAACCACCAACCAGTTTTCTCTTCATTGGGGAAAAATCGGCCCTGCAGCTCCCTCCCTGCCCTGCGCACCTGGAACTCCTCCTCGCTCTTCGGCCAGGCCTCCTCACGGCATCCCGAACGCGAAGCGCAGGTGCTGTCGCAGTTCTGCCCCGCAGCGCCCTTCACCTGGGACGTGAAAACATTGTGCGGCAAACGTCAGTTACGGGTTGTATGTATATATATATTATATATATTGTATATATATATATGCTATTGTATATATATATATATATTGTAGATATATGCTATTGTATATGTATTGAAATGTACTGCATTCATATATATATAGATTTTTCAGCCTGAATCACTGGAAGCACCTGCCCGGCTTTGAGCAGCCGGACCCAAGTGATGGCCACGCAGGGCGCGGCCAGACCCAACAGCAGCAACGTCACCTCGGGGCACGAGCTGTTCCCGGTGAAACATGTTGGTTTATTATAACCCCCCAACAAAGATAGGAAAACCATAGGAAAACCATAGGAAAACCATAGGAAAATGGTGGTTTAATGGGATTTAATGGGAAAATTACCAGAGGGTAAATAGTAAGCATCTTGCTAAAATAGTGGAAACACACCTTTTGTATCCTTTTGTTCTGTCTTTTTTGAGATGTGAAGCTAGCTATTTCCACCCATTTTTGCTAGGGGAGGGCCACCTAAGTCGACTTGGGCTGATTGATCCCATTCATAAACGCAGCTCTGCATCGTTTCGCCAACCATTCTAGGTCATCCCCAAAGGAACCCTAGTTGGTTTTATACTCAAGGTGGGTCCCCAAAACAATGATAAACAGTTGTGCTGTTGTGCTTAATCAGTCTTAATCATAATTAAATCAGCTCAAAACCACTCTATCTGATAACTATTTATCACATAGTTTTCGTTGTGTTTAATCAATCTTAATCACTTCGCCAGTTTATAAGTTGAAATATTAAAGATCAAACATATTGAACACCCCCCAGAAACCTTGCTTCACTAGGGGATGACATCACATGTTTGGGACCATGCAATGGGGGAGTTGAATATGAACGGATATTGTTATCGGTTAAATCACCCATTTAAGGCATATTATCCCACTAGATTCCAGTAAAATACAAGTTAAAAATGTATAAAAATCTATATTTATCCCAATCTATTAATCCGAAAATGGACAGGTTGCGACACAGTCAAACGTCTCATTATTGATTGGTGTCCCCCCCTGCAATGAAAAACCAAGACCCCCAACGACGCGCATCCTCTTCACGGGTCGGTCAGCCACGCGTGCGACGTTTCTGGGGCGACGTCTTCGCAAACGTGCTGTGAACGTTCGATCCAAAGCGGCCGCAGGACCAACCGTGTGGATGGATTTCGTGTGTATAAAAGGTGGGTATAAATATACCAATAGTAAGGACCATGAAATAGTATATCACGTTCCTTACTACTGGTGTATAAGTGATGCTGTATATAACTGATATAATATATATATAATGGTAGTTAATGAATGTTCATGGTAAAAGTAATACTGATAAAACTGATTCTGATAATATTGACCTAATGGAAAGTAATGGCATAGAACTCATATCACTGATACAAGTAACAAAACCAGTCCTGGTGATATTTCGCTTCTTCAATGTTGACACCGATCTAATTTATATAATAAATGTTTTTTGGGATTGATTTGCCAAGGAATCCCAAAACATGTAAAACATGTAGTCAGGTTTCATCACGTTTCCATATTAGTTTCCATATTTTCTTGGCATTTCTTGCCTTGGGATTGGGACCATTGGGACCTCGTGGGACCTCGTGGGATGAACAGAGTCACAGCTACAGCACCTGCAGCACCTGCAACCAGAATCAAGCTCTACCCTCTGGTAAACTAACATAGCTATAGAAAATCACCATTTTTTATGGGAAAATCCACTATAAATGGCCATTTTCAATAGCTATGTTAGTTTACCAGAGGGTACCTTCTCTGCGTCTCCCCAAGTTTTGCCGAAATCGTCCTGCAGTTCTTCCATGAACTCTTTCAGCCCTTTGGTGCCGATGGGCCTCTTCCTTGGCTCCGACGTATGTGGGTGACTAGTTCATCTGAAAAGGTATAAATCTTATTTCAGGGGTCCTCAAACAAATATTAGATATAAAATGATATAAAGAGTTCATTATCACCTCAATGGACCTCAACCTATCTCATTCATGAACCTCAAAACAACATTGCTGACCATTTCAGACGCCAGAGGTTCACTATATATCTCATAATATATGTTCAGTGATGAAAAGATGATACGTGGTACCATCCCATAATGGGACTCCTTTCAATGGGTATATGAACCCTATCAATGGATTGATGACCATCCCCCAATATGGATATATTATCAACCTTTTGGCCAAGGCACATATAAATGGTTTGGGATCTGTTAAACTATTGCGGGGCAACCATAAAAAATCATTGCCCTAGCTATGGATGAGTTTACCCAAACCATTAAGCAGCTGCCTGCTTGATGGCAAGTAACAAGTAATGGTGATGTGTGGCTGGCTACAAGATGTTGGATTTGCAAATCAACATCTAACTGACATGATGAGATAGAATCATGTAAATGTGAGATTGGAAACGGCACATACACACTTGAAACCTCCAATGAGTATTCATAAATCTTGAGCAATAAATATCTGTAAATTTGATTTTGTGGAAGATGTTTCGGGATGGATGAAAAGGTAACACCACCTTTACTGGGACCTTTCACATGTTCAATTACTTTTTTTAGCAAACAATTTTTGACGTTAACCCCAGATTAATCAGCTTGTTTTTGGGGGGTTCCCAAGGGAGAAAGATGTTCGCTCTAGACATCTCCGGGCCGCTCTCCGCGTGCGCGAACGTTCACGGCCATTTGGTCTTCTTCGTCTTTACCTCATCCACTGGAGCCCACTGGACTCCACTGGTAGTGGAAAGTCATCAACAACTGCGGTCAGAATCAAATTTGGGTCTGAACACCGGGAAATAATGGGAAATATACCTTCAAATGATCATTTATCATGGGAAAAGTCATGATAAAACATCCAATTTTGAGGTAGCCTATTTTAAGTATTTTCAGGCAAACCGGCTTGGTGGAAATCTAGTGGAACATCATCGATTTTTTTATTTCCATAGAAAGTTGGAGGAAAAAGGAGGCAACATGTCATTTCTTGCATTTTGATGTTTGTTTTTCTGATGGTAGCCATGAATTTTGCCGGCAAACGCGAATCCTCTGACATCGTATAAAGTTGGATGTCGAGTTGATACCCGTTTGCGAATTTCTATGAATTTCTAACATCCTCTGCCATCTGGTGTCAACAGCACCCTTTTGGGAAGAAAAAAAAGGGGGCCGGTTTCGTACACCACTTGTCATCATTCACCTATTGTTGAATGGGTGGGGTTTTCTAACATTTTGCAATCACTCTTTTTTCATCAGCCAATGGGAAAATGACATCTATAACGATCATCTTCCCAAATTTGGGAACTTAAATAGTAAGTTTTGAGGGCCACTGCTTGGATTCACTGGTCTGTTGCAAGTGGTCTGTACACCACGTCCTTGGCTGCGGGCAACCATGGGCAACCCCCCATGTCAATCACAAATCAGATCTGATCAAACTCGGATGCCACACAGAAACTAACTACCTTTGAGCGGAAGATTACCCTCTGATAATTTAACAGCTAGCATAGTATCTATAGAAAAAGGTAAATCATCCATAAATGAGCAATTTTCCATGTCTCAACAGTATGTAATGTGTTAAATTACCAGAGGGTATATTCTACATTCCTCCATTTATAGCTCAAACAAGAACCTCTCAAGCAACCCTTCACCAAGTCTGACCTGGCAAGGTGAGACGCCCATCACCGCGTCTCACTCTGGGCCCACTGGGTGCCCCCTTCCCACCACCAGGATGTAGTTAAATTGTGCCACCTCACGGCTGAAACGGGGTCAGCAGAAACGACCAATGGTGCATTGAAGCCATGGCCCAGTCGAAAGTTCGTGGATTTTCCCAGCTAGAAAATGGGTGGGTCTTTCCATAGTTATGTGAACGTTTACCAGAGGATATCAACAACCTTTGAAAGAGTAATCCACGACCATCCAAGTCTTTTTGTGCTGCTTTAGATTTGCGTGCGGGTAACCATGTCACCAACACCTGCTAGCCCCAGGGTCTGGTCGATCTGGTGTCTTCATCCATTGGGGTACCACATATTCATGGTGAATCTTAGGTACCTGCCCCCCAACAAAATCCATTATTTTAGCTGGATAGTACCATTTTTTTACCATTGATCCATTGATAACACGAGGTTTTCTTAGATTTTAGTTGGAATTGGAATACTGTAGCTAGAATCGAACCAATCGCTTGACCGTGATAAAACCCGAGGCTTCGCTCACCTGAGCCTCGCGAACCTTCTTGTTCAGGGTGCCATCACCTGGTGCCAGTGGTGCCAGGTGGCCCGAGCCCACGACCCCAAGGCATATGTTACAACATTACAGGGTTAAATAGTTTATATGGTTAATAGTGGTTACTATATGCTTATTATATGGTTAATGATGGTTAATAATCATCTGGTTGGTGGTTGACCTATCCCTCTGTTGGTTCATAACTCTAATAACTAGGACTTATGGTAGGTATATCTATAGTTTATGGGATAAATAATTTACCCTCTGGCTATTTAACATAGCCATGGAAAATGGTCCATAGAAATAGATGGTTTACCTACTAAAAATGGTAATTGTGCATGGCGAACTGTTAAATAACCAGATGGTATATGATACGGATAAAGCAACTGATTCTACACAGGGTTATGTCTAATGCTTTATGTCAAAATATCATGCATAAAAAATGAAAAATGTGTAGGGTTATACATATGACAAAGGGACATGTGGTACCTCAAATACACATTCAAGTGATTAAATCATTCATTCATCCCAAGCATATCCAAAACATGTAGATGGCACCAGGGCAGACATGTGGGGTGATCATCCAAGAGGATTTCTGGTGATATCGCTGGGGTCCAAGCTGGATGAGTTGTGCATAGTTGTGCCTCTAGTATCTCGCACCAGCCAGGTGTCTTCGTAATTTGCCTACTGTGCTCAACAGAGCAGGCCTTCCTCATGGCCAGGCGGCCAGTCACGGAAAGTTGGAGCAGGCCTTGCTCCGAGGCCATGCACAGAGCTATTCTTCTCGGAGGCGGCGCCAGTCGTGCCACGACTCTTGACACTGACATGACACTGGTGGCACCGGGGCAATATAACACCAGTCGTGCGGCCATCCAGTCATGTTTTAACAAAAAAACATGAAACAAACTATAGTCGTATATACCGTATATAGTTCAAAGATAATAATTATACTCTTACCAGTCAGAAAATGATATATACTTACAAATATTACAAGCACCATAAATAATATAGTGAAATTGGAGTTTAACAGTTTAACACGATGTCTTGGACACTCCCCGGCCGAACTCGGTGTCAAGCCTAGATTTGCTTCAACCTTGGCCGAAAGCAGGGCGTGCCGGGATCGAATCCCATCGTCTGAGGATGGCCATGGATTTTCTTTCGGTTTTTTCTGCGTGAAATGGGTCCAACTCATGATGCATGGGAGTGTATGGGAATAACAATGGAATAACAAGGCTAAAACAACCAACAGTTGTATACAGTTGTGAATTTCAACACCTGAGTTTGGCACATGGAAACCTCGCGCGTGAAGGGTCTCCTTGACGTACTTGGCATACCTCGGGGACTCAGGAGTGGCTAGCGCAAACTTCCAGAAACTGAAATCTCTGGTGAAGATCGAGCCCTACCTCACCACACACAATTGAAGGCAAACATAGTCAAACTCGATAAGACTCGTTTAACACTTTTTCGAAAAACAAATTAAGAAATAATTAAGACAGTTAAGGGTTTAAAATATTTTAAAATTGTTTTACATTTTTTCCGGAGCGCGTTAGTCTAATCATGTCTAGTCATGAAACCCAATGTTTTCCTCGTAAAACTCGCTCATCCGAGGCACTCGAAAGCATCCTCAGAGACGGGCACCACCATGCACTGCCGCGGCGAAAGCCAGAAGGGCCACTTGCCGCCCTCGGCTGAGGTGTGTTTGTAAACCTGCATAGTGGTGCCCCATAGATAGGTAAGTTGGTTTATATCTCCAATAACCAAGACTTGTGGTAGATATATCTATAGTTGATGGGATTATAAACCAACTTATAACTGGGGAGTACCACATTGTGGTTGAGATAATGATAACATGAGGTAACTATGTGGTAAAAAATGGTAAAACATGATGTTTTTACAAAGTTTGGATCCTTGGTATGATCCCAGTGCTAGCTTCCGGTGATCATCCAAGTGGGAAACCTGAGTGGTGAAATCTCCATGTAAATTGCTTGTAGGGCCCGTAGGGCCCTTGTTTGATGATCCGAAATTGGCAAACAACGACAAATTACAGAAACAACATAGATTTTGGCACATGTTTGGAAAGAAACATATGATCTAATACGGTTTCGTATATGCATATGTAAATGTGTATATACATATAACTATATCCTTCCCCACGCCAATTACATCTGAAAATCTCACAACCCCCTGGGCCATTCCTTTTCGCACTCGCACTCATCAGGGTCACCTGAGTGGGAGATCAACCGACACGTCTCAGCAGCTCACTCTTTCCACCAACAATTGTGATATCATGGGTGGTACAAAAAATGCATGTAATATTCATGTAACATTCATATGTGATATAGTTGAAAAACAACCGTCATGTAGTATTCATGATATTCACGTGATATAGTTCTATATCATGCGGACACCTTCAGGCACTTCAGACTTCACTTATATAACATAAACATAATCGTGGCAAGTGGAAAATGCCTACATCCAGTAGAAATGATATATTGATCACTGAGTCTTGTCCCGCATTGTCCACCAAGGTAGTCTTGGATAAAAACATGCTGGAAAAGCAGCGATTGACCCACATGCGGACCGCTCACGCAACCCTTTGTGGTTTGGCCCACGAATGACCGAAAACTCTCTCTGCAGCTCCTTGACTCACCAAGACTCACCAACTATATAATAGGGAATACTGAATAAATGTGCATTACACACTAGGAAAACATCCCCAATTGGGCTTATTATTGGGTATACGGTATACCCATATACCCTTTTTTGGGATGATGTAAGTGGTTTCTTACCGGTTTTATCACGTCACCCAAATCGCTTCCTCGACTCAACCATCAGATGCTTCGTTATCTCCCCATCGAATATCCCCATGAAATCTGGATTGAATCTAATGGTTCCATTCATCAGAGAGTCTAGCCATCCCCAAACTAATTAACAATCATATGAATACCCTCTGGTAATTTAACAGTTTGCTATTGAAAATGGCCCATAGAAATAGTTGATTTACCTGTTAAAGCTGGTGATTTTCCATAGCTGACTGTTAGTTTACAAGAGAGTATGTCATTACATCCCCTATGTCGCTATTCGATGAACCTCCACGGGATTCCATTCGAACATCCCCAGATTTCAGTCATCCAACAAGAATGATTTTCCCAATAATAAGTTTTGAACAAAATAGCAATCCAATTATAAATAATCCAAAACTTATTGTTAAAAACTATGGATGACTATAATCTTTAGTCATCTAATGATAAATAAATATAAATAATCATATACCTAGGTCTTCATTCGGGCTGAAATTTCAGCCTGAGACAGAATTCTAGCCTGAATAGGGTTTCGGGCAGAAAAACAGCCTGCGGGCTGAAATCCATATTTTGGGGTTTTTAGCATATTTTGAAGTTCACTAGCTGCAGGCTCAATCAAGGTTTTAGGAACCTGCCATCTTCATGTGAAGTGCCTCCGGAGGAGGTGCCACCCACCCACTGCCTTGCCTGCACATCCTGTTGATCTGAAATCTTTGGTCATGGGGAGATGGCATTTGGATTTTTTCTGGTGCTATTGGAACTCATGATATTTTACTGCAGTAATTTTGGATCAGAGGTGGTAGAATTTCAGTTACTTTGCTGTTTGGTATCTTTACCCATGGACTATTTTCGCCTGGTGTCCGACAAAACAAAGGATGCGTTGAAGCATGAAGGCAGGGTTATTGCAACAAATCTTTCCCGAGAACATGGTTGTAACTTAATTACTCGTTATTTACTAGTTGCCCATCTCTGTTCTCTTGTGCCAGGCCTATTGGACTTTCCCAAAATGTGGTGGACAGCAACCCAGGGAGCCCTTTTTAGCGGTAGTCCAGAAGTCTCTCGCCAAGTGAAACTTTCTGCATGATGCTTGTTACTTGCTCCGATCTGTCCAACTTCTTTTGGGGGTTAATTCAACTGAGGTTTGTGTTTCAGAGTATCGGGCCTCTATGATTCTTGAGAACTACCGCCTTGCTGGCATCGTTTTCTACTTGGCATCGGTGGCCAGGAAGTATGGCAAAAACATGCCCTGTATCTTGACCAATTATTGTCTATTCTAAAACACAAAATATCATCAAGTTCTTTTATTCTTTCTCATGCCGGAAGTTCAACACCCTAGCGGTCATGCCATAGCCTTTCATTGAGGCCACTGAGCTTCGGAGCTGCGATAAGATCACTGATGAGTGGCCTGAGTAGATTTCGTTGGGGCAGCCGTGCAGCTGACAGGGGGAACAAAGGGGTTTAAAAAAAGGTGGGCCTTCCTGCCCAAGACCAAGATTGGAATTAGTTAAATTATGGTCAATTGTTCAAACGTGCACCGGCCCAACGCAGGTGATTACCAAATGGAATGCCTACAAGATGATTGTGATCATCAAGTGCCCCACGGCCCACTTGGTTTCAATGATACAACGGGTTGCACATGTCATGTCATGTCATCTCATCAACCTCCAAAAATAGTTAGACGCTGAATAGGGGTCAAACTTGAAAGAAATTCTCACAAGATTTTTTCTGAGCGTCCCCCCATTCAGTCATTGTGGCTTGACTGACTAGTGTTCCAAGTTTTCAACCTTGCCTGCCTTTGCGTCCAATGGCTGTGGCCCCGGACTTTGACAATGATGAGCCGATCCCGGGTACTTCGTTGGAAGGCCTAGGACACGCATGGGAGGCTGACGAATGCATTCGGGGCCATGCCCTGCAGAATGGTGGGTCTCTCTTGTCTTGGCCCACCCCAAAGCATGTTGGGGTCATCAACTTCCAATGTGCGTCCCACAATGCCAAAGTGTTGTCCATCCTTTTGGAGCTTTGGTGCCCTCAAGTCCGGTCTGTGAAGACAGTCAACATTGACCAGCTTAGGGCTGAGGTGGGGTTACCCAAAAAAAACATGTTGAATTTCAACCACCAAAGTTTTTAACGCAGTGAAAACAACAACAACATATTCAAAAATAATATATTATATTTATCCCCATGTATACCCCATGTATCTTATCTGTTTTGCTTTTATCATCTCTTTCCTAGGTGAGAAGCTTCCGTGCAAAGCTTTTCTTTCCAGAGGATGAAGTCAAGGTGAACTGTGATGCAATCTCCATCAGGAGCTTCGTGACATACTTGGGCCGACGTCACAACGGTTCCAAACGTCGAGACTTTTGATAGCACTAGCCATCACTAGTGGTGTTCTAGATTATTTGGGAAAGAATTTGCCAAACAAAATTGGCAGACACAATCAACTCCTTCCAGGGGATTGGGCATACTTGGAGGGTATGCACTTTGCTTCCAACATCTCTGCAGCCAGTGATCTAAGGATTTGCTGGTTGCGAACCTTTACAGCGACATCATCGACCTCTACTGGGCACCTTACACTGGTGCTAGGACCAGGAGCCAGGAATCAGTGGAGGAGCCAGGTTTGGATGGGTTAGATAACCACCAAGGTGAAGTTCCAGTGTTGGCTGATGACTACGGGGAATCCTCTTTGGCAGAAGCTCTGGGCATTCCTCAGGTGGCCCACCCTGTTGTACCGGTGCCGGACTCACAGATCCCGGCTGACTCTGCTGCTGGCCTCGACATGGAGTTTCCCGATCGACAGCCAGCGGAGGATGAGATCCCAGCCACCTTGCCTGATGATTCCCAGCTTCCAAAGTCGCCTGATGATTCCGCAAAGGCCAGTCCTCCCATCACACCCACAGAGCTGGAGATGACTCCCCAGGCTGCCAGTGTGATTGAAGTGCCAGAATCACCTCCTATGGCTGCAGCGGCCCCAGTGACCCGGGAAGAGATGGCAAAGGCGTCAGTTGTTGTGTTGACACAGCCGCAGCAATCTCCTCACCCTGTGGTCGCCACGAATGGGTTGCCTACTTCCAGCAAGCATTCCCCAGAAGACTTACGTGCTTTGCAGGAGAAGATCGAATACCTCAAGCAACTTCTTGGGATTTTGTAGCATTTATTCCGTTTTTCCATTCAATTCCACATGGGTTTTCCTTCGGGATAGTTTACAAGCTAAAATGGTTTCATGAACCAACCAATCACCATCCAATAGCCGCAATAGCCGCTCAGGCAAAGACTGCAGCATGTGAATGTGAAGGGTGCTGCCAGGCCTTTTCACACCAGGGACCAGGTGACTGATGTGCAAGACACCCTCCAGTGTGATATGTCACCAATAGCCAAAGAGTGGCAGGCCAACCCGCCGGCTGTTCCACTTGACCCGTCTTCGCCGAAGAGGTTTGCCAGGCCAGCTCTTTCAGAGGAGACGATGGCTCTTGGTGGTGCCCCTTCGGCATCTTCCGTGGGTGCTGGTTCTGAGACACCCAAAGATGTTGATGAGGTGAAGCAGGTGATTCCCGATGAGGTGGCAGTTGTGGGGGGATCTTCTGACCAGCTGTCAAAGGAGCCACTTGTGGCTTGCGACAAAGGTGAGATTCAAACAGGTGATGACGGTGATGAAGATCTTTTCCATGCCACTGCTGAGCCAGTGACAAGGAAACAGCAGTTTGCTGAGCGAGATGCTTTGAAAAAGGAGATGAAGAAGACTGAGGAGCCTCACCCTGAAGAGGGTGTGCCTGACAAGAAAACGGCAAAGAAAAATGCACAGGCAAGCAAGAAAGCACAGGCCAAGGCCAAGGCCAAGGCCGAAGCAAAAAAAGCAGCTGAAAAGGCCAAGAAGGAAGCAGAGAAAGCAAAGAAGAAAGCAAAGAAAGAGGCAGAGAAAGCAAAGAAAGAAGCAGAGAAAGCAAAAAAGAAAGCAAAGAAGGCCGAAGGGAAGACCAGAGCAACCAAGAACGGTCAGAAGAAGCGCAAGCAACTGGAGGAGTCCCAGCCCAGTGCAGAGAACCATGAGAATGTTTCGGCTGTGCCTGAAAATCCGCCTGCCCCAAGCCCGGTGCCTGCTGAAGATGTTGTGATGGCTGATGGATCGGGTTCCTCGGCCCCTGCACTGAAAGTGCCTGCTGGTTCTGGCAGCTCTGCTGCCAGCAATGCTGCAGATGATGGGCTCGATGATGCCAAGGAGGATGAGAGGAAGACATTTGCCCGACGATTTCGGCCCTCGAGAAGCGATCCGGCTTCCCGCTTTGATTCTCTCAAGAACACCTTCAAGAAGCACTTGGCTGGCCGATTCAACAAGGAATCTACCATGGAGGCCCAGTGTTGTTTCTTTTCCCCTGTTTATTTCTCTGCTGCTTTTAACAACAGCACAATTCCACCACATTACATGTCTTACTGGTACATGCCCTACTCCCTTCTGAGAGGTGGAGTTCTGGAACTATTGCATGAAGCAGCTCAAGAATGCTTCCAGCCCTGTGTCCAACTACGACTTCTTCTTTGAGACTTGCGTCCTGACATTTGAGGACTTGGACACCGTCAAACGTACTTGGCCAACATATGCAGTGTTAATGTTTTATGATTTATTTTTGGGGTCAGCTCAGACTCAGACCCTTGAAACCTCACCAACTACTGTAGATTTTGATTCCTGAGTTGTCACAAGTTGAGGTATGCTGAAGTGAGACTTCGAACCTACGACATGATGCCGTAGCTGTGGGTTTTGCCTGCTTAGTGAGCACGTTCGGACCCTGGAATGTGGCAGGTGGCAAGTGCAACTTAAGGTAAACATGTTAACACTCTATGACTCTATGTGAAAGTCTGGAAAGATTTGGTTGGGATTGCTGACCCGGTTTTATGTGAATGGTCCTTTGGCACTGCACTGTAGCTGGGGAGTACGGTATACGGATGTGTTTGCAGGCACCAATCTTTATCTTAGAGAAATTTGGGTCACCAGAACCTAGCAGTTAGTGCCAGGCCAAACCTGCTGGGAGACTTGAAATGTGGGGAGAAAAAAGGATTTCACCAATCTTCGCCAAGCCTAACACCCTAAACCCAATTTTTCAATTTTGTCCATTCATCTCTCCTCCAGGTACCATGCCCTCCAAGTGCCGAAGCGGCTTGGGACCCTACATCAGGCATGGCTTGGTGACGGAAGATCCAAAACATGGCAAACCTGACATGTTTGGGCCGGTATTTGATCCATGACTGCCATGTCCATGTGATACACACCATGAAAACCAATGATTTTTTTGTAACAGCAACATTTGGGCTTTCAGAGAGCTGCTGGTGGGTTGAGATTCGGGATGAAAAGGGTGAAGACTGAAGCATTTCCTGATGCCCCACCTTTGCCAAAGAAGCTTGAACGTGTAACCCGACGACTTATATGGCTTGGTGCCCCAAAGGCAGCTAGGCTTTTTAACAACTGATGTTCAAACAACTGTGGGGTAATAATATCAATAGTTCTTTTATCACTTAGGTATTTGTCGTGACGGTCCTCCTGACGGGATTCCTTAGCTTTGTTGACATGAACCGGAATGACTACACCATCTTGGAGCTGTACGCAGGAGAGCAGCGACTTGTGAAACTGGCTAAGGGTCTTGGTATGAGAACGGCATCTATGGATCGAGATTACGATGATGGGGATAACAAAAAGAAGAATAATGCCATGGACCTGAACACCTCTGCGGGCTTTTTGTTTCTCACACTCAATGGCCGTACCCAACATCAGATATTTTCAATATTTTGCGAAATGTAAATTTCAATATTGTTGAAAACATGATGGTCTAGTCTAGAGGGTTCAGAAATGTTCAGAACATGGCCCCTTTCACCATCCACCCTATTGCACGTCGCTGGCAACCCCAGGTTAGCCTGCTGCATGGTGCTTGGCGCAAAGTGGGGGGAATTCCTGGCGCTGATGGGCATTTGCTGCAGCACGTTTGTGTCAATGTCACGGGGAAGTACATTCCGTAGTATATTCCTTCCACAAGGCTGTCCGGTATCCATAGCAGTGTACAGGGCCAACAAAGCACTTTGCAGGCAAGAGGTTCACAAATTTTTTGGGGAAAAACCACAATACATCCTCTACTTGGGGTTTCATTGTTTTTTGGGCTACTTCCCTGCAGGACGGTTCTCTTACTATTCCTCATCGTAGCATGTGATGGAGTGCCGGTTGTGGAGAATCCCATTTCAACCCTGCTGAATGCCCAGAAGAGATTCCAAGAGTTTGTGGCAAAGCTTCAAGCCCGTGGTATTTGCACGCTGGCTAAGATTGAACATGTTTGCTTTCTTGAAGGTGGTTCAAATTATGAGGAACTTTGGGAATCATCCTTGCCCCCTAGGAGATGTCACTGGTCACCTTCAGTGCGGGGAAAGCATTCATTTTTCATGGAACTAACTCTATTCGTAATAGATAATCTATTCCACAGATTTCCCCATGATTTCCTCAGAATAGCCCACTGTCCTTGTAGTCACATTCTCATCTGCATCGTTGATCGCAACCTGAGGTCTCTACAGGCAAGCTCTATGGCTCAAACATTTTGGGCATCTTTGCTTGAAGAGGACGCTGCTTTGGAGTACATCCCCTGTCATTTCATATTTGGACCTTGGCCCCATTCAGAAAAAGAAGCACAAGTCCCTGGTGAAAACAGCAGTTCGATACCAAGATGGATCAGGTAAAAACAGGTACAAAGGTGCCGGTGCTGCCCTAAAGGGCACTCAGTTTCTAGTTCACACTCATTAGTATGTTGTTTCCCCGAGATTTCATGTTGTTTTTACACCTGGTCTTCCAAACGTTTGGATCTCGTAGCCTAGGGGTTTTTGGGGATGCGATTCATTGTGCCATCTGAGACTTTACCCTCCACGATTTGTCGGCAAGATCTTGGAATACAAAGAGGAGTTCCTGAAAAACATGCCAGTCCTTCCAGAGGAGGTGCTACTTCTTTGATTCTGCTGACCCACCCTGTTTGATTAATGTCCATCCCCATTAAAAAAACTTATCGCAGTATGGCTTGCCTTTCCAGGTGACACAAGATGGTCCTAGCCTCTTGGAACTACTAGAAGAGATGCCAACTGGTGATTGCTGGGATGACGCTGAGTTATGGCCAATTTATGAATACGTTAGGGGGTCGAAGCATTTGCGATTGCCTGATGCCTACAGGCCTTTACTTGTTTCATTGGAAAAATCCAGTTAAGCAGCCACAATGGCCAGCTGGTGTGTTCAACAATTCGTAATTTATGACATCAACACATGGCAGGGGCTTCAAAAAAAGAGGTGGCTGCTGGGTGGCAAAACCCCAAACTTGAAAAAAATGAAAATTCCAAAACAGTCAGTATGTAATTTTTTGGTGATTTTGGGAAAACCAATTCGGGCGTGAATTCCCGTGATTCGGGCGTGAATTCCCGTGATTCGGGCGTGAATTGTCGTGATCAGGGTTTGGGAAACCCCTCAAGAGGATTTTTGTCGAACCAAAAAAAACTTGATTTTTCGTTCGGTGGATCCCAGAAAAAAATCAAAACAGAGATTTTGTGGTCTTTGAAAACCCTGAACAAAAGAAATCCTGGGGCATTCTTGACTCTTTTGGGTTACCAAATAGTGCACTGAAATGGATAATCTTTTGGGGGAATTCAAAAAAATAAGGTGACCATAGGGGACCTGTTACATCATAGAAAGGGCCCATGCAATGAAGTCTTGGCTTAAGGGGATGAGCTTTTCTAGCAGGGCCTGGTCCAGCGGAACCCTGCTCCGGGGGTTGGACCTTCTTGAACAAGGGTCCTCTGCGGCCATGTCGTCCATGGTGGATCCTGACCCAAGAGCGCTGATGGAGGAACTTGCTAGGTTGGAGGTACCCTGGCCCAACCAGCCAACAGTGTGTAGCTTCAGGTTTGGGGAGAGGCTTAAAAGTTATAACTGGCTGTATGTCAAACATGTTCTGATGTATCTGTTACTAACCGTAGTTTTGTTCTTAAGATGTGGGCCTGCATCAAAAACAAATGGGAAAATCTTTGAAGTTATGTTGAAGGAACAAATCATGGCACTTATATATTATATTATATACAGTAGTATCATAAATACTGCATAATTCTATTCAGGATTCATTTTTAGAATTGTTGGTTTCACACCTTACAACATGCCGTGCCCACAAGGCACTGCACAAGTCGATTGTTGAACAACAAGATGCGGAGCCAGGACAAACAAGGGCTGAGGGAGGTGATAAATCAAACTCTGGACCAGAACAAGCGTTAACCCCAGTATCCCCCAAATGTCCCTATCAAAAACAAAAACTTTCAGAATGTTGTTCATTTTTTGAATAGATGTCGTTTTCATAGACTGGGCAACAAGTTGTTCACTCTTTGTTTTGTAGACCCTTCCTTGCCTCATTCCTCTCTGCAGGACATATGCCAGCTCCTCCAGCACCTCCTGCAGATGTGCCGCCGGCGGCTGCGGATGGAGCTGGGGGGATGTTGGCCGACACTCAGCCGGGTTCCCCACCGGAGGCACATGTCAAACCACATGAAAATAGACCTGTTGGACCTGAGAAGGAAGCTACACCACCACTTGTACAAGTACCAGATGAGACGATTCCCATGACTCCAGTTCAAACCATGTATAGCCCTGAAAGCCCCCTCGGGAGACACGTGTGGATGACGATGGTCTCCAGAAACGAAAGGCTATGGCTATTCCCCTTGATGAGGATGAGAATGGTAAGTATGAAATCTTTGTTCCGGTGGCTATGCCACCCGAAGCATTGACTGATAGAGCCATCTACATGCGCCTGAACCGGGTCTTCAAGAAGAGAAAGGATGGGAATTATCTACTTGATGATTACTGGAACAACGCTTGGGCTGATATCGATGGTGGTGGTCGGGACTCCGTGAAAGCCCTATTTGAGAAAGTCGGTTACCAAAAAGACAGGGTTCGACAAAAAATGTGTTTTTTTTACAACAATTATGTTTTAACATCCGAAGGGTTGTAGAACCAGCCTATGTTTGATACTGCGTTGCTGAAATGATGTTTGGCCAAAATGATCACCAATACCATCATGTTTACAACAATCTTTAGTTGGGGGGGCCATTATTTCCACAACCCTTTACCTCTACTGTCCTGAGATTACAAGATGTGTACTTTCCTAGGTTTCCTCTAGTAAGCCTTGCTTTCATCCCGGCCCTGCAGGACAGGTTCGTCAAGCGATGCAAGGCCATTTCCGAGAAGGTGCAAGAGGAAATCAGTGAGGTCGAAGCGGAATGGCTAACGGTTTCTGATATGGAAAAGTTGGAGTTTTCAGAGTCGCTCAGTGAAATTTTAGAAGCTACCTTGATGTTTTCCTTCTACACCACATAGTCAAGGTGAACACAGCTGGTCACTTGAAAGTTTAAACACAAATGTGTCCCGGACTTTCCAATTGCCCAGGTCCAAGATCAAGGGTGTTATTCGCTATTGCGAGAGTCGCCCACAGTTGCAGAGGCAAGGTTTCCTCCAATGATATCAAGTGATAAATCGATATATAACTCTTTCTAGATCAGCTGTAAATTGTGGACTTGAGCGGTTGCCCCCTGAAGGATGAGCAAATATGGAGAAGGTATGATGTATTGGACTGAAATCAGAAGCCGTGGGGCCCTGCGGTGCTTCAGCTTGACAAAACAACATAGTTCAGTTTACTTTCTTTTGCACATGTTGCCACACTTGACTTTGATCTGGTATTTAGCAATCCCTCTCTGGTCTCTGGGTTGGGCATCCAAATTTCACACGCTAAGGAACACCAAGCGACACATCAGTCAGGACATCATGGAATGGGAGGAGGAAAACCCAGATGGTGAAGTTCCTGATGCCCCCAAATTGGATTGGGGATTCATGGCGGGCAATGGCCAAGATGGTGATGCTCCAGCGGTACCAGGCTATTTAGTTTTAAAGGGTTTGAATCATATGCCCAAACCAATCTAATTATCTCATCCCATCTCATCCCATAAACCCACCCGACATCTGGTCTCCTTTGCCAGGTCTGGTGAAGGATGAGCACGTGGGTGAGGAGTACACGCAGCCTGTGGCAGTCGAGTCCGAGGACGTGAAGCGGGAGATGGACAAGTTGCAGTTCCCCCAAATTGAAGGGGACTTGGCCCCCTCAGCGTTGGTCCCCAAAGCATGCCAGAGTTTGCAGAAACAAGTTGCCAAGCTGGATTCCTTGTTAGAGAGTGCCAAAGCTGTTGATCGTCTTACCCCGTTGCAATCCCGGAGACTTGTCATCAACTGATATCAAATGGGGACCAAAATCTTGGGTCAAACTGAATGATTTGGGAGATTGAAGTGTTTATATTTTGGGGAGTATGATGTTAACATTTTATCCTCAGTATCCTTTAGTATCCTCTAGTATCCCTTAGTATCCCTTATAATTTTAGCATCCTTGAATATTCCTTAGTCTCATAGTCACAACCACCTTGAAGAAAACCCGTAAGACCATGTCTACTTCATGAAATAAATTTTCCCTTTGGTCATGAAAAACGGGCTACGCGTTATGAAGACATGTAAATCAATAAATCAAGATAGGCGAACACACGCATTTAGGATGGATCTCTCCCAATCATTAGGAAAAGGTCGCCCCTTAATCCTTAAGGATGAAAGACAAGGTGGAGCTTGCCATTACTAAGCTGACCGAATTTGATGAAGAGCTCATGGACCAGCATGGGGAAGGGATCCTTGATGGCTATACCCGTGCGCCCCTTGACTAATCTTTTTGAGCCACCGGATTTTTAAACCAGAAAAATGAACATGGGGATGCTTTTGGATGGGCTTGACAATGGGTGAGGGGCAAGGGGCAGTGTGTGACTTCCCATGTTCTTAGATCCCATTTTTTGGAACACCGTCACCTAGCACTTATGCATTCACACCAGCTTCCGCATTGGGACTATTCCAACTATAGTGCCATAAAAACAATAATGTATTAGAGTATAGCATCCTACTGCATTGTACCAGATACTATTGGTATAGGAGTTACATTGGATATTTCCCCTTAAATTGTGGGGTCTTTAGTTGTATAGTTATGTAAATAATTACAATCTGTGTACTGCTACATCCATTATTGGAACACATATATAAGATTCCTTCTGGAACATGTGGAGGTTTTGCCCCATACGGACAGCCAAGAAAGTGAAGCATTTCAGTTTTTGGTTATTCCAAACCCTTGCCACTCGAGGTTGCAAAAAAAAATTGCTGATACACTGGATGGAGCCCGGAAGAAGCTTGGGCCTTGTGACTACCTTTGTTTGAATTCTTGGGATTATGGATGTGGTTTTTGGTCATCCTGTAAATTGAGGTTGGTGGAGTCCATGGGCCTCTATCACTTTGCTAAGTTGGAAACTGAGTTTCTTCCGATATCAAATTGACAGGCATCCCAACAATTTCCCTTTGCATCCCCTTGCCTGCTCCAGGACCAGGATGCCGAATGAGAAGGAAGCCAAGAATAAGCCTGGCGGTGATGGGGGTGCGGCCAAGAAGGCCAAAGCAAAGCCTAAGCATGCGCCAAAGGCTGCTCCTAAGGTTGCCCCGAAAGCTGCCCCTAAGGCTGCTGCATAGCCATGATGATGAGTGAGCCCCAATTTTTTTGAGTCTCCACAGCAAAGGATTCAAAACTCATAGTTTTGGGGATTGAAAACATACAAAAATCTATGTTTCTGCTTGGTTCAGTAAGGGGCACGGCCATGGCTGCCCGATTTGAACAAGTGGGCGAGGGATCCCCGCTGACTGCTGGGCGTACTTTATCGTATCAGTTGGATTTCCAACTCCAATCCATCTTTATTGGGGATGCTTCTGCACAACGCAGGATGCAGCGCAAGTGACATTGCTTTTGAGCTCGTTGGAAAAAATGTTATCTCATTACTTCCCAGCAAACAAATCGATGACCTTCTACCGGCTAGTTCATGCCAGGGGAAGCCTTTAAAAAAGTCCCTGATGAGTTCATTACCAATCTGGCTGATCAATTGGGTGACGGCGTCCGGGTCTCAACTATAGTTCTCACCTCTTTTGTAATCACCCTGGTTCAGATCCCGTGCCCGCCTGAGGCCACAGCAGCTTCTGCACAGAAGTCTTGGCACTCCCTGGACCAGGGCAAATGTCAAGATTATAACAATGCTTCACGCGTTATCCATGAGAGAATGGAGAAACTTGGGTACTCACTTCCTATCCCGATTCATGAGACTGAACATCACAGTGAGCTGCCGGATACTCATAGACTCACCACTTTCCATATCCTACCAGAAGATTGGGTCAAGTACTGGATGGTGGAGTGTCCCGAACTCCTATGTGGTTGGAATGGAGGCCCCAAGGAAAATGTCACTGCATTTTGGCGTGCTTTTCAATCACACCATCCTTCTCATGAAGTTTTCTCCAAACATGCAGGGAGGCTGGATCAAGTTGTACCACTGCTTCTTCATGGTGATGAAGGAAGGGCTGTCAAAAGGACAAACTACTTGGTTCTGTCAATAGAATCCCCACTTGGCTCCTTGGATGACCCCACGGTGAGATGCACATGCTGTAACGATTTGCGCAAACGTTCTGGTTTACCAACATATGGCACTGATGCGGATGTTCTTGACCCTGAAGTTTTGGCTATGTGCCGCAGGCAAACAACAAATTTCAAAGGCCATAGCTATCTATCCCACTTTTTACTATTTGGAATGGGTGGCTGGATCTACAAGCGCCATCCGCACATTGTGGATACGTTGTTAACTGAAACAATGACGAGCTTGAACAAACTTTTTACAGAGGGAGTGTCCACTGCGAATGGCACCTTTTATGCTGCCATTATTGGCATCAAAGGTGATCTGGATTTTCACAAGAAGGTCATGTGTTTAACAAGGAGCTACTCCAACATTGGGACCAAAGTGGACAAAGAGCTGTGCCATCTATGCAAAGCAGGGGCCACAAATGTTCCTTTTGAGGACTACAGTGATTCACCGACATGGGAACAGACTTTGCATCTTGAAAGACCATGGTCAGTGAATGACCCTCCAGTGCTAGCAAACCTGCATTTTGATGAAAATTGCCCGGAAGAAATGCTGCAACCGGATCTGTTCCACATAACCAAATTGGGTGTGGGAAGAGACATCGTCGGTGGGATCCTTATTCTACTACTACGTCTTAAATTTTTTGACTACCCTGAAAGCACTGTGAACATAGATGATCGTTTTAGCCGGGCTCACTCCTACTTCGTCTTGTGGTGCATGAGTCAGGGTAAGAGTCCTGGCCTCCGGAGTTTCAGCAAGAGCTTTTTCAACATGAAGTCGCTCATCTCAGCTCCCTGGGCGTCGAGCAAAGGCTCAGATACCATATTGTTGTTGCAGTGGCTGAGGCACACTTTGAAACTCAATATCGAAACACCTGCTGTAGAAGGGTATGAAACATTACTGAAACAAATGCTGCAAGTTTGTGAAGCTTCCTTATCTTTACGGATGGTGCATCATCACAGGCTTTGGCTTGAGAGACCCTGTGCAAAGATGCTGTACGTTCACATTATGACCATTCTTCGTGGCTATGCTGTTCTTGGGAAGGCATCAATCAGGTTACACATTCGGGCCTTCATTCAGAAACCAAAGCATCATGGGCTACATCACATTGGACACTTCTTGAAACGTGAATTGGAAAAGGGATCTTCGCTGATATTGAGTCCCCAAAGCAAGTCCTGCGAAATGAATGAAGATTTTCTTGGACGAATCAGTCGTCTGAGTCGACGTGTTGGATTTCGCAAGTGTGACCTCCGTGTTTGTCACCGTTATTTCATGAAAATACAGGTTCTTCTAAAGAGAAGAATGGGCAGAAAAAATCGTAAGGTTTGGGCTAAACGATAGGGAAGATGTGAACTAGTGCATGGGCCCCATTATGTTTCTCAAATTGTTCTTACATTATGATAAAAAAACATACTCTATGTATCTAACACAACCTGGATACACAACCTTTGTTGCCCATCCCTTTGCCCAGCTATGGGTCTCTGGCCTTCTTTTCTGGGCCATCTTGATCCGCACTTGCGATGACCAGCGCATGGCAGGCACAAAGGTGCAAGGTGGTTTGGGAGTGATCTGGGAAATTGGTTGTTTTTGATATTTTGTTACTTCGCTGATTACAAGACATTCTCATAAGATAGCACCACTATAGTGAAGATATTGTGCCTGATTTGGAATACAACAATGATGGTGTAAAATGATTTTAACTTATTTAACTTGGGTATATTTCATTAGTATAACCTATAATATGTCCATTTACCCAAAAATCATCAAAACTGATTCGGGCAGAAAATTTGCCTGCGGGCTGAAAATCTTGCCCGGGCAGGAATTTTAGCCTTAACAGCTTCGGGCTGAAAAAACAGCCTGGGCGAGGATGCAGGTATAATCATCCATATATTTCCCAAGATTCTAATTATATATTTTTCCCTAGTCACCCATAGTAATCCCATTTTCTGGGTCAATCATGGCCGCCAAAGAGCACAAATCATCCCAGCAAATGCCTTCGCTCTCACTGCCACTCTCCAGCACAGGCCTGGTGGCAAAACCCGCCAACTTTCATCGGTTTTTCGGGACGAAACCATGGGAAACTAAGAAGAAAACATACAACATACCCTCTGGTAAACGAACACTTTGCAAACTGGAAAATCACCAAGTTTAAGAGGTAAATTAAATGGACCTAAATGGGCAGTTTTTCAATAGCAAACTGATAGTTTACCGCTAGTTATCCGCTAGTTTTGATCATCCAACTCTGCGAGTCCCATTCTGGTGCTTCACTTCAGTGGCTTGGTTCACCGTTATAAGCGGGGTGTTTGTAGACAATGTACATGTGTAACTGGGGTTACAATCCACCTACTAACATGGTGAATCTGAGATACCTACCAAAACATCTATTTTTGAGCTGGTTAGTGCATTTTACCATTAAGAGCAAAAGATTAAAGTTCGTATCTAGTCGGTTGACCCAGCTAACTATGAGCACTTCAAATCCCAATCGCCATTTTCCCAATTTTTCTCATTTTCCTATGATTTTCCTATGGTTTTCCTATGATTTTCCTATGGTTTCCCATGGTTTCCTATGGCAAATCCTCGAAACCGGCCCCCAAGTGCCTGGCCTGGGACGGTCCTCCGGCGCTGCTGAAACCGGCGCCGGTGCTGGAGGTGCCGGCGGCCCGCCCTCGGCCAGGCATTTGGGACAGGCGCAGGCGAAGCCTGGGCGGTTTTTGGAGGTGAGGTATGTGATGTGGGATGATCCTATGGATCCTTAAACGCACGCACACACACAGATATATATATATATATATATAACAGTAATAATAATAATCATCATCATCATCATAGTAAAGGAATAATAATAATAATAATGATAATAATAGTAATTATATATATATATATGTGCAAAACTAAGGGTCGGTACTTACTTCAAATTAATAATTATATATATATATGCGTGTGTGTGTGTGTTTGAAAAGTAAGGATTAGTAATTCCAAGGTCTGATTCTAAGATCTGTTTTGCTGATTCACTTCCAACATGATTTTGGTTACTTTGTGTCATCCATATATCGATGGAACCACGGGACCTCAAGTTCTGGCTGCTTGCCAGTTGTGGGAGTTGGAAGACTGCTTTCCAACCCCCAAGCATACCATTCTGAGGGTCTATGTTGGTGGAGATGCTAATTCCATAGAATCCCCATGTACCTATAATCGTATTTTTTCTTGAGTCTAAAAAGGGATAAAAACCACAAATCCATCGGCCATACACAATCAACCATTGTGATGGCCAGAATTGATCACATGTATACAATATATACAACGGATTCATTAGTTAAATTCATACGCCCAAAATATCGCTTTATATGATACATTATGGTACAGTAGCTCCAATTTATGATCCTGGAATTCCTATTGGCAAGTATTAACCTCTGGTTATTTAACATAGCCATGGAAAATCATCATTTTTAATAGGTAAACCATCTATAAATGGGCCAGTTTCCATGGCTATGTTAAATAACCAGATTGTCTTCCAATGGATTTTGGAGGTGCCCCCATGGAAACATCGCAGGGATCGATGCGCAGCATCTGAGGTGCCCCAATGCTTCAGCAGCTGCTCACGGCGTTCCTGATACGATTTCAGCAGACTTTAGACTCAAAATTCTGGTGATCAAAATTTATCAACGTTTCTTTCAGCTTCATTTCAAACATTGGGGAGTTGATCAAACATGAACTCAAATTATCAAATACTCATCGAAATTCATCGAAAAGGGGGTGGGCGGCCTCAGTTCTTGCAATGAGAAAACGCCCTCTATTGGGATTTTCTATTGGATCACTCGACACATGGGGGATTTTCTGAACTGGCTATCTTCGATGCAATGGATTGTGGCCCTAAATCGAAATCCACAGAGCCCTTGAATCAAGCATGGACATATTTCATACATGTTTATATGTATGTGATTGCATGTGAACGTATGCAAGTGTGTGTGTGTCATATACCTACATGTATATATATATATATATGATCATCTATGCATACACATTTGTGAAGCATGTGTAGGATTCTCCAACCCAAACCATCTTTGTTGACACGGTCCAACGAACATCTGAGAACCTCCATGTCAAGCTATGCGAAACACCAAGGAATGGCCGCGAAACGCAGCCTTGACGGACAGATTCAGCCGCAGGGGCAGGTAAGAAATGTTCAACTCCTGAGGGATGGCAAGATGAGATTTGTGTTGTCAGGATCGGGTTCAACTTACTTATATACTCTGCTGGGGATCGCCAGATTTAACCAGATTTCACTAGTGAAGTTACTGATATCATCACCATCACCACCATCAGCATCAGCATCAGCATCAGCATCACCATCATCATCAACATCACCAGCATCACCATCAGCATCAGCATCAGCATCACCATCAGCAAAATCATCGTCATCATCATCATCATCATCATCTCTGAATGCAAATCTACATGCATAGGTAGGTATGCGACACAAACAAGGTACATGTAAAAAATAATGAATGCTGTAATCTAAATGAACATAAGCACAAAGGATCACACAGGTATATCATATGGGTGTGTCTGAAAATAAGGCACCCCTCAATCCCATGGTTCATCATCATGTTCATTGAACAAAACAACAACACCTACTTTTTTTGCCACCATTTTCAACACACAGCCATGTTGTATAAACACTGGGTCCATAAAAACCCCAAAGCTAGGATTCAAAACGTGACTTTCCATTCAGGCTTTTCTCCAAAGATTTCCCCAGCACACTCCCTGTAGCCGATCCCAAATCTGGCCTCCGTGGCAGCAATGAGCTTCGAAGCAGTGACGCTATTCCTTGCAACGATCTTGAAAAAAGGACTGGGGCTCCTGGCTACCTTGTTTGAAATAAGCATGGAACATGTGCAAGGACTCCCTGGAAGATGAATTTCCGGTTGAAATTACAGGGGTTCAAGTTCCACGGAGGTTATCAACAATATCTGCAGGTGGCTTTTTGTTGTTTTTTTTTCTTACCCCACATCCATTGGTATGTCCCCAAAATCTGGCACCAAAACAATCCCAAGAATCCCAAGTGCTGCGGCAACAGTTTGAGCGGCGCATGCGCACCCGGAACACACACACATATTCAGAATTGGATCGATTCATTTGGGGACCCACACGTGGGAAGGTGACGAGTTCTGCCATCACCGTGGAACAAAAACCCACTGCATCCGCCCGAAACGATCCGAATTGATTGGGCTAAAATTCTGATTGGGATCAATTCTGATTGGAATCACATGATTCTCATGGGCTAATTTTGGGATGAAAGAATCAACCAATATGAGGTTTCTCGAGTTTGGCCCCACTTGGGACGAGTTTGGCCCCAAGGTTCACCACGGTGGCGTCGCGCTCATCCCAGGTAAGGTTGAACTCCAGATTGGGAGCGCAGGAGTGGTTTAAACGACCTTAGAGGCGAACTGGCGAACTGGGCCAGAACCACCGTGACACCGGGTCACTAAACATGCGTGCCCTCTGGTAAACTAACAAAAAGCTATTGAAAATGGCCATAGAAATAGTGGATTTTCCCATTAAAAATGGTGGATCTTTCCATAGTTATGTTAGTTTACCAGAGGGTACATATATTCATTCATATATAGAATAGATATATGAAGGATGATGGACTTTAAACATCAACAAGTAAGTGACTTCAACAGTATGTCAAATATGTAAAAAAATGTCTGATGTGTTTGTCCCAATTGCATGTTGTATACCCTCCCTGGGCCAGAGTTGAATAAATGGGGTCATGTCCAACACTTTACCGTACCTTTGGAGATCTTCCCCCAGTGTAACACTTGCCGTTTTTTTCAAGGATGCAAATTGACATCCCCACCCATCAAACTCAAATCTGTTAAGGATTACCATTTCCAAGATGTACCACCCTTTTTTGGAAAGGTCCTAGGAAAAGGCGTGTCTCACAGAGTTTGATGTTGGGTCCCACCTGTCAGCTTTCTTGGTGTCTGAATCCTTTTTAGCAATCTCAGCGATTTTCATGATGTGCATTCCATTTCTGTCTTTGCATACCAATGTCAAAAGAATACGTGCCAAACAGCCTAATTTCGCTGGGATATTACATACATCTTCATCATCATCTTCATCATACCCTCTGGTAAACTAACAGGTTGCTATTGAACATGGCCCAGTCGAAATAGTTGATTTACCCACTAAGCATGGTGATTTTCCATATTTTTTTTGTATGTTTACCAGAGGATAAGTGCCATTAAATCCCATTAAATCCCATTAAATCCCATTAAATCCCATTAAACCACCATTTTCCTATGGTTTTCCTATGGTTTACCAGAGGGTAATCTTCCATGATGAATCAATATCTTCAGATCCCTCAATTTTAGCGTCAAGAACCCATATCTTCATCATCCATCAGGATTGCTCGGACGTTTGGGGAGTCGCCACCGACATCCAGTTGATTGATGTTTAGTCTGAAGCTGGTGATATTTCCCATGTATTAACTATGATATCCCCCATTGTTGATGGTTAAATCATGTTAAATCATGTTATAAATCCATATAAAATTCCGCATTTTTTTACAGTTGAATCCACACTATTGATGGCTTTTCTTTAATGTTATCTTTGCATTTCAATCCCGATGTTCAAACTCAACAGATTTAATGAGATTTAATCGGATTTAATGGGATTTAATGGGATTTAATGGCACTTACCCTCTGGTGGTTTAATGGGATTTAATGGGGGAGCATCTTTTTTTCGAACTCTGGGGCTTCCCAGCTGATTTTGTCGAACAGCACCTCGCCAGCATCGTAGCCAAAGTCGCCCTCCTGCGCGCTCAAGTTGAACCTGCGCTGCTGGATGTTGGGAACCGGGTGGATTTCGATCATGTGGTACCCGGCCTGGTAAACTAACAGTTTGCGAACTGAACAATCACGATCTTTAATAGATAAATCATCTATTTCTATGTGCCATTTTCAATAGCTATGTTGAATTTCCTCAGGGTAAACAGAACAGTAAACCTAGCATTTGGGGATAGTATGGGATGGTTTATGCAACTGATTTATGGTGAATTGGAGATGGCTTGTTATTGGGTTTACGACATTAATGTTCTTTTGGTAAAAATATAAACTGAAAGTCACCACCCCCAACAAAAACAGAAAATTGATGAAAATTGTATGTTAGATTCAGCGACTATGGCGAAAATGAAAGATATCCCCATATGTAGTGGATTCCCTAAATATCAATTAAATATCCATTTATGGTGGATTTACAGAACGTGAGCCATTTTAAAATTTCATCAACTCTCAATTTTGGAAAAGAACTGGTTTTCCGGCGTGGTAAAATTTTAAATAGCAGTCACCACCCAAGATAATCACATAGAAAAGTGTAATTGATCATTATTTCCAATATGTTTTGCAATGACTTTATAGTTATTGATTAACTATATGTATTGTCTTTCTGGTAAAAGTATGTAAACATAGAGAGGCGGGTGACTGGCATACTATCTATCATTGGCATCATGTACCAAAAAAGATACCTTCAAACTTCAAACGCACTCATCATAGTCATCATTTAACCCACTATTGTCTATAAAGGTTGTTGCGTGTTTTTTTCTTTGACTGCGCGCTCCACACAGACCATCGGGGTTTTCATCAACCCCTCTGTTTTCATCAGCCAGTGGGAAAAGGACATCGTGGACTTTACATGGTTCACCAAGAGAGCTATGGGGATTTCAAGGGAATGAACTAAGACAGCTAAGAAACATAGGGATCTTGTGGATCTTCAGCGGAGTTTTTCCGAACCTTCACATATTCTAATCATGTCTAGTCAACAAAAATGGTGGGTTTTGCGGATTTCAGTGGTTCAAATAGGGAGGATGGGATGATAACCGGCGATGGCGCCATCCATCGGTGCTTCCGATCCCAAATCTGAGAGAATTCATAGGTGGGGCCCGGGGTCCCCGTTCGAGCTCGCGTGAACCGTTGGCGAAAAAAAGTGGCTGAATTCTATGGTTTCTGGTAGATGTAACCGATATAACTATAGTAATTTAACAGTTTGCTATTGAACATGGCCCATAGAAATAGTTGATTTACCGAACTTAAAGCTGGTGATTGTCCATATGCATAGCTATGTTAGTTTACCAGAGCAGAGGGTAACCACCAAGTATTTTTGTTTGGATGAATGCCCCCGACTAACCATCAGTGGATTGGTTTAAGGGAAAATCGTGAACGGAAACCATCGATTTTCCCATTCAATATGGGGCTTTCCTGTAAAGCATTCCCTTAAACTTATCCATTGAAGCATGGAAAATCGCAATCTTTAATAGGTAAATCAACTAATTATAAATGGGCCATGTTCAATAGTTTTGTTACGTTAGCAGAAGGCAACCGCCATTAACCCACCATCTTTCATGGGGTCCTGAAGCCGTTCAGCTGAATCGCCATTCGAAGCTTGGCATACCTGAGACCGCCCGGCGCTGGTCGCGTGGTGGAACAGTGGCTCAATGAAGCGGAACAAAAACATGGGGTTTGGTAGTGGTTTCATGGGGTTAATATTAGATCATAATATATGTAAAAATGTTCAACGGTAATATTAAATATTGTAATGTTGGGTTTGATGATACTATTATCTAAAAGAAATATATTATAATTACCCTCTGGTTATTTAACATAGCCATGGAAAATGGCCCATTTATAGTGAAATTTCCCATTAAAACCTCCATTTATAAGGGATTTTCCATGGCTATGTTAAATAACAAGATGGTATAATATTCATTAATGAGAGCTTGATGGGATTAATCTGTTACCACACCCGCGCAACATTGGGATACACCATCTATGTAAATTAACATAGCGATGGAAGCCACGGCGCCTGTCAGATGAGTTACCCAAGAATAACAACAAACATTCGACTCATTGGGTTGGTTTAAGGGAAAATCTACAGGAAACCATGGTTTTTACCATCAAATATAGGGTTTTCCTGTAAATTTTCCCATCATCCAATTCTATGATCGACATATTTAGACATGTTAGCTATGAATATGGTGAATGATGGTTAATGATGATGGTTAATATTACTGATATTTATATGGTTAATGATGGTTAATAATAACCTCTTGAAAAATATGAGTTTGTCAATGGGAAGGATGACATCCCATATATGAAATGGAAAATAAACAATGTTTGAAACCACCGACCAGGTTAGCTATGAATAGCTATATTAGCTATGAATGGACATTAAACATGATCTACCCTCTGGTGAACTAACATAGCAATGGAAAATCACCATTCTTAATGGGAAAATCCACTATTTCTATGGCCATTTTCCATTGCTATGTTAGTTCACCAGAGGGTAATTACCAAACCCCATGGGTTTTTACCACCATATAAGGCCCAAGCAGCTCCAACACTGTCAAGGATGCACAGCTGCTCGGCAGGAACCCCATGGCCACCATGCGCCGCAGGGGCGCTGCCTGTGCCGGTGCTGTATAGCAAAAGCGACTCGGCACCGTAGGTGGCAAAAAGCTACGGGTGGATCAAAAGATGAGAATCTATAAAATTGCCTCAGTAAGTCACATTGTAAATCCCTCCCATGTAAAGTGAAGCATATTCTGTTAGTTCCCAATAAGTTTCCAATGATACTCATAGAATAAAATCAAGTATAGATCCCATCAACAAATCCCAATAATTCTGGAGCTCGTCCCAGAAAAGATCACAAAAAACATAATCCTAAAAATAGACTACCCTAAAGATGACTTAAAGATACCATAATGAAATTTCCAATAATTACCTGAGTAAGTCTACTCAATGATTACTACTAAATTTAATCTATAGTTAATGGATGTTAATGGGCGTATAGGCGTATAAACCAACTCCACTATAGTTTTCAACTGTAAAATCTGATCAACAAATGGGTACGTGTCACAATTGGGTACCCCTAAAACTAGATCGTTACTACTTGTACTCGTCCTCTGGTAATTTAGCATAGCTATTGAACATGGCCATTTAGTTATAGTCGTTGGTTTACCTATTCAAAACGGGGATTTTCCATAGTTCTCATAGTTCTCTCTCTCTCTATCGCCATCTCCGAGAAACTATAGTTATATGCAACAGTTTACCAGAGGGTAAATGTTGACCCATCAAAAATAGATGGTATATACTAAAACTGGTAAACTCAGGTCCTAACCATCTAATTTTATATGTTGACTCATCAACCCCCCATCGACATGCCTCGTGTTTGGCCACCTTCGCCGACGGCGGCTCCCCGTGGCACTTCTGCCGCAGGAACGAACGGCAGCCGGCCACGCCCAAGTCCCGGAGCGCCGTTAAGGCGCCAAGGTGTGCCTTGGGGTGGCAAAAGGTCACCATGAAACACGGGTGAAAACATCTGATTCAACTGGATTTTGCTGGATTTTGCTGGATTTAAGTTGATTTTGCTGGATTTTGCTGGATTTTGCTGGATTTAAGTTGATTTTGCTGGATTTTGCTGGATTTAAGTTGATTTTGCTGGATTTAAGTTGATTTTGCTGGATTTTGCTGGATTTTGCTGGATTTAAGTTGATTTTGCTGGATTTTGCTGGATTTAAGTTGATTTTGCTGGATTTTGCTGGATTTTACTGGATTTAAGTTGATTTTGCTGGATTTAAGTTGATTTTGCTTGATTTAAGTTGATTTCACTGGATTTAAGTTGATTTTACTGGATTTAAGTTGATTTCACTGGATTTAAGTTGATTTTACTGGATTTAAGTTGATTTTACTGGATTTAAGTTGATTTCACTGGATTTAAGTTGATTTTACTGGATTTAAGTTGATTTCACTGGATTTAAGTTGATTGAACTGGATTTCACTGGATCTAAGGATAAACATGATCAACAAATTGGGATTTTCACCATCAAAAATGATGATATGGATTAATCAGTAAGAGTCCGAGTCCGACTGATTCTGATTTTACACCACCAACCGTTCACAATACAAGGCACGTTCGGAGTGAAATCTGCACTGAGACGACGAGCATGCAACTCTGCCAGCCTCGACTGAAAGCCAACAATCCACTTGGCGCAGGGGTGCGGTCATAGAGGAAACATGAACAGCGCATGGACCAAAAAATAGAGAATCGGCATCACACCTGTTGCTGTCTCTGTCCATCAGTTGGAAGTTGGACTTCAAAACATGTTTCGATCAATCCATATTTGCTAGGTGCCCACTTTACTCCAATAAGGCGGTTTGGAGAAGGACATCACATGGTGCAAATTAAGTTTTGGTCCTTTCCCATGTATAAAACATAGTTGGGGGGTATTCTTTCTACTTGCATCACCATTTAATAGAAAGATATAGAAAGTGGATGAAAGTGGCATCTTGTGAATGAATAGACTATGAATTATTATGGTGGCAATTGATTTCCCATTTTTTGTGCAGGTTTTGATCCATCCAGATTAAAGATGCCATTCAGTTCGATCATTTTCCCATAAAACTGGTTGGTGGTTGACCTACCCCTCTGAAAAAAATGGAGTTCGTCAGTTGGGATGATGATTATTCCCAATATATGGGAAAATAAATGTTCCAAACCACCAATCAGATGATCATTAAGCCTTCCATTTAGTTCGGAGATTTTCCAGCCGGCCACAGTTGATGCTCGACCCTGGTCGAGCAGCAGGGCCCGATAGAGCTCTGCGTTCTGCGGCAACGGCGTATCCACGGCGCTGATGAACATCGCTGTCTCTTGAAACCTCAGGTTGCAGCAGCGTGGCAACACCATGTAGCACGCCTCTGGTAACTGGATGTAACTGGGCACTGGAGAAAATATGGTGAATCCATGTGAAATCAAGAGCATTTTCCATAGGATTCCATCAGATTTTCTGGTTGGTGGTTTCAACCCATCTTGAAAAATATGAGTTTGTCAAATGGGAAGGATGACATCCCATATGTGGAAAATAAAATTCATGTTTGAAACCACCAACCAGTGATTATTAACCATCATTAACCATCATTAACCATCATTAACCATTATTAACAATTATTAACCAGTCATTAACCATTAAAACCACCAACCAACCAGATCAGATGTTCATAGATTTCCCTGGGGGTCGCCCAGCAACACCACATCGCCCGGCAGGAACTCTTTGGCCGCAAAGGCAGCGACGCCGCAGCCGGGCACGTGCCGCGCCAGCACGCCGCAGGCGATCTGCCCCCAGTTGGGTCGGATGTTTTGGGTCGGACGAATGCTGATGATGGGAATTGGATGATGGGAAAATTTACAGGAAAGCCCCATACTTAATGGTAAAAACCATGGTTTCCTGTAGATTTTCCCTTAAACCACTCCATTGATTTACCCATAGGATCCATGTATGCTATATATGTTACCATCAATATACCCCCAATGTTAGTATATATACCATACATGGTTCCTATGGGTTAAGATGATCTACCTATGATTTAACGTAGAGCAACGATTGATTTTCGGAGATGATTTAGTGTAGAGCAACTAAGTGCCAACTGACTTAATGTTAAGTCAATTCATAGTAAATGCAGCTGCTCTTTCATGCTAGGGATAAAATCAGACTTGTTTGTTGCCTCTTTTATCGACAGTGTCCCAACATGAGCAATTGGGGATCGTCATTCCAAGCAGGGTTGTGAGAACATAAAGAACATATGTCAAACCATAGCCAGCAAAGATGCCACTAAACTGAATGAAGGATTACATCTAATTATCTGGAGTCAATTGATGTCATTCTGGCGTTATTTTCCATGGGAGTCATCACCAGATCGAACATTGGCCTCAAAAAGGTCATGTCCTTTCATCCCGAAGAAAATGTCGCCGACCTCTGCGAAAAACAAACGTTTAACTATAGAAAATGGCCCATGTTTAGTGAATTTACCTATGAAAATATATAATGAGCCATTTTCTATAGTTATTCACCAAACTATAGTGAATTACCTATAATGTTTTTCCATAGCTATGCTATTTTGCCAGGTAAATCCCGCTTTCTTATTGATCCAACCTCCATTTTCTGTTACCATCCGCATCTGCCTCCCACTCCTCACCATCTGCCATGCAGGTGGCCGTGCGAAGCGTTTGGGCGTTTTGGCACAGTTGGAGATGAGATCAGTGGCAAAAGCAAGGGGCCTAACGTATATGGCTAGCATAGATGTTGCTGTGATGATGGCAATCATATACCATGATGATCAATGATGATGTATAATATCATATATATATATAATCATTCTTATGATGCTGATTATGGTGAGATAGTGGTGTTGATGGTGGTGTTGATGGTGGTGGTGATAATGATGATTTTGATGGCTTTGGATTACAGCAACAAGTGGCTGCAGTTCAAGCCCATCCTATGTGCTCAACTATGTGCTGATCAACATGCTGATGCGATGTGCGCGGCGCTTAAAAAATCCAAATCATTGTCTAAACAAAACTAACAAACATAATAACAACTATGGAGGGGTTCCTAAAATGGGGATACCCCCAAATCATCCAAGTCATTAGACCATGACTTAGTATCGAACCCCTCCAAATAATCCAAGTCATTAGACCATGACTTAGTATCGAAACGCATGGTTTTGGGGATTCCCCATTTTAGGAAACCACCATTTCAAATATCACATCATTTCACACACACACGCACATATATATATATATATACAACATACATACATATATACATATAAATTTATTGTAAATGTACAGGATGGACCCCCCAGTTATAAGTTGGTTTATAAATAAATAATTATATTCCCCATTAACTATAGTATACTAGTTCGTTATATCTATCATAAACCATAGTTAATTCAGCCACTGAAATAAGGCAACGGTTCACGCTATGATCCTGTATATGTTGATGCAGTTCTTGTCGTTGATGACTTCACCCTGACTTCACCTGAAAAAAAAGGTGCTGCGAGGCCCTGGACACGTGGCTTGGACCAATAGGATATAGCGCAAAAACGACTTCACAAGATATGAATTTAGTAGGGAAAATATGGGAAAATCATGAAACATCCTTGATATATGATGATAAATCATGATATATTCTTGCAATTTTGGTACCCGGTGTTCAAACAAACTCACTTACGTCGATTCCAGATCATCATCCTAAGCTAGAATGGGACAAAGACCGCCAACCAGTTCAGGCCTCAATAAACAAACAACCCATTACTTTTTGTGTCCTTCAATCCAAGTATAAACATCACGGTTGGTTAGCAATTTCAGTGTTCAGATTCCTTACTGCAAAAAACTCATTTTAATATGAAAGTCATCTACAAGGTGGTAGATTATAACCCCAACTGCAGTTGCTACCACCATTAACCCAACAGGTCGCCTGGTTAGGTTCACCGTTCACCACGGGGCGACCAGTGCTACCAGCTCCCAGCGCCAGGCATCCGGACAAAATGCTCACCTTGCCGGATCAAGGTGTCGCTCGGTTCCGGGCTGAGTTTCTGGGTTCACGGTCCGGTTTTAAGGTGAAACCCAAATTATAAGCATATTAACATATATGAACCATACCCATATGCCATATGCAACCCATGGTGCTGGAAGATGAATCCCAACAAACTTGCCCGAACGTCCAAAATCACCCAGTTATGTAGGGAAATCTACATGGAGCAGTGGAGCATATGGGATAGTCACATGGGGATATAGTTCTCTATACTGATTATACCTTACACATTTGGGATATAAACCACCTAACATAACTAGATGGGCAGAAACTTGTCACTAAGATGGGATGCTTTACTACACAAATGGCCAGCTACAGAATAATGACAGCATCAAGTGATAGGACTGAAAATCGCTAAGTTGACGCACATAACTTGGTGAATTCTAGGTGTTGTGGGCGATATAACTAATTAATGTTGGACGCCGATTAGTATCAGGATTCACTATTGCGTCAAATTTTAACAAAATAATTCTGAATAGGTGTACTTGTTGGGGTGGTACGGTATTGTGGCAATTTTTTTTGAGGCATTTGTTTAACTTGTGTTTCACTTTTGGAGTTTTTCCTCATTTTATTCAAAATAATTAGTTACTTAGTTGATTATTTAATGAATACTTGGAAACATGTTTTTGAACATACAAAAATATAGGATGCCTTATTAAAACCAATTTTTTTTAAACAAAAGCACCCAAACAATTTTTCAAGGGGGCCCAAGCAATCCTGATCTTCAATAGTATGTTTGTTGTGGGGGTCCTCAATTGTGTCCAGTTTTTTGAAGTGATGTTTTTTCCAAAATCCTTATCTCCTTTCCTTTTCCTTTTCTTTGCTAAAGTGTTTCCCTTTTTACTTACTTAGCTCCATTCTTTTGGAATTCTCAACATGTCTAATTTCTCAAAATGTAGGATGCCCGATTAAAACACCATGAAAACACAGCACTCAAACAATTTTTCAAGGGGGTAGCCCGTGAGCAGCATTGATCTTCAATAGTATGTTTGTTGTAGGGTCCTCTATTGTGTCCAGTTTCTTTTGGAGCGGTTTTTTTCCAAAATGTTTCTCTCCTTTCCTTTGCTACAGCTTTTGTCTCTTGCTTAGTTCAATTCTCCTGGCATCCTCTCCTTGATTTCTATAGGATTTCTATAAAGTTTCTATGGACATGTCATGTAATGTCTACGGTGTTTCTGTATGATATTCTATGGTGTTTCAAAATGTGTGTCTATGGTAGTTCTATGGGATTCCTATGGGATTTCTATGATATTTCTATTAGATTTCTTTGGGGTTTACATGACATGTCTTTTTGGTATCTATGATATTTCTATGGGATTACTATGGGATTTCTTTAATATTCTGTGTGATTTCTATGAGGTTTCCATGATGGTTCTATGGAATTTCTCTGGGATTTCAAAGGGGTGTCTATGTGATTTCCATTGGATTTCTATCAGGTTTCTATGGGTCTATGGTATTTCTATGATTTTTCTATGGGATTTCTGTGGGATTTCCATGATAGTTCTATTGGATTTCTATGATATTTATATGGTATTACTATGAGATTTCTATGGGATTCCTATGATGGCTATGGGACTTCCATGACGTTTCTATGATATTTCTATGAGATTACTATGGGATTTCTAAAGGGATGCTGCGGGAATTCTATGGTATTCTTGTGGGATTTCCATTGGATTCCTATGTGATTTCTACGGTATTTTTATAGGATTCCTATGGGATTCCTATGGCATTCCTATTGGAGTTCCATGATGTTTCTATGATATTTCTATGGGATTCCTATGTGATGTCTGAGGGAATTGTATGGGAATTCTATGGGGTTCTTATGGGATTTCTTTGTAATTCCTATGCTATTTCCATGTTATATCTATATAATCTATGATCTTTCTATGGGATTTCTGTGGGATTCCTAAATCAATTGAACATAAACTCAAACTAAATTGAAATCAATTGAAAGTAAGTTGAAATTAAATGAAAATTAATTGAAAGTAAATTGAAATCAATTGAACGTAAATTGAGATCAATTGAAATCAATTGAAAATCAATTGAAATTAATTGAAAGTAAATTGAAATCAATTGAAAGAAAATTGAAATCAATTGAAGGTAAATTGAAATCAATTGAACATCAATTGAACATCAATTGAACATCGATTGCAATCATTTGAAATCAGTTGAAAGTATATATACAAATTGAAATCAATTGAACGTCAATTGAAAGTACATTGAAATCAATTGAAAGTCAATTGAAATTAATTGATCCAATTTTATTCAGTACCTGGTCCCTAAAAGAATAACTTTAAAGTGTAGCCTGAAGTGGTTTGGGGGGGCCCTACACTAATCAACATCCAACATTATAGCAGAAGGTGTTTTTGTGAACCACAAAATAATTTGGGCGCCTCAAAAGTTGAAGGGCAGGGATGGTGACTAAAGGTCTTGGTACGGTACAAAAATAACTTGGGGTTTCACCTGGTACCAAGAATTCAATATTCATAAACTTGGCTCAAATCAGGTAAATGATCTAGGCAGATCCATGGCGATATCAACCAACAGGCATGGGAACGTGGACTGCAAACAGCTCATCCAAGATCTAGGGATTTAAGACCAGCAATGACATTATCGTAGCAACATGTCACAAGGTCCCGAAGTACGTAGGACTACTCACAAAAAAATGTGACAAAAAACATCGATCAAACCACTTTTCCGAGAAAATACTCAGGAATATCTGGGGAAAACAATGGAAAACACATATCCGACATATCCAACCGGAGACCGGTGTAGAGTGGTGTAGCATTGTTTCCATTGTTTCCATGTCTCCCGGAAACCCGTTGATCCGCTCGGGGCCCCGGGCACAACACGCCAGTCATCCGTTCCACGGAGCCCAGGATGGCGCGATGCAAAATCACCGGGCGAGCGTAGCCCGGAGGAAGACCCTCCTGCGTCCGGGCACGGTGCAGGTGAGATCCGGATGCAGCCGGCGGGAATCATCATAATAGATTTTTAAAGATATATATATATATATGTATATATTACATATATTATATATACTGGTTGGTGGTATACCTACCCCTCTGAAAAATATGAAGGTCAATTGGGATGATGACATTCCCAATATATGGAAAAATAAAACATGTTCCAAACCACCAACCAGATATAGATATAAGGCCTTCCATAAAATTGATGGTGCAACTAAGAAACAGCACGGCTAAGAGTGGAAGCAATGGACATTGTTGCAGGGCGAGGTTCCCATGTTTTGTTCCTTCAGATATGGATTTGTGTTTGTGTGTGCATGTGTTAAAACACCATTTAGTTGCTTTAAATTTATGTGTGTCCCAGAATTGGTTCGAGGAACTAATTTTAAAGGAACACCAGGCTTTACTCATGCTTTTCGATAAACCAAGCCATTCTGATGTCTTCAATCACCATTTTGTTGGCTAAAAATCATAATTTTTGCAGGCTAGATCTTCATGTTTGTAGGCTAAATTGCCAATTTCGTTTGTTAAATCCCCATGTTTACAGGCGTTGGTAGGCTCAATCCCCCATATTTGGTTGTTAGCTACCCCATTGATTTCGGCCCCGCTAGCTTTCCGCCGCGCTAGACTGGGAGACTTGTTTCTGGCTGCCCCCTGGCTGGTCAACCTGGTAGGTTTGCTGCTGCCTGTCACCTTCAAAACGCTTGAACGATGATCCAGAGTCGAGTGATACAGTCAGATATTTCCAGGGCCAAATCCACAACTCATATCACCAATATTATGGATAATATTGGATAAACAAATTGCATATGTGCCATGCTAAATACAGATCCATACAGATCTATATGATTCTATGCCATATCAGCTGCGCCTCTCCGGCTGGACTCTCGGCCTGGCGATCTGCATGACTGGGTTTTTTTTGTTGATGGGATCCATGGCACACCAAATTAACAGCAGCACTTAAATGGATCCTAATATGGATATATGATACTGATATATACTGATCATTGAGAATTCACAAGATTTTTTTTTAAAAAATGGGCCACCCTAGTGTGTAGCAACGAATTGAGCCGGAGTTCCCAATGAAAACAGTGATGCTTCAGACACCTCCCAGCTGCGGCGCTGTCCTTGGCATCTTCGGCGCCGGCTTTTTGTTCGCTTTGGTACCGCAGATTGAAACGCAAGGGCCTGGGAAGTGACTCCGTTGGTGATGTGGACTTCATAGCCAGGAATAGGTTGTCCAATATGTTTACATATTTCAATACTACTCACACTAATACAGTAACAGCTGATAAATCAACGTTGTACTAGACTTTCTTGTGCCTAAAGTGAACTTCATGATATGATGGTCTCTGAAGCTTTGGGAGTCCAGAAATTGAACGGCTGGAAGGGAGACGGGGAAAAGTGTCAACTTGAGAGATGCTTTCAGTTCACTTTTACCACCATGTCAACTGATACTTAAAGCCATCAAAAGGAAACTATGCATCGTTGCCATAATTACACATGTGAAATATCGAAAATCTAGTTATGCATATGATGTTTCAAACAGTTAGTTTACACTATATCTATATTTCGCATATTATATTGCACATATATATATATATATGTGTGTGTGTGTGTGTTCCACAGAGTTATTTTACACTATTCTACGGTCACACTTCCCTGTGCATCATCTTGGACTTGGTGAAATCGTCCCAGGTTCCCCAGCAACAGTGTCACCGGGGAGTCACCCTTTTTTTGGGAGTTGGGTGTTGGTAGCACGACACAGCCTTAAGTTCTTGATGAAGAAAAGGTAGGCTGATGTTGTGATGTTTTGGAATCCGTTATTCCAACCAGTATTGATGATCGATACACCAAGTAGTTGCAAAACGAAGTTGCAAAGCCAGCGGACGAACTCCACCAGTGTTTTGCTCCACGCAGCACGGGATTGCTGGTTCAGCAATGTCTCATGGCCAAAGGGATCCCTAGTGCAAATGTTGGGCATTGGGCCAAGAATTACATGGGAAGTCAACATGATCAGATTCCTGAATGAATGACTCAGGCACTTGATGCAAATCAGGCCCAGGAACTGACACGCCCCTAAAATCTTGACTGTAAATGGGATTCTTGGCCTTCGCAGCCTTCAACTTCTTTGCACTTGTGAAATTGGGATCAAAAGTTAAGGTCCAATGACCTTCCGTCAGGACCTTGTGCAAAATGCCAGCAGGTAACGGTTTCGTTAAACAGTCTGCAAGTTGGGCTTCCGAGTGGACCCAACGTGTTTCGGTTTTCAAACGCTCTACTGCCTCTAAAAGGCACATGATTTCAAGACTGATGTGTTTGTCTTTCAAACCTAACGCTGCTGAATTAAGTGTACGCTTCTTCATGATGTCGTACACTGATTTCGCATCTGTGACAAGTGTTCCTGAGATGCGCTGTATGGCTATCTCTGGTCTCTTCAAATCAACTTGCAAACCACATAGCTCAGCCCAAGCTAATCTAACGTACATGAGTTCCTGTTCAGCCTCAGAGAGTGCTTGTGCCTCTGCGGCTAATGAAGATCTCGCCTTCCGTTGGAGCTTGCTCGATTTCCATGAAATGAAGGTCAGGGGTGCTCGCTCACCATGCAGCAAATCAGGGCTCGCAGCAGCCACCACGAATCCGCCAGTGCTACTCAAATCGATACGATTCGCCAGAGCAGCGTCGGACCAGGCTACAAAAACAACTTGTTTGGGGTCATCAACTTGTAATTGATTGATTCTGGTGGATAAATGCCTTGAGCTGAAACATTCCCTGACTAGCTTATTGGCGGCTTTTGCCGTGGAAATAGTTGCCCTTGAAATTTCACTTTGCAACTGTCCCAACCTCGCAGATAGGTGAGGTCCAGATTGGTGAGCTCGCCATTGGATTGCGCCGAGTGCGCCACGCAGCTGCGTCATCTCCTCGGCATTCAGAGGCTCGTGATCAGCTCTCGGCTTGTACTGGATCTGCTCAATGTTTTCACAGAACGCTGAATGATCCAGGGTGTAGCTGAAGTCACACTCCTCCTTGATCTTGACGCCACAGTGACTGTAGCTGCTGAACTCCCATGGCGACCACTTGAAGCGCTCATAGAACTGACTGAGTGCATTCACCCAAGTCTCTGAATCTTCATTTCCAGCTATAAGGAAATCATCCACGTGGGCGCAAATGAACCCAACGATATCTTCTCCACCACCAGGTTCTGGAAGGATCCACAAGCAAGGGTCACTTCGGCATTGCCTGAAGCCAATGGAAGCCAAGGTGTCGCGCACACACGCAAACCAGGAGGCTGGTGCTGAGACCAGGCCATAGCATGCCTTGATCACTTGCACAACCTCATGTGGCTTCAAGCCCATAGCAGCTCCCAGCTCCGGGACTGGTTTTGCATAGAGCTGTCGACCAGCTTCCGTGCAGTCTCCCTGCAAAAATGCGGCTTTGACGTCGGCCTTCATGGCCCTCCAGCGCCGCACTGATGCTTGCTGGAGACCAAGTTGCCTGCTGCGCCTGCTCATCGTCGGTGCACTTGATTGGATGGACTGAAGGTCTGGGTCCTGGAATCCAATGAGGACTATGCGTCCTTTTGCCTCGCCAGATTGCTTGTACGTCAGAACCCAACGCATTTGGATCACCCTCTCCTTGGGGATGACCCCTTCTGCCCTCTTGACAGCGTGTGCCGTCAGCCATTGCTGCACCTCCGCATTCTTTGCCACATCAAACTTTGCACGCTCATTGGCATCCAGAAGATGCCATTTGACCTCAGTGTTGCGCACCTTCTTCACGAAGTAGGACTGAGGCGATCGCTTCATTCGCTTCCAGTCTGACTGCTTCTGTGGAGTGTCAATCTCAAAGGTGCAAACCAAGCGATCTGAAGCCAAAGTGTCACCACTGGTCACACTGCCAATGAACATCACGTCATCCTCGCCACCACCATAGAGCTCCTTCCGCTGCTTCTTGAACAACGGCTGGTTGAAGAGCTCTTGCGTCGGCCGGTCACGAGTGACGGCATCAGGCATGGGCGAGTACATGGGATCACTAAGATACCTATCTAAGTTCAAACCCTGGGAGCGTTCATCACTTTGGACTTCGCTAAGAGGTTTTGACGGACCAGGACGGGACACAGACCGACTCCTACCTCTAGCTACTGGGGTCCTAGTACCCTCTTGTTGCTCTGTGGCTTTTGTTGATTTCTTGGCCGCGGTTCTCTGGTGTGCCCTTCCACCACCGACGACCTCATCTGCCAATTCTTGAAGGGTCTTGTTTTCCACGGTGGCTCTTTGGTGTGCCCCTTCACCGCCACTCGGGTTTCTCACAAGGTCTTGAGGGGTCTTGTCAGCTCTTGCCATCTTGGGCGGCTGTTCAGCAACACTCCTAACTGCACTTCTACTCAAAGACCGCGCTCTCCTAGGCTCACGCGGTGGGCCTTGGGCCACTTCATCCTCTGGAAAAACATGGCTATCTAAAATCTCAAATTCACCTTTGTACAACGTCTGAGCAATGGAGTGAAACGTCCAAGTGGTAGCAGGTGCCTCACTACCTTCTGCTAAAAGACGTTCTCCCTCACTGGCATGTCGAAGTTGTTCAGGAGCGCAACGCTTGAGACGGCCATGCGTCACAATCCAGATGATGTTCGAAGGCCGACGGGATTCACCAATGCCGTCAGTGCGTGTCTCAGTTGCCAGCACTCTTGCTGGTCCATACCATCGCCACAGCTTGTGAGCCATTCTAGCTGCAGCAGCAGGTTGTGCCGGAGGTTTGATGCGTTTGAAAAACACCAGGTCCCCAGGCACAAACTTTTCTACACGTCTGGTCTTTGTGTTGAGTGCTCTAGATACTTGTTCTTGAGCTTGCTGACGAAGAAAGGATTGTTGAGCTTGAACTCGAAGTTTCAAATTCACTGCCATGTTGCTACCTGGAACAGCCGAAGAGGTGAGAAAAGGAAGGTCATGTCCCTTCTCATGCATTTGCCCAATGTGGTTCGGCTGTCTTCCAAACGCCCATTGAAAAGGTGAGTACCCTTCCACTCTCGCCAGTTCATTGTGTGCATGACATGCGTGTTGTATGGCACTCCAAGCATCCACAGCAGATCCTTGGAGAAGCTGGCGGGTAGTACTCTTCAAAGTTTGGATGGCACGTTCAACCACCCCAATCTGCCCATGGGCCTCAGCAGCACATGGTAAAAGTTGAACTCCGCGTTCTTCAGCCCAAGCTCCAAGTTCTGAAGAGCGAAAGGCTCCTTCAGGATCCATGCGGACTTGCCCAGGAAGACCATAATGCCTTACCCAAGTTTCTTGAAGCCCAGCTACAACCTCAGCACCGGTCGCATTGCGACTCTCATCTCGGTTGTGGGAGAAAAGAAAATGAGGAACCACCAAACGTGAAGCTTCATCCACCATGATCATGCAGTGAAAAACTCGGTCATCTATGGGAAACTCCGCATTGTCCATCACCACAGTCTCCCAGAGCGTCTCAGAACGCTGCAAAGCCACTGCAGGATCCAGGGGTGCCATCCTGAGCTCTTGACACTCAGGACATTGATGCTTCAGCGCCATGTCAACCACTTCATAGTGAGCTCCCCGATGTTTCAAGGTGCTTGACAAGGCCTTGTTGGAAGGATGCCCTGTCTTTCTGTGCAACTTGTGGAGGAGCTTCTCCGCACTCTTCCGTTCTGATTCCGTCAGAGGTTCAGGAAGATCTTCAGGTTTCTTCTCTTTAAGGGGGCCAGCATCAAAAACTGGAAACACATCGGTCACCTCATAGTGCTTTGTGTTGGCAATCTCCCTCACCGCGCGTTGAATCACATCGCACATGGCCTGTGGATAAAACCCAGATTCATGAGCTGTAGTTCCACCAAGGCATTCTTTATGATCGTGCCCTCCTGGACATCGACGTTCCAATGCCGTTGCCAAAGTCAAGGATGAAGTGCAAATCCTCCAGGGCTTGCGAATGTGACAGCCATCTCTGTCACGCAGCCCATACGCGCACCCATCAACTCTGGCATCATACAACTTTCCAGCATCACGCAAGGTTTCAAAGAACTTGCGGACCTTGGGCAGACTCCAGCCTCGGTTACCAACCGGCCACTCCCAGCCGATTTCACCACCAAGTTCAAGTTGAAGAAGCGCAAGGTCAAGCCCATGAGAAATGATCCTTCGTGCTCTGGCTTTCCGTTCCTCACTCTTTGCCTTCATTTCAGGGGTTGCTTCATTGAAGAGCTCTTGTATTTGAGAGTAAGGACCACAGGGAAGAGACAGCCAGAGGACGGTAGGACGATTCTTCTTGATCATCTTGGCAATGGCATCTCTACCTTTGCGCTTGCTCAGATCGAAGGCTGGTAGTCCAACTCGCAAAGCTGAGCGACCTCTCGTCAGAAAGGTCTCAGCCAACCTGCTGTCAGGCGGACAGCAGACTTCAATGATGTCCACATCACCGCTGGTGCCAAAGAACTCTTCCATAGCGTCGTTGGCGGCAAGGATGTAGTCATTGGCCTTCTCCTGCAGGAGGTTCTTCTGATCCTTGGTCAAATGGCCAATGCGCTCATCCCCAAACTCAGCATCACCTAGTCCTGGATGACCGTGAAGCCCTCGTCCTTGATCGCCTCGGCCTGCTCTGCTGTCTTCTGGTTCTCGCGCTTGGAAGATTTCTTTGAGGCTTCCGTCACATTGGAGTTTGATGGCCTGGTTGCTGATGACGTCAGCTTGGCCTTCTCCTCCTCCAGCTTCTTCATCTTGTTTTTCAGAGACTCCTGCGCCCCATTGACGCTGATCACCTTGCTGTTCAAGTTCTCTCTGGCCTCCACATCGTTCTCCACTGTGTTCCCAACCTGTCGTAGAGCCACATCTGTGTCCGGAGCTAACGGTCCGGCCTGTCTGTAAGTGGCCTTTGCTCCGTAGGCTGGGGTGTACTGGATCCGCAATCGGCAGATGCTGCACACCTTCCACATTCCATGGCCGTTGCTGCCCGACAACGAGCCTCTCCCCTCCGGCATGGGTACATGTGACCCCATGCAAGGGTACCCCTGGGAGCGTGCATCGCGAGGGTCCGGGCCCTCTGTCCTTGACATGTCGTAGCGCTCCGGGGTCGGCACTCGGGTAGATGCCTTTGACTTGCTCTTTGTCGCCGCTTTGGCTTTGGCCGCCGAAGTCAAAGTCGTAGGCGGCTTTTCCATCTCCTTCTCCATGGATGGCTGTGCCATAGCTGGTAGTAGGCGAAGTTGACGATGCTGCGATAGCTATCAGGGCTGGCAGTGCACGTAGCATGCTTGAGCCTCGAGCAGCATCATCAGAGGTTTGAACATGTGGTGGCCTTTGATTCTCAACTGCATCACATGGAACATCTGGAACTAGTTCTTCTTCCGACTCTTCACAAAACGCATGACAAACTTGATCGCGTTTCACTGATTCACTTGCTGCAGGAGTTGAAGAACATGCACATGCCAAGTGTTGAACAGGAGAATGAGGACAAAGTTCATCATGAGGAGAGGACGTGTCATGTAGAAAAGGTTCATGTAAGGGACCATGTAGAGGATCATGCTCACACAACTGGCTGCTGGCTGCGTCCTTATACTTGGACTGGGCGTCTTGCTCAGATTGTCCAACATGCAAAACACTGCCGTCACTGGCTTGAGGTGAAAACCAATCTTCTGTGAGATCTAAAAGTAGATGTCCATTCGGACCTCTTTTCAAAGGCAGCCAGTGACCCTCTTTGACAGCATTGAAACAAATCATTCCTTCGTCGACATCCACAACTGCTTTCAAACTTCGAAGTGTCTTTACAGACAAAAGAAGAGGAACTCCGGGTGCATCCAAAGTGTGCACTCCCAGCTTGATGTCGCATCCAGCCAACAGCTGTGGTAACTCTACAAATGACGCGGCCCTCTGCTCTTGGCCATTTCCAAAACGAAACTTTCTATGTTTTCCATGCACGGTCACGTTTTCTGGACCATGCTTCTTCCCCCTTTCTCGCATGATGGCATCTATGGCATCTAGTGAGGCAATGGTTTCTGTTGCACCAGTATCAATGACAGCAAAACCAGGATGTTCTACAGCTACGGTTGCAAGGATCTCACCAATGTCAGGGCTTTCAGCTTCTGACTCATCATCAACTGACTCCACCATGAGGATGGATCTTCCAACAAAGAAATTGGTTCTTTTGGTTGAAGAAACTGATGAAGAACCCTGGTCACCACGTTGAGGACATGAACGATAGTCGTGATCTTTGGAACCGCAAACAAAACACTTGGAAAAACTCGGTGAACCAGACTTTCCACTCAGTCCACCCTTGCTGCCAAAAGAAACCATTGCAGAGGGGCCAGTAGGTGAAGTGGTAGAGGACTTAGAAGAACTCTTGTTCTTGCCCTTGTTCTTACCCTTAGATTTGCCCTTCCCCTTGAACATCTGCATAGGATAGTACCCACGCGAAAGCTGCTTCGCATTGTTGAGGGTTCTGCTTTCGCGGAACGTCCTGAGCCGGTCGTTGAATGCGGCATAGACTTCATGGGTTTGCTGAGGCTCTGAAGGATTGGCTTCTATGTACTCTTCCATGTCCAACCATGTTTTTGTATCGGACCATGACCAATATACCCCTTCGCTATCACATGCATAGAAATCATCATCATACCATTCCCAGTGCATCTCATGCCCATCTGGCATCCATGTGCTCCATGCAGTCTCAAAGTCATGGTCAGGGGGGTAAACATCATGAGGAAGACGGTCACCAACCCAAAACACTGAAGTATCTTCAAGTTCATCTTGTACTTCATCAGCTAGCAAACCCCAGTCCACGATTGCGCTGTGCCTCTGCCAGCAAAAGTTCTTCTTCTTGATCTCGCATAGCTCGCTCCATTGTCGCGAGATCCAACTTGTTGCCAATGCTGCTGAGGACAGAAAGTCTCGCACTTGCTGGTAGGCCACTTCTACGTAACAACAACCATCCTAATATTTCTTGGGGAAGTATCTCGACATCATCAAAACCAAATTGATCCCATTGGATTGTATCCTTATCAGGGTCTTGAGGGAAACTATATTCATGTTCTGAACTGTCATACCAAGTGTTCCAGCGACGGTCACGTTCTGCATACCACTGGTTCCACTCATCAGCAGTCCAGCGATCATTGTGATGACCTGGATTCGATGCAGTCTCGGATGTAGGCAGTTCAGCATAGCCCCCATCGCCTGGATTAGGGCGACCTGGATCGGCAGGCTCTCCCGGCTCAAAGCCACCAGTTGCCGGATCAGGCACGCCAAAAGGTGAGGTGCCCATGTCGTGTCTGGCAGGAGGTGAAGTCACATCTGATCTTCTATGTCGTGAGGAGGAAGGACTGTCAGGTTTGGAAGGACCTTTGGGAGACTCTGGACTTCCAAAACGTGCTTCTTGGTCTTTTCGCTGACGTGCCATGGCTCGTTGAAGGCGTCTGTATGACTCTCTCAACTGCGATGCCCATTCTGCCATCGATGAGCCAGGTGCACGTCTAATCTTCATGAAGAACTCCTCAAGCCTCTGTCCCGTGTCCGGGATGGGTGCCTTACACAGGCGATCTTCAAGGAAGTGAAGCAAGTAAGCAGCTCCATCAGCTCTCTGCAACTTGGAATGGTCAAGTTGAGAGCTTGCTACATCCCATGCTCGACCTGTCAGTCGTGAGGCCAGTTCTGCTCCAAGAAGACCACGTTTTCGGTATTCAGTTCTTTCATACTGTAACCTGACCCTCTTCACATATTCTTGCCAGCTTGTGGGGTTTCCATCCCATGTCACAATTTGGTCACGCTTGTCAACAGTTGTCATCAGAACTGTTTTGGCCCAGCAAAATGCCTGGGACCTCCGGTGGTTCTGGACGTCGTCCTGAAGCCCCAGTTACATAAAACTTGCAAAACAAAGTCTCGTCCAGGATCAACAGAATTGTACAAGCTGAAGTTGTCCCAGAAGTCAAGGGTAGCGGTGAAAACCCACCGGCAACGGTAGCCTCCTCCTTTGGAGCGAGGCTCCGCTACCAATGTTGGTAGCACGACACAGCCTTAAGTTCTTGATGAAGAAAAGGTAGGCTGATGTTGTGATGTTTTGGAATCCGCTATTCCAACCAGTATTGATGATCGATACACCAAGTAGTTGCAAAACGAAGTTGCAAAGCCAGCGGACGAACTCCACCAGTGTTTTGCTCCACGCAGCACGGGATTGCTGGTTCAGCAATGTCTCATGGCCAAAGGGATCCCTAGTGCAAATGTTGGGCATTGGGCCAAGAATTACATGGGAAGTCAACATGATCAGATTCCTGAATGAATGACTCAGGCACTTGATGCAAATCAGGCCCAGGAACTGACATTGGGTACAGTAAATCCCCATGAAATTTCCGCAAGAATCCCATGAAAACATCAATCTCAACATAGAACTCCAATACAAATATCTTGAAGATACAAATAACATCCAAACATCCAATCTCATAAACACATAAACACATACTATCCCAGATGCTATAGATAATAATTGTACTTAGAGAACCACTTAGATAACCCACAACTCAGGGCCCAGGCAGCTGGAAGTCCAACTGGATCGTTCCGCACCTCGATCTCCGCAGGGGATACCCTCTGGTAATGACTAACATAGCTATTGAAAATTGCTATTTATAGTGGATTTTCCCATTAAAAATGGTGATTTTCCATAGTTATGTTAGTTTACCAGAGGGTATCTATGAAAATGGATTGGATTCTATATGTACATACATTTACTATTAATAACATTTAACAACCCCATAACATCCAATACCTGGTTGGTGGCTTTAACCATCTTGAAGAATATGAAAGTCAATGGAAAGGATTATCCCATTTTTTTTATGGAAAAAATGAAACCACCAGCCAGATGATTTTTTGATGGGTATCATGGGGATGACGCAATGTGATATAGTTACTGGTTGGTGGTTTCAACCTACCCTTCTTGAAACAATATGAGTTCGTCAGTCAGTTGGGATGATTAATTATTCCCAACTGCATGGAAAGTCAAACAAATCATGTTCCAAAGCACCAACCAGTATAGTTATTACAATTGTTATTATAGTTCAGATATTGGGAGATGTGTGGTGATATCCCAGGGCTGGGTTCGCCTGTCGTAGCTGGGTTCGCAACCCGCAACCATTTCATTTCATCAGATTCAACCGAGACGACGGATTTCATGGGGGCTTCATGGGGATCATTCGATGACCGGTTGAGAAGGCCTTAAAATCCCATCGATGTTCTTTTTCCGCAAGGAAGAAGGAACAAGTTCAGCTAAAACATCAGGAATTCATAAAAACAAGTCTGTCCAACCCTCATGTAGCTTCGTTCCAAAATCGGGTCCCAAAATTGCGGTTTTCCTTTTCCACATCAACATGACATCATTTTTTTCGCAAGCCATAAGTCCATATTTTCTGGGGACAAACCCAAATCACCGAATCCGTCCGAATCCACTGTTCACTGCTCAATTCGCCCTGTTCGACGGTTCAAACATGTTCAAACCACCAGAAAGGTCACCATTTCAGATTGCAAATCTCAATTTCTTCACCATTTCTTGAAGATTGAATCCAATTTCTTCAGTTTTTGAGGGCTACCCTCTGGTAATGGACCATATCCATGGGAAATGATCCATTGAGCTCGCCAACATGATGCCAAAATGCGCCAAAATCTTCCAGTTCTCTCCCATTTTGTCCGATGAAATCCACCATTTCTTGATGTCTAACCGTCTAACCACCATTTTTCACACGTGTTTTTTCAATTCTTTACCCTCTGGAAATTTAACATAGCGAACTGGAAAGATCCACCATTTTCTAGCTGGGAAAATCCAGTATTTCTATGGTCATTTTCAATAGCAAACTGTTAGTCATTACCAGAGGTTATATCCCATTAAATCCCATTAAACCACCATTTTCCTATGGTTTTCCTATGGTTTTCCTATGGTTTTCCTATGTTAAATTACCAGAGGGTACCATGTTTGAGGAATTTTTGGATGCCGCTGACCCCAATTTCAACACCAAGGCGCTGGTGGCCACGGCCCAAGGCATCCTGCAGCTGGATGTCGATCTTAGGACCATAGAAGGCACCTTAAGAGGTCAGGCGGGGTGGGAATGCTCCATTTTTATAGGGATTTCTTATTGGATAAATGGAAAAATATGAGGATAAATGGGATGAATTATTGGATAATGCAATTTTCCCATTTTCATAGGGATTTATTATTGGATAAATGGGAAGCATGGGAAATGCCCTGAGGTTTTAATGGGAAAAATCCATTTGATGGGAACTATAACTGGTTGGTGGTGCAATAACCATCTTGAAACATACGAGTTCATCAATGGGATCGGATTATCCGATTATCCCATATATGGAAAATAAAATTCATGTTCCAAACCACCAACCAGGGATTTATTATTGGATTTTATGGGTTATTAATAGTAAATATATGTAAATATAGAATCCACTCCATTTTCATAAGGATTTATCACTGGATTGGTTTAACAGGGGACAACATCACCGGAAACCATTGTTTTTAGTTACATGTTTTTGCTAGTAATTATGAAATCTAATCAATTGTCTAAGAGATAGAAAATTGACATCCACTGCAAAAATGTAGTGGTAACACTAGTTAGTGGTAAATTCATGTACTAGTACAATACACTATACAATGTATTTATATGTATTTCTGTAATTTGGTGTCATTCCAGAATTGATTGTGATAAAAAAAATCATGATCTTTGCTGGATTCCAGCGGTTTTACGCCTTTTGGTTGATAAGTGGAATTCCTTCAGCTCCAGGAACCAGCCATAACATTTCCCAGCTTTCCGACTATTTGAAACAAAGCTGGGAGGACCCAGAACTCATTTAATCGCAAAAACTCATTGTTCTATGACATCCAGATACATCCAGTATGGAGGCTTCCTAAAATAGGCACACATTGGCAAGTCATTGAGTCATTGGCAGATTTTTTTTCTGGATCTGGGGCTTTCCAAGCATGTACCCCAATCGTCCATTTCTTCATTGGCCCCATATTTAATGGCAAAAGCCATAGTTTCCGGTGAAGATTTTCCCCCAAAAAAACAAGCCACTGATGTCTAGTGTTCGGATCTTCCATTTTTTCAATCATCCATTAAATCATTATATATACATATAATATAAATATATATATATATAACATTATATACCCTTAAATCATCCATTTCTAGTTGCCGGATCTTCCATCATAAACCAACTATGTTGGGTATCCCCATGACTATAAAACGATCGGATCTTCCGTTCTAAACCCATCTAATCTAAACCCACAACTTGAAGGCTACAGGATGGGGCCCCCAGTCGAGCTCGCGTGAACCGAAACGCCTTATTTCAGTGGCTGAATTAACTATGGTTTATGATAGATATAATTTTGGTTTATAGTTAATATGGGCCACCTGTTTTTTGTGGCTATAACGAACTAGTTCATGGGAGTATTTCATGGTTTATAAATGATAGATATAACTATAGATACCCTCCAGTAAATTAACATAGACCCTGCCAGTCATCGGGGTTTTTCAGACTAGTTTCCACTCAAAACTGGTGAGAAAATCAGGGTCAACAAGTTCATTTACCAGAGGGTATATCCCATTAAATCCCATTAAATCCCATTAAACCACCATTTTCCTATGGTTTTCCTATGGTTTTCCCAGGTATTCATGGGGTTTATAAAGCAACGGGGCCCCATCACTGGGCCCCATCCTGCTGGGCTGTCCGGGCCATCGCCCTTCTTCAGGCTCCAGGGCTTGCCCGTCTCTTCCAAGGCCTGGACGGGCTAAGGAAGATCCTTACGGGAAAAGACATGGGAAAACCATAGAGATTTTCCTCAAAAAACAAATCGCGATTGATGGTGATACTGAACACTTTGCTTACTGGAACTTCATGGAACTTCTATATTTTTATACATAGAGACTCATAGAGAGATGATTTGTGATGATTGACCTGTTAACCATAGCGATTACAATACCTAGAATGATTCTAGTAACCCACAAAAAGATAGAAACACGCAACCATACTGGTATTTTAGTAGGATATTACTTTTCTATTTTTTGGGGGTTGCTATAAAGTTTACCAACCATTACCATTATATAGATATAGTCAAGTCAGATCATTCATTAAGAATGCGTAGTGCTATATTGAACCCACAGAATATTCCTAAGACCATAGTATAATTATAGTCCACTGATATTATACATATATACTGCCTTATATATAGTCCACTGATATATGTATATGTATTATAATACCTTTACCTGGCTTTGTGAGGGACGCGCCAGCAAAATGCTACTTCATCAATCCAATGCCTTCCGGCTCTTCAGACATGCGAGTAGTTCAGTGCTATAATCGCATATCCTGAAAAAAAGATAAACAAATAATAATATAATAAGACACAACTGTAACTGAAACTGGATATCACATGAAATCAAACATAGTAAAGCAATACAACATAACTACAACATACATGTTACAACTGTGTAAGATATCCTGACATATTGATATATTAATGTTACCAACACATACGTCAAACATAGTAAGATATACTGACATCCAGCCTGCTGCAATTGCTCCTCAGCCCTCTGCCAAAGCCTTGTGTCGAGGCCCGTCTTGGAGGGTTAAGCCGGTGGTGTAGATATCATGTGTCAGGTGGTCCCCCAAAATGTGATGTTTGTACATGTTTTTGTAGGTATTTGAAACCTATTGAACTATAGTTATATTTTTCCATATCTTTCCGTTCTAATCGTTATACTTAAACTCACCTTGAACTCACCATAACCCAAGAGTTTACCTAGTGACCTAGTTAGAAACGACCTTCGCTAACGACCTTCGCTAACGACCTTCGTCACCACCTTGGAGGAACCTGGAACGAGACGTCGCTGCTTTTTGTCTTCGCCCCTGGCTGCAGCTGTTTCACTCTCCGCGCGCCAATGGCGATGTTTTCGTGTCATCCTGCGGTGGCGAATGAGGCAAGACGGGCACAATGAAAATCAATTGAAATCAATTGAACATCAATTGAAAGTAAATTGAATCTATCAAAATCAATTGAAACAAGCATATTCAGACCCATGCGCTCCAAAAAAAACGAAATTAAAGAGGATCCAAAAACTGTTATTGGGGGGGTCCCCCCTACACTAATCAGGAGCCAACATTAAATATATATGATTATAAATCAATATATGGTCATAAATGGCTGTGACATAGGCGAACTTTACAAAATTACTATCTGACTAACAAGTAGGGGATCTCCACTTTGGGACCAGGACCAGGGGGGTATGAAGAAATATTTACGGGGGATGGATCCTTTTTTACCATGGCATATTCTCTAGATTAATATCATTCAATATCATCAATCATCATATAGTAAATCAATGTAAATCACCATATGATTGGGACCATACTAGTGGAATGAATCTCTCCATCCCCGCATCTTTCTCCAAAAATGCTGGTCTTCGCGTCCTTCCAGGGCTCTACCAGGGCTCTAAGCCCACGAGTTTCTGTCCCAACTCCTTGGCAGAGCATTAAAAAAAACATGAAAATGCGCACGGTATGATCATCCTCTTAATATTGTGAAAATGATGATTGATGGCTATATAACAATCCAACTTTTGACCGAAATTCCAATCTGACCATGCAATAGATATCTAGCTGCCCATATTTTTCACAAACAAAATCGGCAATGAAACATGTTCATATATCTATAACATTCTATAACCAGCTACCAGCTTCGATGGCGAGATATTAAGCAAGCCATGAAAGCAATATTGGAACATGACCTTTCTGCTCAAAGTTGAGGGGTGGAACTGGTGGAACTGAAACTTTCATGGTCGATTTTCGAGTGAGAAACCGCGATATCTGGAAGCTGTACCGGCTGTAGCCAAACCACAATGCTATCCCTGATGGAAATCAATGCAACGAACGTCAAATTTGGCAAATAAACACATGAATCAAAGTACACATGTGCCATGCAATGCAGTGATAATATACATATAGATATATATAGATACATGCATTACAGTAGAATCATCACAAATCAAATCATAAAACCAGAATTCAACAGCAAATGCATACGAATAACGGATATATTTAAATATGTCTGCATGCAATATGTATATAGTTGGGACATGTTGGGACCAGATATGCACCCATGTTTGTCATGTCTGGTTAAATTCAATATGATGAAAATCGGCGTTAGTTCTTTTCGAGTCCTTATCTTCCACATTGCTTTACCTGTAGCTTGGGTCCCTAAGAAACTATAGTGTAGCCATGCCTGCCGCTGCCAAGATACAACACAGAAACAGCCAACGAACCACTCAAGTCTGGATGAGGTATATCATGATATATCTCAAAACTGATTAAACATGATTCAAAGCAACAAGCTGATATTTTCGGGGAAACCTCCAAACCCACCAAGGTTTATCATATCATTTGCTGGGGAATCTCAGTTTGTAGCCTGAGCATGCCTGAGCCATTCAAAATAACCCCTATCCATCTCATGAAATACTGGTTGGTTAAACACGGTTTCCCTACTTTGGCTTATCATAAAACATCAAAATCCATATTAAACAATGTAGTGCGGTCTGATCACAGGTCATGGACGCCCGACCCGTAGGGCCCGTAGGTGTGACTGGATGTGACTGGCCAACCATGTCAACAACGCAGCACCTAGTGAGAATGTCGATGGTTCTTCCGTATTTCATAATTACCCTCCGGTAAACTGTCCCATAACTATGGAAAATCCACCCATGTTCTTGCTGGGTAAATCAACTATATCGACTGGGCCATTTTCAATAGCAAAGTGTTTGTTGACCAGCGGGTAACAGCCCAGGTACTGTGAGTTCAGCAGGCCTGAAGTGTTTGTCCGAGCAAAAGAGGGCCATCTAGGGAAACAAATATAACATTGACGAGATTTAGGGGTATTGTTTGTTCACCTTTTCTCCCAAACAAACCCAACAATATCAATAATACCTTGTTAAAATTATGTTCAAGGTCTTTCATCCTAGAATCCTAGAGGCTTTGCATCCATGGCCGGGAAGCGATTGAACAAGTTTCAGGTGAGATGTCTTTCCAGGAAATGGACGGTGTTCATCGTGAAACATTCACCGGTTGATCTGTTTTCCATTGTGGGTGATGTTTCAAATATTACTCAATCATTTAAATCCAAGCGATCGCAAGCAATAATTTCATAGCATTCCTGCAATGTGATGAACCCTACTTAACTAAGTTGGTGGAAATAGGCAGGTTGAGTAGAGTTTGTGGTCTATATCTGTAGTTGGATGTGTTTAAGACTTGAGCTTATGAACCAACTTAAAGAGTAACTAGGGGGCATCATCTTGTCCATTTGCCGCTGGGCGCCTGCCATGCTCCTCATCTGGTGGAGCATGTGGCAGCTCATGCCTGGGCTGTTCAAACCACCAGCGAACGACCAACCAACGTTTGGACACCAACATGGCCGTGGGAAATTAACAGGTCCTATGATTTTGATATTTATTTATGGTCCTTCAATCAATTTTGGATCATTTGTTTATGAAGAACATGAGCCTGATTTTGATAAAGGGTGCTGGCTGTATCCCACTTTTGTAAACATACCCACGTATATTATAATCCCGATTTGGACCAATTCTTCATTATGTTAAATCCAAAATCTGGTTCAATCCAACGTTTTACAAGACTCTAACGGCCCCATATATCACTCCCAATGGGTGTTGCCTCCAAGAAATTCACCCAGGATTTGCCCTAAACCAACATAGATGTGGAAAACCCATGGGGGCTCCCGATTGGAAAATGATCAAAAGAATGATGGGTGGCTTCCACATCCCATAATCATTCCATGCAAATCCGATAATCATCCTATGAATAAACACCCAATGATCCCATTCATATCCCCATGAAACCATGAAAACAGCCATGGTTTCTTCCAGTGTTATCCCATTGATATTTACATTAAGATTAATTACCATTAATATATCCCATTCACGAGATATCTATTCCCATTGATCTAACATATATTTCCATAGCAATATCCTAGATTCTATTCGCATTATATATTGATCCTTAATACGAATTATCATGAATCATGATTTATATTCTCATTCATTATCACCCATTATTGTGGATTTTCATATGCCCATTATTAACCATCTATAATCTATATATTTCCATAGGAACATCCATCCATATTCCCCAGGACCTACAGTATCCCCCAGGATCCATCTCAGCGACTCCAAGGGATCCTCGTCCAACAGCGGTCTGCGCTCCTTCCACCGCAACAGGCGTTGCTCTCGGCTCAAGCGCTGCACGGCTCCGGGGCTGTCGTAGGCCAGGGTGCCTGGCAGGTGCGGGACCGAAAAAAACGATCTAAAGGGGAAGTGGGTGGGGTGGTACCTGGATTTGCCTATATTATGTAGTACTTGAAATCTTGAGATATACTACGAGCTCAATATCTCAGGTCAAGAATATATCCTATAACTTCTCACTTAGGTTATGTTTTGTGCATGGTTTTTACCCGCCTATGATGTCAAGAAATGTCAAGAATGCACATCCAAGATCATCCAACTAGAAATTCGAGTGAATTGGGATCTAACATGTGGAATGGGATGCAGATGGCCCAGATGGACAAAGTGTTCAAGTGTAAGTCTGAGATAGTCCAAGTGTAAGTTTTGCTAACTGCATGTATTTTGATACATCTTGCGCTCCAGACTGACCCACAGGACGCCGTTTTTTTTTTGTTGCACGGCTTAGTTGGCATGGCACACACAGTTGCCCTTACCTCAGTGGTGTCAACCAAGCCAAGGCTGGGAGAAAAGAGGGACGCAGGACGGCCCGGGCCCCCAGTGATGTTTGTTGGTTTGAAAACCCCATGAATACTAAATGATTACCTATGATTACAATTTGCAAGTATCATACATGAAGTTGGTGGAGTTATAGACCAACTTTGAATGGTTTAAAATTTAAACTTACCATTTAAATCTGGCCCATACAATGGGATATGCAACCCGATCTAAAGTCAGGAACTCCATCACCAGCACCAAACCGCACCACTAGCTAGGTCGATGCAACCCAAAAAGGTCGTATGATCAACATGCGCAAAACCAGGCTTCCCGGGAGCATTTCACATACTGCACAGAAAAATTCTGCAAGGATATATCTGGAAATTTGGCAAATCCAATCATCAATCCAATCCCCATTTTTCCAGAATTAGGTGGCACATCTATACATGTAGTGCATAGCCATCCCCAAGGTTAATTTTATTGGGAGATGCCTTTCCCATGGTTTTGTCCGTAAACTCAGACATCCAAGTGACGATACCCCAAGCTGTGCAAGAGATCCAACATTTGTCGCCAAAGACCGCGCGTGAGCCGTTCCAATGGTCGGCTTACAAAGCTGTTGAGCGAAATGGACGTTCCTCAGCTTCCCCATATATAGACTGAACTGACTGAACCAAGGTTTTGGTTGGGGGGTAGTTAATGGTGGGTTTGATTAGGGGAAAGGTATTATTAAAAAACAAATCCCCTATGTTTCAATCATTGGCGGGTTAGAATCAATGATAATCATCACTTTAAAAGAGGTATGTAGACAATAATAAACCACAAATTGGGGATGGTTGTGGGGTGTGTCACGGGTGAAAGCAGCCTCCCAATATCTCCCAGTCTTTTTGCTTGGCACAACCCAGAGCACACCATGGATCTAACCACTTCAGTTCATCTCAAGACCGAGAGGCTAGAGGTGGTGAGCACAGCATGCCACCTGAGCATCTGGTGCTCCAAAATCGTGGGAAATGGGAGAGGACACCTGCTGGGGAAATGTATGGAAATGCAGGATGGAAGCAACAACAAACTTCAAATGGTTTGATCTATTTAAAGGAAAGTGGAAATTACCCTGCAAGAGGAAGAACTCAATCAACCGGGGCTGGGTTATAACTGTAACGACTCGAAACAGGAAGCGCAGGAGCTAGATTTACATCTAAAGAAATAGTTCCAGTTACTATGCATTTTTTCGCATGCATACAATCATACATCCAACATACCCTACTATATAAATACTACCTGGATCACAAACCATGACTACGTGCAAGGACGCGGATCATTCATCTTGTTTTGTTCATAACTGTCCTTTGCATTAGGCTTGCCATATTTGGATAAAGCTTGGGGGACTCCGCGACAGCGGATTGACCATGGCCAGACCGACATCTGTTCATATCAAACACCCAGTATCGGTGTTTCAGTAGAGGGATTTTAAATGGTTTACACATGAATAGGGGACCATACAATGGGGATGTTTAAATATGTTTAATATGAACATGTCATTTAAGTGATTTTCATCACAAATTCTCCTCACCAAGGAACCAAAACGCTGGAATGAACAGCACATCCCCAGGATGAAGTTCCACGACCTCCCACGAAGTCACATCTTTGAAGCGCGGGTGTCGCTTGTAATCCTTACCCAAAAAAGGCACGGCTGGGGCTGGGAGGCGTCAATGGAAATCGGATAACTGCATGCAGAGATGTCAACCCAGAATTTATAAGGTCAAAGTTTACGAATAGGAAGGTTTGATTGCTAATCTTGGTTTTAATTTGGGCTGCAATTTTTTTGGGGATTTTTTTCCCGTTTTTTTTGGTGATTTTTTTTCCCGTTTTTTGGGGTTTGATGGTTTTGATTGGTATTTGCAGCGTTTTGCAGCTAAGCTCTCTGATTTGCATGGTGTTGTTGTTGTTGTGGTTGGATGGATGGATGGATGGATGGTTGGTTGGTTGGTTGGTTAGTTGGTTGGTTGGTTGCTTGGTTGGTTGGTTGTTTGGTTGGTTGGTTGGTTGGTTGGTTGGTGTTGGTTGGTTGTGGTTGTTGTTGTTGTGGTTGGTGGTTGTGGTTGTGGTTGTGGTTGTGGTTGTGGTTGTGGTTGTGGTTGTGGTTGTTGTTGTTGTTGTTGTTGTTCTTGTTCTTGTTCTTGTTCTTGTTCTTGTTCTTGTTGTTGTTGTTGTTGTTGTTGGTTGTTGTTGGTTGTTGGTTGTTGGTTGTTGGTTGTTGGTTGTTGGTTGTTGGTTGTTGTTGTTGTTGTTGGTGATGGTGGTGGTTGTTGTTGTTGTTGGTGGTTGTTGTTGGTTGTTGTTGTTGGTTTGATCAAATGGATCTCTTCCTTTCCCTTCCTTTCCTTTCCTTTCCTTTCGTTTGCTTTCCTTCCTGTCCCTTCTTCCTTCCCTTCCTTCCCTTCCTTCCCTTCCTTCCCTTCCTTCCCTTCCTTCCCTTCCTTCCTTTCCTTCCTTTCCTTCCTTTCCTTCCTTTCCTTCCTTTCCTTCCTTTCCTTCCTTTCCTTCCTTTCCTTCCTTTCCTTCCTTTCCTTCCTTTCCTTTCCTTTCCTTTCCTTTCCTTCCCTTCCCTTCCCTTCCCTTTTCCCTTCCCTTCCCTTCCCTTCCCCTTCCCCTCCTTCCTTCCTTCCTTCCTTCCTTCCTCGCACCTTCCTTCCACCAGAAAACGGGAAAAAATCAAAAAAAAACGGGAAAAAATTCCCCCAAAAAATAGCCCTCCTTTTAGTTTACTGTTCTGAATGTGATTGCAGGTTGACGCGATTTGCCATGTGCTTGGCAAGTGTAGTATCTGATCTTATCACTCGTGAGGCATTTCAATTCGAGACCAAAAAGGCCTGTGCCTTGCCCTGTTGAACTAAGGGTTATGAGCCCAAATTAGCTGGGCGTAGGGATCCGCAATGGCAGCTGAAAGGAGAGCATCTTCATTGCCCCCTGCAAATCCTTTTTGGAGCGATAGAACCCAAGCTGATCATGAGTTGGAACAAATGAGGCCAGTGAATTTAGAAAGCTGGGAGGCTCCTGTACCCCATGATGATGATGACTTAGATCAATCCCCACGTGTTCCCTTGCCAAGCGGTGTGTCGGGACATGATCGGGAACATGGGCTGCAGTTTCAGACTCCTGGTGATGCGAAACCAGCTGCTCTGACTTTGGATAGCGAGAAGCCTTGCGTTGAAGAACCAGAGAAGTTGGAGACGGAGGTGACCTATGAGCCTCTGCAGCATGATCAAGCGACTGGGAAGCGTCCTGAGAGGGTGTGGAATAGAAGGGGACAGTGTGATGAAAAAATGTCTTCAAAAGCTGTACCAAGTTGTGATGAAAATGAAAAGAAAGAGAGTGGACTGGAGAAAGATTTGGGGGATCAAGTTTTGCAGCACTTTCAGCAAGAGACGGTGAGACTTCAGAGCCAGAATGACTCCTTGATCAAGGAAATTCAGAGACTCAAGGAGGAGAAACAGCGTAGTGAACTGAATGTTCCATCGTCCTGGAATGCAAGTGCTAGGCAACCAACACCTCCACCTCGAAAGTCCCCACAGACTCGAGAATCTCAACATGTTTGGATGTCACCAGACACTTTCAGATGTACTCCAAATGGTACACGTATCCCTTCTGGACCTCCTCCACCATCGCCACCACCTTTGCCCGCTTGGCCAGTTGACTTGCAGGGCTATGAAACCTGTTTGGAGCCGCCAAGGAAGCTTCGTGGGGTGATGGGTGATGTCCAGTACAAGATTGGAGGAGGCGTCATCACGCCACGGGAGGCCAGAACCATGTGGCTTGAGAGAGAAGTGGAGTCTTTGAAAGAACGTTTGGAAAGAGAAGCCATCAAAAACAAGTCAACGTTTACCTCAGGGTATTGGAATGTTCCTTTTGTGACTGAAGCCACTAGGGACAGAGAAACCAGTGAAGCAGTGGCATACATGAAAAGAAATGCTGGCGTTGTGACACCTGATTTGCCTAGCTCATCACATGCATGTCCACATTCGTCACAACCTGGTCATGTTGATTTCATGCGAGCGTTTGATGACGCTCATCAACCTGGTGGGGGGAGTGCAGTGCTTGGAGAACATGCTCATCTTGATCGGGCTAGCTTTCAGCAAGGGTTTGATGCCAATTCACGTCATGATCGGGCTTCCTTTGCACATGAGCATGGTAAAGTATGTCCTCCCAGTCGGGTTAGCATGTCGCATGAGCATGGTGATGTATATCAACATGATCGGGCTAGCACGTGGCGTGAGCATGGAGATTTATGCCACCAAGGTCGGGCTAGCATTTTGCATGAGCATGGAGATTTATGTCATCAAGGTCGGGCTGGCATCATGCATGGCGGTTTACGTCTTCACGATCGGGCTGGCATAGCGCGAGAATCAGAATGCCATCACGGTCGGGCTGATAGCACTGCATTGCATGAGCTTGGTGAAGTATGTCAACATGGAAGTGCTGGTGGCCGAAGTCACACAGTGGAAGGAGCCTCGAGTCATCAACGAGGTCTGAGATGTGATCGTGACGTGGTAGAAGATGGAGATCTGAAGGCAATACCCATTCAGTTGCCTCAGCTACCCTCTCCTGAGGGACGTGATGCAAGCTTGGAGGCTGGAGATTGGATCATTCAACTTGAACCTCTTGTGGGTGATTTGTCAAAGAATGCCACGGCTTGGTGGAGGCGTGTGATGGCAGCCACCACCGAAAAGTACTCCCTTTGGCTGTACTCTGACCCACTCTCAGCTGCAGAACTTTGTGCGCAGTTGCCGGATCCATTGTTGATGATCCGAACACTGGATGGCATCTCCAAACCAGTCGTTGATGGTTCTGCACAAGCGAGCTTCAGGATTGCAACTTTCCGCATGAAGCACAACCTGGATGTTCAGCCATCACTGCAAAATCTGTGGCTGTTCTACGACTTGCTGCTGGCAGAAGCTGAGGTTGCAGTTCACTCCACGACTTGTGCTAGTACGACCCCTGAACCACGAACTCCAACAAAGCCTGCAGTGAAAGCGATGCAAACTACTCCATCTACCGGGGGAAAATCCACATCATCTTCCTCAACAAGCTCTTGGCCATGCAAATTTTGGATGTCAGAAGGTGGTTGCCGTCAAGGGCAACGTTGTCGATGGCCGCATCCCTGGGAGTCTGGTGTTGAGAAGACTGGCCGATGTTGGAATTGCAGCTCAACTCAACATCTACAACCAGAGTGCCCTTACAAGACACAGGTGAAGCCACCTGCGGGGGGAGATGGAGGCGGAAATGATGGAGGTGGAAATCAGAAAAATGAAAAAGGAAAAGGCAAAAATGGCAAAGGGAAAGGTAAGTCAAAAGTTGAGACGCAGAAGACTGTCACCAAAGAGAGCCTTCAAGCTGATGTCAAAAAAGAGGAAGGCGTCAACAAGGGTGTGGTGAGTGCGGAGGATGAAGTGAAAGGAAAAGGGGATGGAACATCGGCGTCAAACAGCAATGGCGTCGGAGGTGGCAAGAAACCTGAGACCAATGGCGCTGCAGTTGCAGTTGGATCCAGTGAGCTGCTCAGTGAAGCCACCAAACTTCTCAAATCCCTTCATCTTCCGTCTATGAAGAAGATCACCCTGCAAGAGCTTGGAGATCCTTTGATGAGCCCTTCGAACTTGATGCTGCTCGACAGTGGCGCTACTCACTCCTTGCGAAGGGCAAGAACTTGGGAAGAGTGGGATCAAGCTCATCAAACTGTGGTGGCATTGGCCCAGGGCTCAACCTCCAATTTGCGTCTCAAGCATGCTACCTGCACTCTTTTGTCAACACCTACGGATGGCAGTTTTGGGAACGGCATTTTGCCCATGGGTGCACTGGCTAAGATTGGATATGAGATTGTCTGGAGCGGGGGAGACTGCCGGGTACGTGGACCAGCTGGAGAAAAGATCAACGTACAGGTTGTCAATGGATGCCCTATGATTGAATGTAAGAAGGGCATGCAACTGATGGAACAGCTGGAGAACGACAGTCAACTCTCTGCCGCCAGAACTGCAATCGTCAGTGCTATCATGAAGCAGCCGGACTTGATGCATCAACTCCAAGAACTAGATGCTGAGACCCTTTTTACAGTCATGATCAAAAAAGAATTTCCTGATTTGCCGGATGCAATTTGCCGGCGTGTGGTGCCAAAGATGTCAGAAATTGACAGTGAAAAGCTCCCATGGAACAGAAGGCTGCGACGAAAAATGATGAAGTCAAAACGAGTAGTACTTCATCTCTTCAGTGGCCCTGATGAGAAGACCTGGAAGGTGTTGGATGATGCCGACACTATGGTGATTTGTGTAGACAAGGTCCTGCACCCACGAAGCGATGTGCTCAATGACCATCTCATGATGTTCCTGCTGAAGCTGGCTATGACAGGATCTGTTCACGCTATTCTTGGTGGCCCACCATGCCGGTCTGTCTCGGCCTGTCGCTATGCTGATGATGGAGGGCCCAAACCAGTGAGAAGTGAACAAGAGCCTTATGGGTTGGCTACTCTGTCGCAACAACAGCGCGATTGGGTTGAGGATGACATTGCAATGCTCTTCAGGATGAAGTTGATCTACATGGTGGCTGATCACTATCGACCGTCTTGGTGTGAGCAGGTCATCTTTGCGTTGGAACAGCCACAAGATCCCAAAGAGTATCGGCCTCAACAGGACATTGACAAGCACCACTACATGAGCATTTGGAGAACCACAGCATGGAAACTTTTCCAGGCCAAGTACAATCTGACTTTGACATCTTTTCAACAGGGGGCATTTGGCCACCCAAAACCGAAACCCACCACTTTTGCTCACAATCTACAAGGTTTTGAGGAGTTGGAAGGTGCCAAAGCAGTATATGAAAATCCAGATCATGGCTGGCGAGATCGTCCTCTTGAAGAACGTATTCAAGAATCTGCGACGTGGGCACAGTGGGCTCCAGGGTTGAAGGCTGCCTTGATTGAAGGCTTGAAGAGGCAGTTCAAGAGAAGGGATGCTGGGCGCTGTCACATCGGGGCACCGGGCAATGCGGAGGAGGCAACCTGGGACTCTGATGATGATAGCTCAAAGCCCATGCATCAGCAGCCCCAACTCTGTCCCCTGTCCGCAGTTGCATTGACAAAATGGAAAGCTCACATCCTGAACGACCACCAGCCCATGAGAAGAGACTGCAGAGCCTGTGCGGAAGCTGCAGGCCAGTCTCGACATCACCGACGAATCCAACATCCAAGTGCCTATTGTCTTTCAATGGACTTGTCCGGCAAGATGAAGCGTGGCAAAGACCAGTTTGGCTCTGCCGGCGCATACATCCTGATTGGCTGCTACACATTCCCAACTACACTGGATGATGTTCCCCTTTGCGGCCCAGATCAACAACGACCACCAGAGGATGCTCCGCTACCAAGCTTGGGTGAGGTAGTGGATGAAGATGGTGTGGATGGTGATGTGGAGGATGGAGAGCTTCCACGTTTTGAAGCTGACGTGGAGGATCAACCATGTGAGGAGGATGATGCCGCAACTAACCGGGCCAAGACGGCTTTTGACAGCTGGATGAAGTTGGTGGAAGAGCATAAGCAGGTCAAGGTCAAGACTTTGACTTTTGCGGAAGTCATCACCTCAAGAGCTACAGGCCATGTCTTGGAAGGTTTGGCAAAGATATACGCCAAAATCAGGAGCCTGGCACTTCCAGTTCTACGGCTGCATGCCGATAGGGCACGAGAGCTGACATCAAAGGCCATCCAGGCGTGGTGCCACAGTCGCGACATTGTAGCGACATACACCTCTGGCTCTGATTGGAAAAGCAATGGGAGGGCAGAAAATGAGATCGGCATTGTCAAGCGACATGCAAAAATTTTGATGCGGGCGCATAACATCAATGAGGAGCGATGGCCCATCCTTGTGAAGCATGCCGCAGAGCGACGTTTGCGATGGCAACTCCAACAAGTTGGCTATCCTGTGCCTGATCTCTTGCCCTTCTACACCAAGGTTCTGGTCAAACGAAAGTCCTGGAATCAAAGATATGCTGCATGGAGGTGGGAACGTGCCCCTGGCCGTATTTGTGGCCCTGATCCATGGTCATCTCTGACACCAGGTGGGTACTGTGTGCAGCTTGAAGATGGGACTTTCTTGGCATCTACAGATGTGGTGGTGGAACAATCAGAACTGGGGGAGGGACTCACATTGGATCTGGTAGTGCAAGAGCGACTTCAAGCTCCTGGTGAACAACAAATTTCTGAAATTCCCAAGCGCCGTTTGCGCTTCAAACAAGGAGTTCCTCAAATGGCTCGCTTGGAGTTGGGTTCCAACTCGGGGGAGAAGGTTGATGTTCAGGCCAAGTGCAACAGCGAGTGTGATCATGTTGAAGTCAAGCGACTTCTCAAAATGCATCAAGAGACTGCAAAGGTCTTGTCTGAGGAATGTGTTCTTGTGGACGACTTGGATCCTGAACAAGCAGCTTGCATCCCAGCGTTGGCAATGTTGGCTAATCAAAAGTTCGATTTGGAACTTCAGCTGCGAGCTCTGGACTTGGAAAAGAAGCACAAGGAGGAGGAAGAGAATTTCTTGGTGACAAAAACCATCACCACTGAGCAGGTCTACAAAGAATGGGATGATTGGAAGCTTGCCATGATGAGCGAATACACATCCATTGTGGAGGAGAAGAAAGCTGTGCGACAAGTGAAAAGATGTGAAGCACAGCGCATGGCAACGGAGAGCAACATCAAGTACGAGGAGCTTCCAAGTAAAGTGGTGTTCACGAGAAAGATGGGTGGAAAAAGGAAGGTGAGAGCATGTATTTGTGGCAACTATGAGAATGAAGTTGCCACTGCCACATATGCTGGAGGTTGTGACGCATCACAGATCCGATGCCTCATTCGTCATGCAGCACTGGAAAAATGGGCCCTGTACGGGACTGACATCAAATGTGCCTTTCTGAATGCGGAGCGCAAAGACCGCACCAAGCTGATTGCCATGTCTATCCCCTACATCTACGTCAAACTTGGACTTGCATCACATCAAGATGTTTGGTTGGTCGATGCTGCTATGTATGGCCTAGTGCCAGTCCACGTGACTGGTCAGACCATCGAGATGAAACGATTCCGAACATGGTGTGGCAAAGGGAGGAGGATGGCAAGAAATGGAAGGGCACCTTCAAGAGGGCTGCGGATCAACACCTTTGGCATTTACAAGAGGAGTGTCTGGAATCGGGGGAGGTTTGCAAACGTGGTCTCATGGCTATATACGTTGATGATGTTCTTCTTGCTGCAGGAGATCCTGTCGCAACTTGCGCTCGCAAAGCAATAGCTGAAGTTTGGGAGTGTGCTGAACCAGAAAGGGCGACTCTGGAAAAGCCGGTATCTTTTTGCGGCTTTGAAATCCAACAGAACAGCTCTGAGCGTGGCGGAGGTTTTAGACTTCATCAGCATAGCTATGAGGAGGAGCTCATCAAGAAATGGGAGGTTCATCAAAGCTCATCACAGGTGGACTTCAAACTTCCTCTACCTGAAGAAGAAGCAGAATTTGTCAAGTCTGAAAACTTGGACTTGGTGCGCCGTGCGCAAGCTTGCACTGGTGCCTTGCTTTGGCTTGCGACTCGAACCAGACCGGAGCTGTCTGTGGGTGTCGCTGCTATGTCAAGACTCTGCACGAAGGCTCCAGAGATTACCATCAATCTGGGCTTGAAGATGATGAGCTACTTGAAGCGACCATCACATGGAATGATCTATGCTGACCAACCAGGTCCAGTTCATGGAGCACGTGGTCAACTGAGCAAGCCAAGATGTGTGCGTACGGTAGAGGCTTTTTCTGACATCTCCTACGCGTCAACGAAGGGGTACAAATCTCTTCAAGGCCAAGTCTACTACTATGCTGGTGCACCGGTGATGTGGAACACTAGCAGGCAACCATTTCCAACTCAATCAACTGCCGAAAGTGAGCTGGTCAGCCTTTGTGAGGCACTGGTTGGTGGCAGAGCTACAGCAGCTTTGATCGCAGCCATTCGAGATGAACCTCCTGAGAAGTTGGTCAAGCGACTTTGGGGAGACAATGCTGCGGCCATTAGCTTAGCCACAGGTGAAGGCCAAGGGAGTTGGAGAACGAGGCATTTGCGCATCAGAGCGGCGATTTTGAGATCTGCGCTGCGCCACAATGAGTGGGACTTGGGACATCTCCTGGGTCGTGAGCTGGTGGCGGACTCCTTCACCAAGATTGTCACTGGCCCTGCGTTTGAGAAGGCGCTGCAAGATCTTTGCATAGCCTCTGATGAGCTCAAGGCGCATGGCGATGGAGCGGGCATGCGACATGATCAAATGAATGCAAAAATAGCGATGTTGTTGGGAGCAACGCTGTTGTCTGGCGCTGCTGCAACAAGTGATGAGGAGGGTGATGACCAGTTGTCCTGGCTTTGGGTCGTTGGCTTAATCCTGATGTGCGTGGGAGCAGTCTATGTGAGCGACAAGATGGTCCGAAGTGGCATGTGGCTCTATAGAAGACTGATAGGGGCATCGGGCAGCCAAGTTGATGTGATGTCCAAAGGACGGCCACCGTCACCTAGCATCAGTATGTTGCAGTGGAGCAGTAGCAGTGAGGATGAGAGAGAGCGAAGGGCAGAAATGAATGCACAGAGGGCCGCCTATGCGCAACAGGCTGATGTCGATGAACTTCGGGCCATGGTGGCGCAAAGTCGGCGTATCCAAGAAGATCCCCACAACAAAATGCATGGCAGAACTCCCGAGATGTATGAGGACACGTCTCAATTGCCGAGACGACGCAAAAAGAAGGCGGAGAAGAAACAACGGGATCCAGAGGCTGAAGAAGCGGCAGTAGAAAGGGCACATCGTGATTTGATGAATCACCTGGGAAACATTGGTGGAGGACCATTTTCACGGCGGAGGTCATCACGATCGGGCTCTGGCGGTGCTGCAGCATCTTTTGCTCCTGGGTCGATGGAATTTGGCTACGGAGAACCGAGCTATGTTGCAGCTTCATCAAATCAGAGCGCATTACGTTCGGGCTCTGGAGTTGCAGCTTCATCAAATCAGAGCGCATTACGTTCGGGCTCTGGAGTTGCAGCTTCATCAAATCAGAGCGCATTACGTTCGGGCTCTGGCTTTGCATCTTCATCAAATCAGAGCGCATCACGTTCGGGCTCTGGCATAGCATCTACTTCAAATCAGAGTGCAATGCCATCGGGCTCTGGTGGTGCTGTGGTGGCGTCTGTGGGAGATGAGCGGCGTAGTGAAGGTTCCACTAACCGGTGGAACGAATTCCAACATGAACACAGCGGGCGTAGCTGGGGCTCTGACAAGTTCAGAGCTGAATACTGGAAGTATAGAGCCACAGGGCAAAAGCCAAAGTAGCTTAGGGATAAATTCGTGAAGATCAATCCGAATGCCTTGGGTCAATTCAGCCTATTTTCTTTTGGCATCATATTTTGATATTTTTCTCAGTACTCCCTGAGAAAAAGGGGGAGTCTGAATGTGATTGCAGGTTGACGCGATTTGCCATGTGCTTGGCAAGTGTAGTATCTGATCTTATCACTCGTGAGGCATTTCAATTCGAGACCAAAAAGGCCTGTGCCTTGCCCTGTTGAACTAAGACTGTAATTGGGCGCAGTAATCCCCCAAAAAAAAGAACCCCTAAGTGCGGACTTTATTAATCCACGATTGACATTGTGATATAGCTATGACAGTATGACCCTCAAGGATTGAATTCAAAAGGGGTGGAGACCTATTTTGCAACGGTTTTCCCAAGTAAAGGATCAACCCTGGGCCTGATGGCATCACCAATGAGAATCAGAAACACATGGGTTGGTTCTGTAGAATAAGATGGGGATAATTTTAGGGAATCACTGGATTTTGCGGTGGTCAGACATTTGTTCAAACATTTTATTGTTCACTTTGCACAGACAGTGCAAGTACACACTACGATATAACGATGTCCTGCGCTTTGTGAAGGTCTTGGGTTGCTAGAAGATATTCATCAAACATATTCCACATAATCCCTTCCCCTTAATGTTTAACACCCCCTTAGAAACCATGGTTTAGTAGGGAATGTCCACATAATTGGGACCATTTATGGGGTGTTTAATATCAGGGTGATGGCATGTGATGGCATTAACATATTTTTAATGTTTGAAACCACCGGTTATACCAACTGGCTCAGACTGGGTCGTTCCGTCCTTGCACCAAGGCACGGGGTTGAAGACGTCCACGTCGCAACAGCGGGTGCCGCTGTCGTATTTCGTGTTGACGTAGAGCTGGCCGTGGCCCTCAGGTGGGAATAAACACACGCGCTTCGTCCCCTGGCACTGCACCAAGAAGTTGTCCTTGAAACCAGGTCAGTGGGATGAACATGACTGGTTGGTGACTGACCTATCCCTCTGAAAATATGAAAGTCAGTTGGGATGATTATATATATATATATATATATTCCCAATATATGGAAAAACTAAAAATGTTCCAAACCACCAATCACATGAAATATGTTGAAATATGTTGAAATGTAGCCTGCAGCAATGAAACTGCTGGAAAATCCTAGTTTTACTGGGATCTGGATGGGAAAACCATCTGTAAATGCTGGATTTTCCATTGCCACGTTTGAATATGGAAGGTACTGTATATTTGGAAACAAATGCATAGGATGATGACAGAAACAGCAAGCACTGTGAATGTTTGGTTTTGACACAACGTTGAATTTGCAAGGTCATCGCAGGACTTCTTCAAAATCAATCATTCAGCATGTCCAAACACACCCTTCAAGGGATTGGTGATCTTTGGCATTACCTGCAGTAGCATCCTATCCAGTCCTGGTGGACACAGGCCGCAAGAACCGAATTCTGCAGCAACTTGCAAGCACAAACAAAAGTTGGTTCCGAGAACCGGATACTTAAACTTTACTACCAAGAATGCCTCAAATCTGTGAGTCGAGCGCCCCATTCCCTCCTGCCACAATTTCAAACAAGATGAAGCCCACGAACCCGAATGCTCACACGTATGTTAATGGTACAGTATCAAAACACATGGTTATGCAGTGACGCACAATACCTTTTTGCAATAGTTTATTTGAACAGTCTTGTACATGTTTCCCTTGTTACCAGTCTGCAGTGTGGAGTGGAAAGTGTAGAGTGTGGAGTGTGGAGTGTGAAGTAAGGAGTGTGGAGTGTAAAGTGTGGAGTGGGGAGTGCAGAATGTGTAAAGTATAGAATGCGGAGTGTAAAGTGTAGGGTGTGGAGTATGGAGTGTAAAGTGTGGAGTGAGGAGTGTAAAGTGCAATGTGTGGAGTGTGGAGTGTAAAGTGTACAGTGTGGAGTATGGAGTGTAAAGTGTAGAGTGTGGAGTGTAGAGTGTGGAGTGTGGAGTGTAGAGTGTAGAGTGTGGAGTGAGGAGTGTAAAGTGCAAAGTGTGGAGTGTGGAGTGTGGAGTGTAAAGTGAGGAGTGTAAAGTGTGGAGTGAGGAGTGTGGAATGTAGTGAGGATTGTAAAGTGTGGAGTGAGGAGTGGAAAGTGTAGAGTGTGGTGTGTAGAGTGTGGAGTGTGGAGTGTAAAGTGTGGAGTGTAGAGTGTGGAGTGTAAAGTGTAGAGTGTGGAGTGTAAAGTGTGGAGTGTAAAGTGTGGAGTGTAAAGTGGAAATCGCGCAGTGTAAAGTGTAAAGTGTGGAGTGTATAGTGTAGAGTGTAAAGTGTAGAGTGTGGAGTGTGGAGTGTAGAGTGTGGAGTGTGGAGTGTAAAGTGTGGAGTGTAGAGTGTGGAGTGTAAAGTGTAGAGTGTGGAGTGTAAAGTGTGGAGTGTGGAGTGTTGAGTGGAAAGTGTGGAGTGTGAAGTGTGGAGTGTAAAGTGTGGAGTGAGGAGTGTAAAGTGTGGAGTGAGGAGTGTAAAGTGTGGGGTGTGGAGTGTGGAGTGTAAAGTGTGGAGTGTAAAGTGTGGAGTGGGGAGTGCAGAATGTGTAAAGTGTAGAATGCGGAGTGTAAAGTGTAGGGTGTGGAGTATGGAGTGTAAAGTGTGGAGTGTAAAGTGTGGAGTGAGGAGTGTAAAGTGTGGAGTGTAGAGTGTGGAGTGTGGAGTGTTGAGTGGAAAGTGTGGAGTGTGAAGTGTGGAGTGTAAAGTGTGGAGTGGGGAGTGTAAAGTGTGGGGTGTGGAGTGAGGAGTGTAAAGTGTGGAGTGTGGAGTGTAAAGTGTGGTGTGAGGAGTGTAAAGTGTGGAGTGTGGAACGTAAAGTGTAGAGTGTGGAGTCTGGAGTGGAAAGAGTAGAGTGTGGTGTGTAGAGTGTAGAGTGTGGAGTGTAAAGTGAGGAGTGTAAAGTGTGCAGTGTGGAGTGCGGAAAGCGCCACGCCTGCCACGCAAAACGACATGACAACCTGCTTGAAAACCTTCGAAAAGGAGAGATTTTGCGGCTTACCCCATAGACACGACGACGCCACAGGAAAAACCAGAGACTCGAGACGAGACGCATGGATGCAGAAAAACGAGCATTTCGTGCGAGACTTCCTCCAAGTTTGACATGTTCAACACGTTATCAAACAGCTTGGAATGTCACAGAGGTTTTCCAGCTTCCCCCATAGACACGGCGACGCCACAGGAAAACCAGCGACTCGAGACAAGACACGTGGATGCAGAAAAACCAGCATTTCGTACGAGACTTCCTCCAATTTTCACAGTTGGCAACATGACAAAAGGACAAGTTTTGCAGCTTCCCCCATTGACACGGCGAGGCCGCAGGAAAACCAGAGACCCGAGACGAGACAGGTGGGAGCACCAAAACGAGCATTTCGTGCGAGACTTCCTCCAATTTTCACACTTGTAGCTTCAAAATCGACGTTTTCCTACGAGTTTTCCTTAGAACCTGAAAATTTGCAACCTCAAAATCGATGTTTCGTGCGAGGCTTCCGTCAATTTTCAGCACATCGCACCAAATGCCACGCCTGCCACGGAATTTGCACCTTGTCGCCACTTGACGCAGCCCTGCCAATGCGATTTGCAATAAACACGCAACACGACACGTCTAAAGTGCTGCGCCTGCCACGAAAAATGACGATGGACACGTCCAAAGTGCTGCGCCTGCCACGAAAAATGCAACACATCTTCTGAAAACGTCGCAAAAGTATTGCGCCTGCCACACAAAACGACTTTCGACACGTTACAGAACGTTGCTGAATGTCACGAAGTGCCACGCCTGCCACGCGAAACGAAGCAACCAGACGTCTGAAACCTCCAAAAATGATCCCTCCTGCAGAACTTCCCATAGGCACGGCCATACAGTCCTCACACGAACGGTTGCGAACGGTTGCGAACGGTTGGGGACGGTTGCGGACGTGGAAGCAACGTCGAGCGAACACACCCTCAACCCCCAGACCCCCAGAGTGAAACGGGAACCCTTGCTACGCATTCGGGAAAAAGATCAAACAAGTCAAGTTTCAAAAGACACATTTTGATCATCATGATAATCAATGTTGATGTGTGGGATTGTACTGGTCTGTTCCAAATTACGGTTCTATTTTGCAGCGTCTGACTCCATCTGCATACGTATGCGTGCATACGATCTCCATATAGTACCTCGAGAAAGGATAGAAACGTCATTTATCACCATTCTAGTACCTATAGGATTGCACTGATTTTGCTTTTCTATCTTTCTCACATGTGCTTTTCTATTTTTCTCACTTTTTTTTGCGGTTGCATGCTCTAGCATGCTCCAGGATGGCGGATCAAGAATCTTCATCATCGTTGTGCAGGCCAGTGATGCATCCAGCAGAACCCATCCATAAGTAAGTTCGAACGCTCGTCCCCCACCATGTCCTGAGAGGCTCGGTTTTTTGGTGCCGAGTCATGGTGCAGATAGGGGTCCATGACAATTACCGGAATGGACATTCTTTTCACGGATTTTGGGCACACATATTTCACCCAAAACCGCAACATTATTATTATTGTCCCCAAAAAGACAGGGAGATATAAGAACTCCATGTACATCCCCATTGAACTAGAGTCATTCTATCCTTTCGGGCGGTGCGCAAGGCCTCCGGGATTTTCTCCAAGCATCAAGGCCACCTCCAGCGTCTGCAACTCGCGCAGGTGCCGCTGCTGCTCCAAGGGCATTGCCACTTCCAGGTCCAGCTGCTTCAAATAGGGTGTGGAGCCCTGCGACCGGACATCTGCAGCTGGGCTGCTGGAAAACTGCTGATTTTTTGGTGACATGTGGTTTCCCGTGAACAAATCCGCAGGTTAGCAGAAAAAGGGTGGCAAGAAGTCAGCAAATTCCAGAACCATGTGACAAAAATATGCCTATGGGATACTGGGCAACAAAACTGGCACCAACCTACAGCAGTTACTATAATTGGTTGATTTTATGCGCCTTGGGCATTTGAAGCAACACACAAATTCATGTCAATGAAATTCAACGACCGACGACCGGGTTATTTTTTATCCAGATAAGGACTCGCTGGTGCAAACATGTCTGGATAAACCTGGTGCATAGTTGGAGGACCATTGGAATCACTGCCACCAGGAAGACTTTTGGGGGGTGAATTGTCCCTTCACTCCATTGGTCATCCTGTGTCAGATAACTCGGTCGCCTCTGCCGCCAGCATCTGCGCGAAGCTCGCCAGAGGCATCGCGGACTTCACCGTGCGGCCCGTGGTCTCTTCGATGCCGTGGCTCACGGAGACCTGCGCGGCGGGCGATGCGGATGGAGATGGCGATGCTGAAAAATCATGGAGATAACATGAGATCATGGGATTGTGATGGAAATATGATGGAAAAACATGGAAAAACATGGTTTATGATGGGATTTCACCATCCAACATGGGATTTTCTATTAAAAAAATAGGGATTTCATGGGATGTCACCATCCAACAAATGATTAATGATGGTTTATGATTAGACACTCTGAGAGGGGTGCGCCATGGGCCTTTTTTGCACACAATTGGATGTGCCAAGTCTCCTAGTTTCGACGGAGTCGGAAGGAGATTTCCTACGGGGAAGCCTGGTTGAACCTTCAAATCAATGGGGGGTTCCCGTCGATTTTCCCCTTCAACATTGAAACCACCTGGGGTGCAGTGGACATACCTGAGAGCACACCATCACCAGAGCTGTAAGAGACCTTGGGGACCACAGATTTCAATATGTTTTTTTAATAACATTTAATCATATTATAACTAATAGATATTGTTTAAACCATAGTATCAATATGGATTTAATACTACAAACGCTGATGTTCAGCAAGTACCCTCCGGTAATTTAACATAACTATGGAAAATTGTTCATTTACAGAGATGACTTACCTTTTAAATTTATAGATGTTTCATGTTAAATTACCAGGGTGTTATATCTATGGTCTTATATGGGTGGTTTATAATATTCAAATTCAACCACATTATAACTAATAGATAACCATTGTTGACTATGTTGAAAATTCCAGTCACAATTAAATTAACCATTAATACTAGCATCTACTTTGTTGACTAACCGTTAAACTAACCATTAACAATACTAGTATAACTAATAGATAACCAAACTAACCATTAATTGACAATGTTGACATGTCCAGTCACAATTAAATAAAACCGATAGTGACTGGAATTTAACCATGGTATTTAAGTACCTTTTTTGACGATGGTTGACTATGTTGGTGGTATTTAAATAACCATTAAACAAACCATTAATTGACTATGATATTGTTAAAAATGGTATTTAATTGACTATACAAACCATCATAATAAGCCCATTTTATCATGGTTAAACATAGGTGTTCTGGTTGGTGGTTTTAACCCCTCTGAAAATATGAAAAGTCAGTTGGGATTATTATTCCCAACTATTGGGGAAAAAATGTTCTAAACCACACCAAGCCACCAATCAGATAGGTATTGAACCATCCAACTATCTATGGATATCTATTTTAGTGACAACAATATGACATCACAGTATAATATTCAACCTGGTATATCATGACCATCTAATGGTCAAAAATAGGTATTTCACCATGACAGGTAGGTATTTAATTGACTAATTATATACTAGCCATTGATAAACCCATTTTATCATGGTTAAAAATAGGTATTTAAGCCATACATCCCATATATTATATCCAATATATTATGGATTATCATGGATTATCATGGATTACCATTGATTATCCCATATATTATGGAAAATAAAGCATGTTCCAAACCGCCAACCAGAATAGGCATAACCATCTTCAAACAGATTCGTCAATGGGAAGGATTATTCCCATGTATGGAAAAATGATGTTCCAAACCACCAGCCAGAATAATTATCTGTAGTTATATCTACCATGAACCATCGAATTCAGCCACAAACATAAACCAACTATTGGCGATAGACTATTTCTTTTACCTTCAAATCAATGGGGGTGCCAATATATTATGGATTGTCATGGATTTATCATGGATTATCATGGATTATCCCATATTTTATGGGAAATAAGGTACATGTTCCAAACCACCAACCAGCCATCCATCCTGTGCCTCCAGGGTCCCATACTCCGCCGCCAAGGAGGTCGGCGTCCACAGGCAGCAGCTCCAACGTAGCGCAGAGCCACGGCAGGTGGCGGGACGCGAGGAACCCAGGAAGCGGGACCTGAAAAGGTGGAAAATCTGCTGGAAAATGGGGAAAAACTTGAGAAAACTATGGAAAACTTGGAATTTTGAAGAAGATGTTGTGGTTGGTGCTATGATTTTGCTGGATTTTTTGTTGTTAAGCATTTTTCATAGGGGCAAAACGATGGTTTTCAACAGAAATCGTGGATTTTTTTGCAGCGAAATTCTTCGGATTTCACCTGCAGAAATCAAGCAGCATCATGCAGCATCTAACATATAAGCAGCTCAATATGTGCAATATCTCTCTGTATTTGTATGAATTTACTGAACTGGGGCCCCCAAGATAGCTAAGTTACTAAGTTGGTTTATGAATGGCTGAAGTCTATGGTTCATGGTAGATATAACTATAGATAATTAACTATGGTTAATGGTGTTTAATTATAAACCAACTTATAGCTGGGGGAGCCCATCCTGTATAAATTTCCTCCGCCAAATCTCTAAGACCCCATCTCTCTCTCGCTCTCGCTTTCACTAGCGTCAACTTCATGCAAGGTGGTGCAGCACCCTAGCCACCTCGCCCGCTGCCAGCGGTCCCAAAGAATCACCAGAAGGAATGGAAGCCCGAGCCTGGCTGGGTCGCTATTTTAAGGTTGCCACGGGTCAGAAGATATAGCAGTTCCCTGACGTTCATATCGAAAGGCATTTGGAGAGCATCATTGTTCATGATTAGTTCAATTTATTCGCCATTGTTTGGACACTTACAATCCACATAAATGTTCCTCATCTTTGATGGTGAAATCCCAGGTTTTCATCAGTTTCCTGACGCCCAGACGCTGAGCCTCCAATGCTCAAGGGAGCTGTTTTTTTGAGACCGCGGAGATCCATCGCACGGCATGGCCGCATCGGGAAACGGGGGACACAAAAAATCAATTGTTTGACATGTTTTTCAAGTTGGACATTAGGATGTTATTATGGATGTTCACTTTTTTGGAAAAGGAAATTTCTAACTTTGAAGCATTGGCAGCTACAATGGCATGTTAAGAAGTGAACGTTTTGATCTTCGTGGCCAATTCTTGGTTTTCAGATCTTTCAAAGCCAAACTCGTAAGCTCATCCCACCTAAAATGCGTCCAGGGATTTGTCGCACCATCCCGTTTTTGGGGGCTGTTGTCCAGTGTTGCACAAAATCGGACATTGCTACTGGGATTCCATCTTTGTGTCCTAGAAGCCTAGAAGCCTCCAGCTTTTCGGGGCCCCTTCGGTCTCAGGGTGTCACCTTTGGTGACCAGATCCGGAGCCCAAGGCTTCAGAGGTGGTGCTTTCAGCACGAGGGCATCGGCATATCATGACAGGTAGACCTTGGTGACAGTTAGACCTTGGTTGATTTAAGGTTGTACTTATGGGATTGCATTTTTTGGGGGTTTCCCTTCGGCAAATTCGGGGATTTGATTGGTGGTTTAACTGCCCGTGTTCACAACACGCACACCGATTGGGAGGTCACAAAGTACAAATGGAACTCATGGAACAATTACTGGCAGTACTAGGTAGGCTCAAGAAACACCTGGCTGGCGTTGTTCGCGGGTATGATCCATATAGAACTCTCTTGTTAAACCACCATTTTGGATGATGAAATTCCAGTTCAATTTTGTTGAAACCGCATTAAACCCCATTATTGTCCATTATAAATCTCCATGTTTATAGATTAAGCATGGTTAAAGCATCCGTTTTTCTTGATCGAATTCTATGAACTTTCCACAACCCCCAGGCGGAGCCGCCAGCATCGGCCATGCTCAAAGCCATCTCTGGATCGCCACCAGTGTACTTTGCGGCATCCACAGGCAACATCGCCTCAACGACAGCACGACAGCGACAGGAAGCCAACAACACACCTGACCGGTGGTGCCCCAGTTCGGCAACCATGGGGAAATGGTGGCGAATTCCCAAGAAAATGCGGATTTCATGGGATTTACAGCTGATTTATGATAGCTAAGCTGGTTCAAAAACTAGAATGCCTTGGTCAGTATGGTAGATGATGGTGGGTATAGCTATAGCATCCTGCTATAGTTAATTGGGTTTACAGAGCAACTTATTTATAGCTTGGGGAGGCGCCACATTGTAGGAGGTACGTCTACAAGTAAAGAGACATGTGTATACTTAATGCATGTATGTAAAGTCCCCATCAATAGGCTATAGGGTGGTTCCCAATACTGTAATCATCTATATGATCTATATGATCTATATATATATACAAATATTTCTCTTTATGATAATATGTCTATATGTTGCACATATATGATAGTTTGCATCCCACACCCTAGATCACAGGGGAAAGAATTGGCTTCTCCATCCGTGCAGCTGATACTCAAAGAAATCCCATGGTTAGGTCATGATTCCATGGTTACTGGCGACATCTCCAATATGTCTCGAATCACAAACATGCTGCAAACTGCGGAAAGACAAGCACATCACTAATCACAGATTGCTGTATATATCGTCAGCGATTTCACGCTAATCATTGCTAATCTAAAAATATTCAATGCTACTGAACGCAGCTTTCATTGTGGTGACACGATATCAAATATTCTCAACGTGTCTCAATGAAAACCGGCCTAAAGATAAACTCGTGAACCCCAACCATTCATCAACTGCAGTTTAATTCAACCCAGAATCAATAAATAAACCATGCCATTTCAATTCAGGGGTGCCCCTAAAATAGTGATAACAACTATAGTGAACCCCTATCTATAGACTGCAGGTTACAGAAGCGCCATTTTAATGGCGCATCGCCCAAGATGCCACATATGCAGAGACGCGGGGAACTCTTCCAATGTTGCCTGGGAGGCCCAGGAGTACTGCTGCCAGGCGTCCAATGAACATGGGCATGGATCAGGGGCGTATGCCTTTTTCATAATGGATGAGTTTCGTATGCTTTTAATGGCTGTATATACGAGTTCCGTATGCCGCATGCCTTTTTCAAGTTCGAAAGAAAGCATCAACCACACTGATCTTCACGAAGATACACAAGAAAGAAAGGGCTGTGATAAGGATATTCTGTCAAAATGGCCAGCAGCCATGAATCTTAAGTGGAATATCAAGCAACAAAGCAAAGTTGAGGTATTGAAGTCTACAGCGCTCCAATGTGCGATAATCAGACGAACTTATACAACATTTATGTTAAGCTGCCAAATGTTGCTCTTAAGCCACGCTAGGTTCGAAAATAAAGTTTAGTAAAGTTAAATAAATTCATACAACTTTAATAGTATGTTTTGATTGTTTCAAAGTATGTTCATGAAACTGTCAAACAACATGCTAGCCATCGTACAAGTGGTTAGCACTCAGAACAAACTCAAAAACTCAACAACAAAGACTTAACAAAAACACATCAATAACTTCGCAAAAGCCTTTTTCAAACCCATTCTTGATGCAGTTGCCAGTTTGAACATGCTTTTCATCTAACATTCATATCACATATTTTTAAATTTACAATTGCTGGAGATACTTGTTGAACAGCTGAGTCAGCTGATTCTTGGTGACTCCCCATGGAGTTAGCAAAAATTGCTCCGCTATATTGTATATAGCTTTTTGCTTAATATATAAACAGGTAAACCCATAATCCACATTTCGCGTCACAGTATCACCATCTGTTCAATAAGTATGTATGCTATAATACCCTCTGGTAATTTAACGTAGCTATTGAAAATGGCCATTTATAGTTGATTTTCCCATTAAAAATGGTGATTTTCCATAGCTACGTTAAATTACCAGAGGGTAGTCCATCCATATATCCCCATTCAACAAGATCTAACCCATTGAGTCTCACTAAACCCTATGAGACGTCCCCACGTTCGCCACAACACGGCTGGGTCCATGCGGAAGCACCGAGAGCCACAAGACCAAAGAACCCGCGGAGCCCTGCAGCGGAGGCTTCCAAGAGTGGATCTATATGGGTTGGATATGAGCCATGGTCAATACTCACTATATGTTGATGGTCATCCCATCCATAATAAGGATCCTTATAATGGTTATTATAAATCCCTATGAACCATTGGATGACTAGCCCCTATTAATGGTTATTAACCATGAGTATTGACCATAGCTCATATGATATATGGCATGTATGGCATGGTTTAAAGATGCAACAATCCTACATACCTTGCAGCAAGTAGAAATCCCCAATGCGAAACTATAATTATGATAATACCATAGATGCCATAGACCTGGATTTTAGAGGAGGCCAAGAAAAACACCGTGAAAGCCTTGATGATGGTGGCAACGTAAAAGTGGCCGGTATTCCGAACAGCTCGCGTGAAAACCGTGTGGGATATACTGAGAATAGAACCAACCATCCCCAATTGAAGTTTATTATCCGGTATACATCGGTATACGTACTATTTCAGGGATGGTTTTTTAGCAGGCCCCAAATGGTCATATAATGCGCTGACGACAGGCCCTGATGAAATCCCATGTTGGTTCAATCTCAAAATGCGGCTGGTCATGGCTGAATTCCTGATTGGGTTGGTACAAATCCCCACTTTCCTGCTTCAATATTTGATGATTTCTCCAGTTTGGTCGGATTGGAATTCGTTGCTGTAAAAAGCGAGTTTCTGGTGGTTTCTGTTTTTGGTGGTTTTCTGGTGGTTTTTTTCCAACGCAACGGTTTTCTCCGTGAACATCTGTGTTGGAACGCTGCCGCTCCAAGAGGCACCCGTGGAACTAGTGCCGCGCCATGTGAGCCAAGGAACTGGCACGTGGATGGCCTCATCGATGAGTTCCAGCGGGCACTCCTCAGACAGCTGCGAAAGGGGGGGAGTTTACAATCTGTGATCATATTTTTTGGATATACGTTGAATATGACCACAGAATTGTGTGGCAAGAAGCAGGCAAATGCATATAGAGATAAGACATGCGTTTCAAACTGCAATCAATGCATACGCATGTTATTGTCCTGTCATATCTCGATCTCTCTGTACATCGACTTCCCACATAATTCTTAAGCGCCGCCCAGCTGGCAGCGAAAATGGCACAGCACCCCCAAAAATATGAAGGCCACAAAATACAAAAAAGGACCACAAACACATACCATTTGGTAATTTGACATAGCTACGGAAAATGGCCATCTAGTTCGATGATTTACACATCAAAAAAATCTATAGCAAACTGTGAGAGGTTACCGGAGGGTACCCTCCGGTAATCAAACATGGCAATGGACAATTCCGATTCCCCATTTACTTCAATCATTTTCCCACTATAACATATTTTAAACATCCTTTTATAGAGGATTTCCCAGCTAGCCACGTCTGATGACACCAGAGGGTAAAAGAAAAATGTGCCCAAATCAATGGCCATTTCAGGAACCTAAATTGCAGGTACCTACCATATATAAGGCCTGTTTTTTAGGCCTACATTTCAGGGAATATCCCAAGAAAATATGGCCAGAAATAATTACTAACGTACCTCCGTTTTAGGATCCTGAAATTCCCATTGACCAAATGCACATCGCAGATGTCTCTTCCACTGCGTTCTCCAAAGGACTTGGACCATTCTCCCAGGCGGTGGTGAAAACCTGGACGTGGAAAGCGGCTTTTTTTGGATGTTCATCCGCCCAAATGTATTAAACTCTGTTAATGGTATGATACAACAATATATAACACTTTTGATACCAATATAAGCAATATAACAATATACAAAAGTATAACAGTATAACAATCTAACACCCACATGTGATATAACAATATCATACACGTATTAAACAAACATATGTATACATATGTCAGTATGTCAGCTCTCGGTGTTCTGCTTGGTTCGAGAGAATGGACAGCCCCAATCAAGTATGTGCCAAGCGGCCATACATGGCCATACCCACCTACAACTGAAACTTCAATGCATGAATCTTGGGGCAAACCATGCACTGGGTTGTCCAAACAGCTACAGTGAACCATGGATCATCATGGATCTATATACCAGCTAAATGTGCGGGCGTCTTGTCAAAATTTACCTTTACTCTATATGATATAGACAATCCTGAAAGAATTCTCGGAAACAGCTGTGCCATGCTTTCATCATTCCAACTTGTACCATTCGATTTCGACTGAACGTTGGATTGAAATGGGCACCTATGTCTGTTTGATCCAGCCAGCCAAAGTTATTGCTGGTCATTTGGAAATGCCATCATTTTCCCGGCAAATTTCCATTAGCTTGTTGTCGCTTTGAATCTCCCCTTGTGATTGACACCACGATGAATTGAACATGGACACCCGAATCAAAATGGACCTTCTTCGGTCAAATGATTTGCCCAACTATCCCCTTCTTTCACGCTGTCAGAAGATCACTTTGGTCCAGAATTCAGATTACATACAACCTTGGATTACCCAGGGCAGACGGTCGTACACCCAAAAGATGTTCACCACTCAGGGACATGCAATTCATTTCTGGAAAATGCTTGTACACTTGCGGGTGGATTCCGACAGGGTTTACTTGTTGAATCCATCAACAGGTCTGTTAAATCATCGAATGAACAACGATTCAACCCACCAACCTACGTATTATTTTATGGCTACACGACGGTGAACTTCAAAACAACTGGGATTTATGGATGTTCATCCCCCGATAAAATGTCGTTTGCAGGTATTGATCCATAGCCTTATGATAGGATTTATCACATTAATGTACTGTATACATTTGCTAAGCCTGGGTTTACTGCCAAAAAAACATCTGCTAATGTGGGTAACCCAATCGTAAACCGTCTTCAAATTAGAGGTTCACTGATTGGTGGTTTCAACCCCCTTGAAAAATATGAGTCAGATTGGATCATCATCCCAACTGAATGGAAAAAGAAAAGTCATGTTCCAAACAACCAACCAGATAAGTATATCTTGTGACCACACTTCAAATATCACCTGCTAATGTGGGTAACCCAGTCGCAAACCGTCTTCAAATTAGAGGTTCACTGATTGGTGGTTTCAACCCCCTTGAAAAATATGAGTCAGATTGGATCATCATCCCAACTGGATGGAAAAAGAAAGGTCATGTTCCAAACCACCAACCAGATATGACATATACAATCATAACTAACATGAACTGTTGGGTTCATGGTTAGTGTATCCAACTAGATACTGGTTCACTATTGGGTTTACCATGGTTTACCACCAAAAACTTACGAAGCTTCGCCTGGCACCACTCGCAGGGATCCAAGTTCGGGAGGCGTATCCTGTGGCATGGCTGAAATCCGACAATGTGGGGCCTCCCAGTGGAACCTTGGTTTGTAAATCCCATGAAAAGTATTGAAAAGTATAGTTAGTTATTCAATTTTCTTTATCATAGGAAAAAAAATAGTTATTGGACTTCTGTTCGCCGACTTAGCTATCGTTTGGCGCCACTTTGTAGCAGCTTCGGCATTTTGTAGCGATTTCTTGGGCGCAAAATGGTTGAGGAATTCGATGTGGATGGGGATTTACCGGCTGCCAGGGAACTGATGACACAGAGACGAGTATGCATCTATTATTGTCAATATCATATGCATCTATATATTATCATATCAACATTATATAACAATATGTCATATGCATCAATATGATCAATATTCCAAAACATTATCACCATGATCTTCTCATTCTATCACCATTTTTTGCTGCTTAAATCCCACAAAACTCCAGCAACTCCCCGGTCAATTCCATTACAAATCACCATTCTATCTCCAAAATCTCAACAGCTGAGACTTACCTAGGGAATCCTAGGCATTTTACATCATCATTTAAATAGCACCATTTTCGGCCAAGGCAAACTCCCAAAACGCCATGGGTTTCCGTGGCCTCCAGGTAAACGATGCCCTGGATGGCAAAGGGTACCGGCCACTGCGCCTCCGAGGTTTCAATGTCCCAGTGGAGATTTCGGTGCACCTGGCGACGCCGAAGAGAGCCATGGCGTTGGACAACCGGAGTCTAATTAGAACACATCTTGAAATCGATATGAATAAACATGATAGTCATTTGTATATGAATAAAATTGAATAAAGACGATCTAATTTTGATATATATATATATATACTATGATACACTCTTTATCATGAAAATTAATGACAAACAGGAACTCTTTGTCCTGTCGTGGCCTAACCATCCCCCCAGCCGCCTCACCAGGATCCGACCAGGCGGGAAACGCTGGATCCTCGGGCGCCTTGAAGTGGGCGCCTCGGACACAGTCGCAGGCGGCGAATCTATTGGGATAGTCAGATTGGGATTATGACATTCCCAACTGAATGGAAAGTCATAAAAGCAATGTTCCAAACCAACCAGATAAACATGTTCTATGTATATTGGGGTCTATATCTATTTTTATGCAGATATATAACATATGATGATATATGATGGTATGTAAGTATGTATACATTGGGATCTATACTTCTAGATATCATGTAGAGGCATTGGGACCTGATGGGATTTAAGAAAGATGATGCATTCAAAATATTCAGAGGACTCATTGGCGTTTGAGCTGGTTAAACCTGGAATTTCACAGAACCTACATTCATTGTCAACATGTAGGAATTAGGGGTCCACCAATAGACTGGCCCAGCTTTCGGCTTGCCAAGTTTGACCCATCGTCAGATGTAACAGAGATGTATAAACAAATCAAAGCTGTTGCTTCAGTGAGGCGAATTCATCCCTATAAGTGTAGTGAATTGGGACCTGGGTGATTCTTGTCGTAACCCTAACTTCTGGATAGCTCTGGGCTTTTGAAAAGTGCATGGTATCAAAAGGATAAGCATCATCTGGTATCAGGTCATTTTCTTTTGTGGGGGAGGCGAGGCAGATAGAATCCTCACGGCTGCACATACTTGCTTAAAATCAACATAAGATAGTCTCATTTCATCTATATAATCTAATAAAATGTATAGTTCTCATTCTCTCTGCTCCCGCTGTCACACATTTATCTAAATATACATCATGCCAGTCTTTCTCTACATTTCTGTTTGTCACACATTTATCATCATATCATATCTATATACCCTCCTGCAATAAAATGGGTATGTCTGAAAATGGGGTATACCCCCAATTATAACCATTTAGTAGGGATAATGATCATTAACCATTGGGTGTAGGGGTACGCTATTTCCAGACAAACCCAAATGTGGCTATAGCTGGACAATCCATCATTTACTTCGAGGATTTCCCGGCCAAGCAGCGGTCCGTGGTCACGTACAAGGCCTCCGTGCCGTAAAGGTCGGCGAAGACTCCGTGCACGCGAGGCTCCTGCCGCTCCATTGGTTCGATGGTAGAACTAAAGAGCACCAGGGTAGAACCAACTTACAAGTCATACCCCCCATCATAGAAGTGATATAGAAACCATGAGAAACCCCAACAAAAGATGGAAACGTGTTTCCAAAGGAAATGCATGATAAATATTGATAAATGGGAATTCAAACAGCTGAAGCAGTCTTGTGCGTGCAGTGGCTCTCTGCCCCTCTCCCTCTCTCACATCTATTCTTGTGGCGTCTGGATCCATCTATAGCAACCCCAAAAAAATTGGAAACATGTTGTCTATAAGAATCTTATTTGCCTAAAAATGTTCCAGCTTTCCAGATGTTTTCCAGGATGATAAAGATGATATTCCCATATATTTCCCTCAAAAAAGAACAGCTTTCCAAGGCATTCCATCCATCTGAGGTCTTTCTCCTGTCGGATCGCCCAGAGGGTCTCGTGGTGTGACATCTGCACCATGCCTAATGGCAGCTGAGGTCCGCATCCTGCTGTTTGATACCCCTTCACTAGTTAGAAAAACCTCGAAGATATATGGAAAACAAACATCTCAAACCATGATTGTCTAGTGGTTTGGGTTGCTTGCTTGGAATCGCAGGCTATACACCTTTCAGAAAGTGCATGAAAGGTACTAGTATTCCCACACTTCCAAACCAAGCTGAATCGCCGGGTAATCATTGGCTGATCAGACAAACGAGATCAACATACCTCAAATAACTTGGAGGGTCAGGTCGCACCTGCCATCTGGCATTTCAATATCTATCACTCTGGAACATGGCCCATAGCCCGCAAAATCTGGTTGGTGGTTGACCTACCCCTCTGAAAAATATGAAAGTCAGTTGGGATGATTATTCCCAATATATGGAAAATAAAATTCATGTTCCAAACCACCAACCAGAAATTTATTTATCTCTTAAAGTTCCAGGGTGATTTTCCAGTTCGCAAACGTCTACTGGAGGCTACTGGTTTGCCGCAGCTCGCTTGATCCGCCGAGAATCCACATGGCCCGTGATGCGGCTTCTTTCCATCTGGCAGGGTGTCGGTGTAAATGTCCAGCGTGTTGCGGTACCTAAGTCATGTTCTGCCAGCGGCACATTGTCCCAGGGTCGCAGTGACAAAAACGGGGCTCCCGACAAGTTTTCTCAGGAGCCTCTTTCAATGATCAAAGAATGAGTTTCTGGATAAAATCCTGCTTCCCACAATTTGGCACATGGAGACTTGTAGGAAATTTCACCACCACTCACCAATATTGACCCATATTTTTGTACAAAGTGATGCCCCCCAGTTATGTTTATTGCTTATCACCGCCATTAACTATGGATACACCTGCCATAGATCCAACAGTCATTATTCCCACCAACTCAGCTAACGTGCTGGGTCACCACATAGATAATTCTTCCATATTACAGAATCCCATAGTGCTTGACATTTATAGATTATCATTCCATTATATCCCACGCCGTTTCTTAATATTAGCCTCATAACTGGGCTAACTACCCTCTGGTAAACTAACATAGTGAACTGGAAAATCGCCATCTTTAGTGGGTAAATCAACGAACTAAATGGGCCATTTTCAATAGCTATGATAAACCGCCAGAGGGTATGGGGCACCAAAATTGTAGCTGCAGCTGATTGGCCAGCTTTCTCGCTCATCACGTGTGGCTCCCACAAAGGCATAGATAGCGTCCGCCGTGCGTCGGCAGAGCGTCGGGGAAATTACGTCCTTGAAAAGATCAGTGGAAGCGCCCCAGTTGTGGCTTGAAATAGTCCAGAGAATATGTCTCATTTGTGGGCTACACGGGGGTTTAACATGGTTTAACTATATGAAGCAATTGGGACATAAGACATATCAAACAAATCTGGTAAATATCCAATGGAAAACCAAAAATAGCATTACTTTAGATTCTTCTGGGAATTCAATTGCCAAAAATCCTGGGAAACCCCATGACTTTATTTTTTACAATGTACATCAATGTACAATAAATATCAATATCCAAATATGTTCCAGGAAGCTTATAGCAATTTAGTAACCTGAATTGTTCGGCCATTTTTGGATAGTTAAGTTCCCCTTACATTCACTGTCATTCAAGCTATGTCGCAACGTGAGGTTGCTATTGTTTGTTTTCATTTTGTGTCACTGTTTACGGTGCATAATATATATATATATATAAAAATACAAACCAACACAGACATCAAAAAATGGTCTCAACTTTTGTGTAAAGACTGGGTTTATCTGAGTTTTGTTTGCCAGTCGAGTTCTCAGTAGTATGGATATCTTTCGGAGTTGTATGCTAACCCTTTTATTGGGATATCACACCTTCCCGTGTCGGGGTTCTTGGTGACATGACATGATTTTTTGTGGCTCTTAGGCCATGTTTTCATTCCCACACTTGCCGCCAAAGCTACAGCATTTACTGAATATGCTCTCCACACCCATTTCACCCAATTGTGAGCCCGTTCCATATCTTGTCGTGTATTATAGTATACTTGTTTTTTCTCCGTTCCATCATTCATCATTAAACAGTAATAATATGTAAACATCGTTCATTTCCCCAGGCTCCAGGCGCTGTCTCCGCCAAGTCTCAGGCACCACCAGGTAGCCATTCTGCTCCCAAGCACTGTACCTCAGCTGGCCCTGACCGCAAAGGATTCGTGGGGGACTTATATCTGGTTGGTGGTTGACCTACCCCTCTGAAAAATATGAGTTCGTCAAATTGGATCATCATCCCAACTATTGGGGAACATAAAATTCATGTTCCAAACCACCAACCAGTGATAAATACATAAATGCCATAAGTTTCTCATTATATCAAAAAAATATGCAGTATGGTCAAAACATGGTATAATATTGCATATGGTTTATATGAATGTAATTTTTAATGTGATGAAATATGGTTTACATTGGGATTGCTTGTGGCTTCACGGTTTAACCATGTCGAGTCTCATTCATCTTGTTGCCTTGATGCCATGATGATCACCATGTCATAGATACCTCCCAGAAACCCCATAGAGTTCTATGATCAAAATCAACTTACCTTCTGGTGTCATCAAACATGGCTTGCTGTAAGACCTCCCATTTACAGTTGATGTTCCTATTAAAACGTCCATCTGCAATCATTTCTAGAGCTTTGTGCACAGTCACCCATTATATAGTCACCCAATTTAGAGATGATTTTCCAATATTTTTCCATATTATCGTCCATTTAACTATAGATTATTTTCCAGATTTTTCCATATTATGATCCATTTATAAACGATTTTCTCCGTATTTTTCCATTCAAATGCTGAGTTCGGGGGTCTTCCAGCCACCTTTGATGACACCGCCCGGGCCCTCGACACCGAGCAGCTGCTCCTCCGTGAGGGTCTTCAAGGGCCAGGTCCGGCACGGGAAGACCACCGCAGGCTCCGCCATGGCGTTAGTGCTTTTTTTTGGGGGGGGGAAATGGTTAGTCTGTATCATATGAACAAATTGACCATCTGAGGATTCTGAGCTACACTTTTGATCACTTTTCGAAGCTGGTTAAGCAGGCTCGGAGTCGCCCGCTTCTGGGCGAAGCATGCGAAAGCTCAAGCTAAACGTTTCAATCAGCTCTTGCCAAATCTATACCAAAGTCTTGGACATTTACCATCAAATCTGGGCCCTGTCAACGATCTAGTTTCTTTTGCGGTGTTGACCGCATGGCAGGTCAGAGTGATAGAGTGCATACCACCTCATGATCCTCATGGCATGTCTCCCTATTTTGTGACTTGAGCAACAAATAGGGCGTCTGTCAACTGGTTCAGACATCTCCGAATAAATCTGAGCAAGATGCCTAGCATGTGGATATCCTCATCCCAGACTTAAGCACCAAGAGGAATCGATGATATCTCAATTGGCGGGTGGTTGCAACCTGAAACATATGAATTTCGATTGGATTCATCATCAGAAGTGAACAAAAGCAAAACATCAACCAGTCAAATTAAGTTCACCAAGTTAGCTAGAATTGGTCTTGTGGTCTGACTTGGAGTTCTCCGTGCATTCCCCACATCTCGCAGCTAGGCTCGCCAGCCCATCTTTTTATTTCATCCTTTGGGTTTCAGTAAAGCTGCCATTTGGGGATGATTTGTAAACCCCAAACGGCTGTTTGATTTGCGGGTACCATCTAAGTATCAAATTATTACTACTTGGAAGGCATCCCCCTAATTCATAGACCATGATTTGTCAATCCAGGGTTTACTCATTTATGGTCCGTCCTTAGTATATCTATGCAACAAGCATGGCGTGAAATGCGGTTGCTCGGAACCGCTTCCTCCATTGACCACTGGGTTACCACACTCCACGCTGCCCATAGCCTTCTTCGGCCGTGTGCTTAACCTGGGCAGTGGCGTCCCCGTTAAGCACTGGGTCAACCATGGAAACTATGGAGAATCTACGGATTTACCTTTACCTCTTGAAAATGGTGGTCTTCAACAGCTACGTTAGACTACCGGAAGGGCATATATATATATATATAGAAATGGTTGCAACACCGGGATTTTCCATATCTCAATGGACATAAGTGGGTCTACTATTCGATTAACTAAGTGATAATGACCTAACCACGATAAACCTTTTTGATCCAAGAGACAGCTAAAATTAAACCGAGAGACCGCTAGCCTGTACAAAAACCAACTTAGCGAACTATGGGGCACCACCTAGTAGAGGATCAGCTCACTTTCTATCTGTGTCTAGTAACCCTAGCTATACTTATACTGATACTGTAACCCTGATCTGTTTTTTCTAGGGCTATTTCGACTTGGGGACTTACGAACTCTGGCAGGTCAAACCAGTCGCGATTCATGGATCCTCCAAGTGGGGCAGGTCTAACATGGACCCCATTGAGATATATAGAGATGATCCTGAATAGAAACCATTAATGACCATGAAGAATTCATGCAACGGTATATGGCATATAAAAAAATTGTATAACATTTTATAACATATTCAGAAATTCCAGAGACATATATAGTAATCATTGAACATCTGGCTCTATGGGGAAACCTGGTGAGAATGACTATGCCATAGATTGTTTGTAGAAAAAATCAACCTTTGCAACTCAACCTATGCAACTTTGCTTACGCCTAAAAATCAACAACTGCTTACACCCTCGGAGCCGCCATGATCAGCCCAGACTGCAGCCACCACAAAAAGATAGAACATCAGTCGTGTTTGATCATCGTCATCAAGGGAATGAGGGACCATAAACACAAAAAGTGAACCCACAGCCAAATAATCTAAACACCATCCTTGTTGGTTACCCTCTGGTAATCAAACATGGAACATCCATCGTTTATAGGCGGTTTTCCCAATAAAACCTCCATTTATATAGAAGTTCTCATCTTGCCACGTTTGATTGAAGTTGGGTATGTTTTTTATTGTTTCAACCCTTGGTGTTTTTTCCGGCAAAAGCCTTGCTGGCCTGGGCGCCCCCGAAAGTGGGCATCCGGACGCCAAGGAAAACTCAAAGCCAAAGAGTTCGTAGATGTTGAAGACAAAGGATAGGGCAGCAGTGACCTCCGGCCCCAGGAATCCCTAAGAGTTATGATGAGTTCTGCAATCTAGGAATAAAGCGAGGTGCAGTGACCAGGAGGGTATCCCACAGGATGACCATGTTTTCCTCGCATGTTCAATGGTTTCACAAAGTCCTTCGCCTACCAGATTTGAACCTAATGTTGGAAACACGGCAATTCGGTGGTGAAATGTGACAATATGTGACAATATTTGGCCAAATATATCCGAACAACATGCTTCTGCATAGGTCAAATCATCAAAACATTCTTTGGATCTCAATACTGGTCCATGTTCAACATTGTTCAACCCCAAACTTAGCATTTGTCTTGGCTCATGTTAATGTATCTCTGTCTTCTTCATTATTCACCAAAGATGAGGATCTTCCCAAACATGCATGCAGAATTTCCAACCCCATCCTGGGATCGACTATGCATGACTATGCATGGGATTCCTACCACCACAAGTTGGAGAGGCCGGGCAAAGAGCAACTCCACCAATCAAATAAACATGTGTGGGTTGCTCTTCTACAAGTGCGACCCTTCGGTCATCAAGCATGGCTAGATGGGAAATCCCTGCGCTATATGGACGTTTGAGTGGGAAATTACAGTAATCGAACTAAATGGTGGACTTTCCAGCCAACCCAAGAAACCCTAGTTACCATGCTTCAATGGACACCCCCCTGAAATTCAACCAGTTTAGACTGTAGAAAAAACATTGTTGGCACCCGATTTGCAGGTTCCAAGCTGTTCAAATTAGATTCTGCATCCTACAGCCAGGCCATGTCCTGGCATTGGGCTTAAATAAGCCATATCTGGGATGAAATTCTGACAGAATCTCCCCCCATCAACCACGTTTTTCCCCACTAAGAGTCTCCACGCTATCATATCTCCGTCAATAATATTGTTACGATATTTTGGTGCTATCCGCACGATACCCATAACATGTCCCCATAGATATAACCTTAACTTAACAATGATGGCCATGTGATTGTCACTCCTGCAATTGGTTGGTTACAATTGTACTGGTTGGTGGTTTCAACCCCTGTGAAAATATTAGTCAGTTGGGATTACTATTCCCAATATATGAAAAAATGAAATGTTCCAAACCACTAACCAGTATATGACTTGAGTGGACTTACAAGCCACTTATATCTGCTAAGGGCCAACATATTCCCATGATATCAGGCCCAGTCTTGGATCAGTGACCTCGCTCTTGATCTGATCCTCCCTGCAGAAGATGTGGGCGTCGTCTTGTTGGAAGCGTCGCCTGGAGGGGACACATATGGGGTCGAAACGTGCCTGATCCTGGCATATATATATGTGTGTGTGTTACATATGTAGGTATATATGCGCATAACATCTATCTATCTAACTACCCACCGATCTATTTGATTCTATCTATTTGATTCGATCTATCTAGTTGGTTCGATCTATCTATTTGATTCTATCTATCTATTTGATTCTATCTATCTAATTGCTTCTATCTATCTATTTGATTCTATCTATCTATTTGATTCTATCTATCTATTGGATTCTATCTATCTATCTATCTATCTATCTATCTATCTACTTCTACCTATCTATTTGATTCTATCTATCTATTTGATTATATCTATCTATTTGATCCGATCTATCTAGTTGGTTCGATCTATCTATTTGATCCTATCTATCTGTTTGATTCTATCTATCTATTTGATTATATCTATCTATTTGGTTCGATCTATCTAGCTGATTCTATGTGTCTATTTGATTCTATGTATCTATTTGATTCTATCTATTTGATTCTATCTATTTGATTCTATCAATCTATTTGATCCTATCTATCTATTTGATTCTATCTATCTATTTGATCCTATCTATCTGTTTGATTCTATCTATCTATTTGATTATATCTATCTATTTGTTTCGATCTATCTAGCTGATTCTATGTATCTATTTGATTCTTTCTATTTGATTCTATCTATTTGATTCTATCTATCTATTTGATTCTATCAAACTATTTGATCCTATCTATCTATTTGATTCTATCTATCTATTTGATCCTATCTATCTATTTGATTCTATTTATCTATTTGGTTCTATCTATCTATTTGATTCTATCTATCTATCTATCTATCTTTCTATCTATCTATCTATGTATCCATCTATTTGATTCTATCTATCTATCTTTCTAATCAAATCCAATGCCACCTAAATAATCTAACCCAACCCCGTCTAATTTAATCTAATCTATCATTATTTTGATCTATCTCTATAATCTATGTACCTACATACCTACCCATCCATCCGTCTGTCCATCCATCCGTCCATCCATCCATCCGTCTGTCCATCCATCCGTCCATCCATCCATCCGTCCGTCCATCCATGAACTTGATACGAGTACATATATGATATACACATACGCATGCACATGCAATTGCTGAATATTGCTGACCTATGTCATTTGCCAGCTTTACATGCTGCACATTAGGACATCAAACAGTAGACCTACTTAGATCGTCTTAGATCATGGAGATATCCACAGAACGACCATGGCCGATGGGCCATCCAAGTCTTCCTGTTTTGGCGGGATCCAATGGGTCCAATATGCCCCAGTCATGACATCCAACTCGGCTCCGCACACGCGAGTGAGGCCACTCAAGGTCCCGCTCAGCTCGTTGCGATGCAACACTCCAAAGTCCGCCATCCTGAGATGACGGGGAAACTTCAAAAACAACCATATCCCACTTAAAATGGGGATAACCTACTTAGGGCACTTGTAAATGATGGGTACATGGTAAATCTGATGGTTTCATGAGACTTCATCAACAAACATGGTGGTATGGGGATAATGTCTGGTGCAATGGTTTTTTCCATGGGATACACAACCATGCTCCAATGCTCCAACCCATTACTGCATGTGTAGGCAAAACATAGCCACAATGGAGGTGAATGGCTCACGATTCCCTTGACCCATGTTGCCACCCTTCTGATGGAGTGTTGGGAGCAGCCTGCAGGATTTGTTGACCTCCGAGCCTTGGATGATTGTGAACATTGCTGTAAAATGACGTGATATCTAATTTTGAAAAATCACGTTGTCAAATGGACCAGTTGTTCAAAGTATCAACCTTCAATATCCCAGGCATGGATACGTTTTTGACTATTTTTCCCACCTCTTGTCTAATCCATGGCCCCACGAGCCGAAAAAAAAACAAAGTGTGCCTGATAGGCAGCTCCCGGTACGAGCGCGGCCTGCACCAGAAACCCCACTGGGAAAACGGGGGTGACTTCACCAACAAACATTTAAAATTGTGATTTCATGAGATTTAATGGCGACTGCACGGCTTTACAAACAATCATATGGGGAATAGGATTTCTAATAGCTGAATGATAGCTAAGTTGATGAACATAACTGCCCGCTGGTTATTTCACATATGTTAACATAGCTAATATGGAAACCATAGCCCATTTAGTTCGATGATTTATGATAATTTACCGATCCCAAGAATCTCAAAAATGATAATTCTCATGGCTACGTGGAATTACCAGAGAATAACGCACTTTTTAACCACATTTTACCACTAACTACTGTATAGACTCTTTCTGGTAATTTTAGTCGGATGTATTTCCCTTTTTTTCGGGGTCCTGCTATAGACTGGACAGGGTTTGCGTTTGGAATGAGATTTTACTACTGTGCAGGGGTCCAGACCATTGTTTGTTTTTGTCATCTAACTTTCCCGAAAAAAAAACATGCCGAAACCAGCGCTGGATGTTACATGTCTTTAGATGGATTTTTTATTGAAGAAGTCGACTTGAGATAATCATAGGACTCTTGCCACGGATAATCCATAATAAATAATGCAGTGGTAATAGAAAATTGAAAGTTACTGTCATTTTTTATTTTGCCAGGCCATGATGTTCAGAAGGTACTCAGCTTCCGCCGCCCCTTTTTTTCCGCTTCTGCGGAAGCACGGCCCTACAGTCCGAGAAGGTGCTCAAAGAGTGGTAAGCTGCGGTAAGCTGGGAGGTTTTTCAAGTGGAAAATCATCGAACATGGGGCAGGTTGCCTTGCCATGTTTGATTAGCGAAGTATATCATGCTGCCGCGCTTGTTTATCATCTATACTTTGATGTCATAGAGGTGGTCCTAAAGCTTGACATGAAATCTCCAAGTTGCCATTTTTGCAACTACACACACACAGAGTGATTCCTGTGGCGTCGCCCGGTTTCCAAAAGTATATAAAAGTATTGTGTTGTAGTTGCTAGCTAGGCCTGCTTGCTTCGGCCCACAGTTCTGGATGCTGTGGTCAGGCAAGTTTTTCGATTCTTGGTTTCATCAATGCCGGTTGGTTGTAACAGACCATGCCATCCAATTCCACGATCATTGCGTACTTGGTATCTGGATATAGCTGGCTCATGGTGATATATTGTGATTCCAATGATGGGTCCAACCAAACAGCGCTTGACAAAAATGTTGGCGATTGGCCAAGGTGATCTGTTTAGCCACAAAATCAGGAATGTACCCATTGGGGTATGGCTCAGACCTTGAAACCTTCTACTGTTTCGCCGTCAATTTGAAGGTAAACAAGCACGCAGAGTCTCAAAGAGATTGGGTTACGCAAAACAATGACACACAGAAAACGAACTGGATCAATCTAGACAACGGGTCATGTCAGCAGCTTGGGTGCAGCGCTCCATTTTGCAGTTGGTCTTCTTGGAACCAAGCCAGGTTTGGACAGTCCAATCGAACTACTTGGCAAATGCATTCTACATGGCCGTGACCTGCAGGCGAATTGTTGCTATCAAACATCTGCAATGATCATTCTCGGTGGGTGTGGATACAAATCAAATCCGGACTGGTATGGAATGGTCTTTCGATCCTAATCATTCCATTTTTGAGCCCAAGCAGGTTCGTCGCGGTGTCATCTCTTTCGTGTCGGCAAGCCTTCGCTCAGAAACGAATTTGCTGCACCAGCAGCTCGCAATGTTCTCCTCGCTGCAGCTTTGGCAGCTCTGACTGCAGCTCCTGACGCGCTGCGGAGTAGCCGTGCTGGATGTAACTGGGCATGTTCCATGTTCTGGTTCGAGGGGAATGTTGGATCTTGATGATTGAGAGGTGGTCAGCTGTTGCAAGTTTTTCCCAAGAAATTCCCGAACCAATGTGTTCATGTGCTTGACCATCAAATATGAGTCCAATATGAGCACTGCTCTACTACACTTGTTGTGAATTTCAGTGCTTGAGCTGCTTAAACCAAGATTTCAAAAAGAAAGCAGCACCCAGTCTTTTTTCAAGGGGTTAGCCCATGAGCCATGCAGATATGGTTCCGACCAGTTGCAAGGATCTCCCTGGAGCACATGTGGTGGATCCACCAGATCTAAGATTGAGTATACTGTATACTACAGTTGTCGTATCGTAGCGCCATTCCCAAACAAATCCTTGGAATGGCCAGGTTCCCCCAAAAAAACAATATCATTACATCAGCCAAGATCAAAACCAGCACCCAAACAATTACATGAACCACTCACTTCCTCGACAGCGCGTGCTGCCATGGTTGTAAGACGTTGTGAGTCGTGGCAAAAGGATCTTGGTGAAGATTCTTGTTTTTTGGGGTGGGCGCACTGCATGTCAGAATTGCTTCAAAACAGCTGCAGCGCCTTATTCAGCACGAATCCCAACGGACGCTGGGAACGCCAAGATTTCCAAAGAAGGAAAAGGAAAGAATGAAAAAGAAGGAAAGGAGGAAACAATGACACACACACACACGAAAAGAAAAACTAAAGGAAGGGAAGCAGGAAAGAGAAAGGAACCAAAGGAAGGAAGAACGAAGGAGAGAACAACAAACTTAGAATTTAATTCGCTAATCAGTCACTAATGAAGTGAACAAAAGAAACTAAGCCCGTATTTATCTCCTGTTTCTACACTAAAGTACGACGATTTGAAGATAAACTCAAATGAATTAAAGCCACCACTTTTCTTAAAGATTGGGTTACGTAAAGGCAAGATGAAGTTATAGCAGATTCAATTGAATCGACATCTTTACTTATAGATTCATGATTAGGCTTCGCAAGGAAAATTAAAGGCCATTGTTTCTCGAATTCACACTATTCATTCCCCACCAGTTGGTTTGAGGGGGATTTCCCCCAAACTAATCAACATCCAACACTTTGGCAAAACGTAATTTGACTTAACACCTGCTACAGCATGATAAAACTTAATTGATTGATGTTACGTTATAGCTTTCCAAAAAATGCCATAAACAACATCCATAAACATCTTCAGATCTGCCTTGATGTTCCTTGGGCCGCTCCTGTCCCGTCCAACGCCTGTCCTGGAACAACCTTTCGGCCAAGGCCTCCGTGCAGTCGGGACAGCGTACCTGCACAGCATGAAACATCCACCCACCCGTACAGCGTTGCAGGATAAGTCTATTATTACCCTCTAGAAGGATATGTACGGGCTGAAAGGGCTGAACAATATAGACGGGGCAGTTGGTGATGCCCAAGGGGCCATCCAACAATCTACCTAGCCGCAGCCACAAGCTATTTGCACTGAATGAATTCGCTGCGTGCTGGGGCACCCAAATCGTCCGAGAGAAATTGAATCAAAACAAAGAAAGGCAATCCTCTCCCACTGGACGCCGCTTTGATGATACCATTGCAAAAAGGGGAAAATATCACAGGGTACAGCATAAGTTTTCATGCTTTTTTTTTGGCGGTGACAGCCCCAAGCGCTGCGCCTGCCAAAGCATCAACAGCATCGGTGTCACCAAAGTCAATCTGGCTAACCAACCCCAGTCGTAGACAAAAGCCGCGGATGCCAATGCCAAGCAAAAGCAGCTCAAACTCTGAAGTTGAGTGACCTCTGGCTGGCTGGGGAATTTTCATCAAACATACTGACACGTTGGAACAGAGCCAAACACCATTGATGCAGGACATGATGCAGGACAAAGCTACTTACCAATTACCAGCACAAAGAAATGTCACTGCCTAGCCTGGAGCAATCAGCTTTATCACCAACGTCTTTCAGTGTGCCACCTTTTCAGCCCTTTTGAAAGTTACCCCGCCTGCGGCTCCATGTATGGCTGGCACGTCGCAACCAGCACAGCCATGCCCAAACTGAAGGCGATAGCCCACTTCCAGGCATCAGCCATCGAGACACACGAGACCAAGGCCACGGCGAACAGCTTCATGGCCACGTCCATCCACACATCCTTCAGCCAATGGCGGGGCATGACATGAATCACCGTCCTCCAGTGGACTGAATCTTTTGGCCATCTATTGGTCTTCAATATCTTATCAAAAAGGACCCAATGAGGAGGACATCCATGGAGCCTACCTCTGTCATTCCCGCCACACTGAAGAAAAAGTTGCCTCTCTCACACCCTCTGACCTGTCAGTGGCCCCGCCTGACAAAGCGCATACTTCGACAGAAGTGGCCGGGAACCGATGAGCCAACGATCTTGCGTTTCCTGCAGCATGATCTGCTCAGTCAACATCTCAGTGAGTCTGCGACCCCTCAGCCTCAGCATGTAAGCCAAGGAAGCAATGCGAACCCTAATGTCCAAGTGAACACTTCATAAACGCATAGCTCTTGCAATTTCCTGCAATAATGTTCAATGCACAAGAAACACATCGATTTTTCTGGATGCTGTTGCATCGGCCACCGCTTTCATCATATCCAACTCAGCCTCCTCCCCTTGGTTTTCCGAAATTTCTATGATGGTGGCCGACTTCTCAAGCAGCTGGACCTGTCTGGCGCCGCGGCAATGCACTGCCATGTGGGCTGCTACGGCTGCCTTGGGTAGAACATGACCAATATTTCGTGAGAAACGCATCCCCAAGCTGCCACAAAACACTCGTGGAAACTTGTGTGGCATTTCAATTCTTCAAGGTTGGCTCAGCATCTTCGCTGATGAAAGAGCGTGGCTTGACAACTGCGGCTCGGTTGCGAGTAAACGTTTTGGAAACGCTTCTTTGGAAAGCTGGTCGTCCAACATCTCCAGGTGCAGAGTGGTATGTGGGGGTTTCCTCTCAGCACAGGCAGTAAAGAGTCGAGCATCCTGAAGGGCGAAGTGCCTGACAATTTTGACAGCAAAACAAGAAATCTGAAACTGCAATGTCCTATATATATATAATATTATAATGTCCAGGACACGCTGCACATTGAATCAATCATGAAAACATATTAACCCCCGAGTTAAAAATATGATCCTTTGGGGCCCTTTAATGCCTGTACAATTGTGACATGTCCTGAGGTGCCTAGGGCGTTCATTACCTCACATGCTGCGACCGACCACCTCATTGAGCCCTCAAAAACCCTCTGATCATTCAACGCCAAGATGCTGTCGCAGCATGAGGCCAACCTCGAAGGAGGCGACGCAACTCACGGAAACCAAAAAAAACAAAATAGATCAAAATAGGATGACTTAAATCAGCAGTCTTGGGGCTCTCCAGTCTCGGGATATCTTGCAATCATGATGGACCTGGAAAACGTGATGGACCAAAGAGAAACTGGATGAAACAAACGCTCAAAAGTCAAAGCTGCATCAGGCTGCATCCCAGGGACGAGGAAGAGCGGAATGACAACAACATATGCCACAGCAGTGCTGTAGGCAACCACGTCAACCCAGAAAGCCACGCCATCTCTTTGAAAGCAGCTCAAGTGCCGAACAGCTTTGCGAAAAGCGAATTTTCCGAGGCTTGCGCCATCTGCGGCCACATGAGGAATGCAGCATCAAGTCATTCAAAGCGAGATATCAACTGTCAAAAGCACTGCGCAACTTGGCGAGTGGATGTCCCAAAAAAAACTGCGAGTGGGAAGAGCTAGTGGAGAAAAAATTGAGCAATAAAGTCCCACCTTCAGTAATGCAATCATCCTGCACATCAACAATCCTATTCCTGTTCCTCCCCGCACCTCCATCCTCTGACTGACAACTGAACAGCTGTGCTGTGCTCGAAGCACCACCAATGTATAGGAACGTGAGCGTCTTCAATGCCATGTTGACCTGATCTTTGCTTGGAAAACATCTTACTTGTTCAGCCCACCTTCGATCATGAAATTTATAGAGCAGTTAATGGAAACAACTAACGTGACAAAACACATCAAACACCTGCCATTTCCAATCAAGATGACGCCGGAGCCAGCTCGGTAAAGCTCCAAGGCAGCACAGCACCCAAGCCTCATGGATAAAACAGGGAATAGGAGGGTATTAGTCCCAAAGCATGCAACGTAATGCAAATGTTGCAGTGTTCAAGTAACACCCACATTCTGAGATGACACCCCTTATATGTGTGCCATGTTCAGAAAATGTCAACCATGTTTGGACTGGCCAGCTTTCTTGTTAATGATTTTTTTTCTGATGTTGCTGCTTGCAGTAAGTAAACCATTGTGACCATCCAACGATGGGTCAGCAAACCCTGTTTAGGCAGCCTCTGAATCAAAACAGAGCAGAAACATGCAACAAGATACAACAAGAACATGCATGCAAAATGCCGCAACCGACAAATCATGACAAATCTTCTCTTCAAGCACTGAGTGGCAAAAGCAATGGCGCCAGCGGAGAACTGATAGCAGCCACTGTGCGAACCGTCTCTGCATGAAAAGAACACTCCACATTCAGGGAGCTCTGCAGTTCGGTGGTGGTCAGCTGCAGAAATTCCTCGGCTGTATCGAAAAAAATCGAAAGAAACACCCCAACCAGACCTGAACTGAACAACCAGAGCTGAAAAATCTAACCCTTGCAGCCTCATCTTGTGAAACATGCAAACCTTAAAATGTCGGAGAAACGCGAAAACATCAGCAGCAAACACAAATCGGACATAAACTACTGGAATCACTGAGTTTCCAAATATGGAATCTCCGGAAGGCCCTTGGCGCTGGATGAGTTTTGTTGCCCTAACCGGCTGAGAACACTCCACAGCTGCACCAGTTGAAGCACCACCGGGCCTTGCCGAGCCAGCAGCTTTTGGAGCAAAGTCTTTACCTTAGCGTTAAGAAGACACGTCAAAAAGACACAGAGGGGAGAGATAGATAGACACACGCATCAATAAACAAACAAATATATATATATATAGTATAATGGAAGTATACTGGACTATAATATAGCAAAATATAATACAATAAAATACCATGGGCTTCAAAGACCGTAAAAATTGTAGGTACGTTCAAAAACACTTCGTTTTTTCGAGAACAACCGGGTTTTGTAAAGAACCCATTTTGGTTTTGGTTGGATTTGCACAAGTTTGTCCAAATCGGGTGGACCTGAATCAAATTTCTGCTTCACCACATGTAGCAACTTCATATTGACAACTTCCGAAATCTGTCACACGGAACACGCCATCGAAACCAAAGCAAACGTTATCACACACGATGCGCGCACTCTCCACCGGCTGCAGTTACCTTCTAAAGTGCGACCTTCCCCCTCAGCGGGACTGGAGGTAATTAGTCAAAAAGTCACTATGAATATGGCATGTTAAAAGTCAGCTTTTAACCCAGCAAATTGGCAATACTTCCGATAATCTGTGTTGTTTTTTTTGGTCTGGATCGGGCAATTGCCGGTTGGATCTTGCAAAACGACAAGCGGAGCTTCAAAACTCGACGCCGCAGAGGCCAAAAAACAATATTTGAGTCCGGGTTAGTATGGGTTAATTTAATTATTGGATATTATTGGTTTAAGACGGTTTAGTACTGGATAAATATGGGTTTAGTACGGCTTAATACGGCCAAAATATGGGTATTTGGCATTTTGCGGGTACGGACCTAAAATTGCAATCCAAAATAACAAAAAACAAATCCAATTTGCGATTGATTCTGGATGATTTTGTTCATTTTTTCGATAAGTTTGATTGACTTTGTTCGATTTTGCGAACCCAGTTTTTTTACAATGAAAAAACTTAGCTGGTTCAAATTTATGCTTCTATAGGGGTGGTTCTTGTAGGAAAAACACCTCCAACGACTCCATATTTTGTGTGATCACAAGCAATGTTGTCCGACATGTTCCAGGAGCATCGGGCCCTTTCTTATGAGAACTGCCAGCCAAAGCCAGCGGGGTGGAAGTATGATCAACATGAACGGTGCTGAGAAGGAAAGATCCAAGGCTAGTACCAGTAGTACCGCGCAACGCGGTGGCGAGAGGTTGGTTGTCATGAATCACGGATGACAGAGTAAATCCACTGATGGACCGAAAGGTGTCTGGAGTTGTGTTTTTGGAGTGGTTGCGATGGTTGCAGTGGTCACCTTACAAGCAATTGCTGGATGTAGTATGGTGTAGTGCAGCGGTAGTTGTGGTTGTAGTGTGGTGGTGCTGTAGTTGACTTGTAGTGTCGTGTAATTAGCGTAGTGTAGTTGCAGTTGTAGTTGTGGTGTAATGAGTGTAGTGTAAAGTAATGTAGTGTAGTGTGCGGTAGTGTTGTGTGCTGTAGTGTAGTCTAGTGTTGTTTGCTGTAGTGTAGCCTAGTGTAGTGTAGCCTAGTGTAGTGTAGCCTAGTGTAGTGTAGCGTATCGTGGAGTAATGTAATTGTAGTTGCAGCTGTAGTTGTAGTTAATGTGGTGTGGCGTAGTGTCGCGTGGTGCCGTGTAATTAGTGTAGTGTAGTGTAATGTAGTGTACTGTAGTTGTCGTTGTAGCCGTAGTAGTACTAGTAGTTACAGTATAATTTGTAGCTAGACTTGTAGTGTAATCAGTGTGGTGTACTGCAATTAGCGTGTAATGTGATTAGTGTAGTGTAGTGTAGTGTAATTAGCGTACTGTAGCGTAATATACTATGATATATTTGCATTAGCAGTCGTAGTTGTAGTGGTAGAGTGGTTGTAGTTGTAGTTGCAGTTGTATTTGTTGTCGTCAAATCTATCTATCTATCTATCCATCTATCTATCCATCTATCTATCTATCTGCCTATCTGTAATTAAGTTTGAAAACGAAGCAAGTCTGCAAGACTTCCTCAATCTTGAACTTGACATCATCAGAAGCGCAGCAATTCTGCGAGACTTCCTCAATGTTTGAACTCGACAATGTGAAAAACGAAGCTATTCTGCGAGACTTCCTCAATTTTCAACTTTACCACATCAAAAACGAAGCAGACTTCCTTCAAAAATGGAATGTTGAGTGCAGAGCTGACGGCCTCGTACCAATGCGTTTTGCGGTGTTCCACCCCATCTGTTTAAAGTGATGCGCCTGCCACAAAAAAGTGATGCCAGTTCATACGAAATGCTGCACCTGTCATGCAAAATCATTTTAGCAAACCTGAATATCTGATGCTCCAAAGTGCAACCCCTCTCAGGAAATCAGCGCCCTGACTTCCTAACGGTCCTAACGTCTCTGATGAACATGTCTCTTGTACTGCGCCTGCCGCGCGAAATACATCTTTGCACATCCTCTTGAAATGTCCCACGTCTGCCATCGTTTTTGGACATGCTACCAAAGCCCTCACGTTTTGCTCACTTTTGACAAGGTGCACAAACCCTTGCGCCTGCCACGCAAAACCACATCTGAACCTTCAAAAGTGGTGGGGGGGGTGTGGTGTTTGTAACATGTTGACTTTGAAACGTGCCTCGCGCCACGACAGCGTGCACTTGTTCAACATCTCAACTTCCAAAAGTGGTCCGGAGCTGGTGTGCTTTGCACATTTTGACTTGGAAACGTGCTTCGCGCCACAACGGCGTGCACCTTTTCAACATCTCAACTTCCAAAAATGATCCGAACCCTTCAGTTTTTTTACATGTTTGACTTCGAAGCGTGGTCTTCGCTCCGAACCCGTCAGTTTTTGACACTTTTGACTTCCAAATGTGCGTGGTGCATCTTCGCGCAACAACGGCCTGCACTTTTTGAACATCTTAACTTCCAAAAATGCTCCGAACCCGTCAGTTTTTTTACATGTTTGACTTCGAAGCGTGCTCTTCGCTCCGAACCCGTCAACGGCCTGCACTTTTTCAACATCTTGCCTTCCAAAAATGCTCCGAACCTGTCAGTTCTTAACACTTTTGACTTCGCAATGTGCTTCGCGCCAAAACGGCGTGAAATTTTTCATCTCTCGTCTGGCCAGATGACTCCGCACCCGCCGCTTTAGCGATCCTACTTTTCGAGCCTCAGGAGGCACAAATCATCGGAAAAAACAAAAAAGTTTTTTGCGACTTTCTTAGCTTTTTGCGCACCTGCATCTTTTTTCTTCTCATTCTTTCCCTTCTCTGATCTTCTCTCTTCGGCTCTTCTCCTCTCTGGCTCTTCCCACCTCTGCTTTTTCCATCTTTCCATTTTGTCGGAAGTTTAACTTCTAAACTTCCTTCGATCAATAAAGGGGTTTGAATATGTTTGAATCGTCTAAGGGAGCGGATCATGAGATGTCATGATACCAAGCCTGAGAAAAAGTAGGTTGTTTTGTTCCCCTTACTAGAGGAGGAAAAAAACACTTTTTTTTATAACTAAAAAGCATGATTTTTAGCAAAAAAAAACCTACACATTTGTGGGTTTTTGATGCGCTGGTAAATACCAGGACATGCCAAGGCATGCCGTTTTGGCACCCCTTAGGGAAGCGGTGTCGCTATGACGCCCCTTAAATCCTTAATTTCTAAGGTGTTTTCAACCTGTTTTGGGCCATCTGGGATATACATCTCATCTTTGTTATCTGAAGCCACCGAAGCGATGACTTTGAGTTGCTTTTTTTTGAAACCCCAAAAATGGCGCATGTCAAACGTGTCATTTGCGTGCCGGGGGGGTATGCAGGGGGTGTCGTTTTGGCACCGGCGTCACTACCAGGGAGTCGCGTGTGATTTGCGCGTCGGAAAATTTAAAATCAATGTTTTTTTTGTCCAGCTCGCCTCCAACAATCTCTCCCAAAAATGGCGCTGTCAACTGTCAACATCGTTATCACCATACTGTTGTGATTTCTTGGTTCGGCTAAGGAGTGTCGCTACGCCGCTCCCTTAAATGCCACTCGATAGATAGAGGTCAAAAAAGGTGACTCTTCGGAATGTCTTGGGAATGTAAATACTATACACCAAATGTGCTGGAAGTGCATTTAGTATGACATGGACAAGTGGCACTGGCTGCTTCTGGCACTTGTTGACCATAGATTTGGCGGTAGACCAGGAAGGCTGCTGCCAGCAGGGCTGCAACTCCCAACAGCACAAGGGATGCAATTGAGGTCGAACTTGCTTCGGCACAGGGCCTCAAGGCATGTTCCTACCTTGAAACAGCTAAAAAACCGATGTTGAATATATTTAAATATACTCATTAAAAAAGAAACCTCACCAAGTTTAGGAGCTTGCCATCGATTCCAAAATCAAATGTCCCCTGAAGCATCCTGAAGCAAACATATTGAAAAGAGAATACCTCAACTCCAAGTTGCTCACACTTGCCTCTTGTGGCCCAAAACCCATCTGCACAGCTCGAGCAAAGAGTTCCATTGTAGCCCGGGCCGCACTGGTGGCTGCCAGGACACCGATCTGATGCAGCCGGTGGGAGACACTTATGTGCCTCATCAGCGCTCGGTTCCAAGCGAGTGTAGTCCATGTCTGGCACGGCGGTCGATGCCAGACTTCCAGGCGTCTCGCACTGCAGGTGAAGTTTGGTGCAAAGAGCGCAATCGCCCTTTTGCAAGGCGTGGTGCGTGTCACAAGCACAAATACCTTCATGGAGATCTCCAAATTTGCATTTGCAGTCTGACATCTTTGTGGATCCTGCAGGTGCTGTGCTGTTTGCAGGGCAACTTTTGCAAGTGTCAAAGCCTAGATCGTCACTGAATTTGTTGGATGGACACATCTCGCATGTTGCTCCGCTACCAAACCACCCAGGTAAGCACTTGCAAAGCTCCTGTGGCAAGAACTTGCTTGGTGTCACCTTCAGGGTGCCTATCACATCTTTGCAAGCATGGCCCGCAGTCTCGTCTCTGAAGGCATGCATGTGCGTTGTCTTCATCACTCCTTCTTTCAAGAGCTCTGCTGCTTCGTCTTGGTTGCTCAGTGCGGTGCCTGACAGGTCCAGGAAGACTTGTTTGCCCAAGGCCTCCGTAAGCACCTTCACGTCGACATTCAGCTGATGATTCTCCCGCAGCAACATGCGACCCTGCACTGGCAGTCCATGCACTCCAGTCACGTTGTTTGCGGAGAGGTCTAACGTTACCAAACTTTTTGCCAAAGGGAAGGTGAAGTTCGAAACGTTCTCGCCATCTATCCTGGCTTCCGTGTCTGTCAGCTTTGGAATTTCACCGTAGATGCCAGTACCACCGGCTTGGATGGAAGTGAGTTGTCCGGACATGGCCAGCGGCAGCAGCAAGTCCTCCACCGGGCTGTTAATGGGACCTGAGTGGCAAAATCTGGCCAGAGAAAACGTGAAGAGAAATTGAACAAACAACCTCCAAAAGATTGGATACAAAACCAAAACGTTGCTTGCGCGCATCTTGTTTTTAGCGAAAGTGCAGTTGCTGAGGTCCAACTCCTTCAACCATCGTAGGACACGTTCATCCTTGAGAGTATATCTACTATGCACCTTCAGCTTCTGGAGTTCCTCTCCCTGTGGAGCGAATTGCACAGAGGTGTTTTGCAGCTTCAATATCTCGAGATGTCTCAACTTCCCCCTCCATTTGCTTGTGATCCGACCGGCCACCGCAGTGTGCGACAAATCCACTGCTATGAGTTTGCGGAGCACTGTAAGCGCGTTGAAATCCCCCGTCACTTTGGTGCGGCTAAGGAGAAGATGGCGCAAACCATCAAGGGTTTGCACAAGGAAGGAAAAAGCAACAGTTTCACCCACGAAGTCCTTCAGGCTGCCAGTCACTGCGGTGCCGCTGAGGTCCAGGTACCGGAGCGACAGATTCGCCAAGGCGCTGAGGTTCCCATGGATCCGGGTGCCGTGGAGAGACAAAAGTCGGAGATGTGGCGTCTCCTGGAAAGCCTTGATGTCCCCCGTCAGGTTAGGCGAGGTCAACTTTACCTCAGCGCATCTCAGCGCCAGTTTTTGGTAGATGTAGATAAATATGTTTGAATGTAGTCTATAGTGATATCTGGTCACCTTGCTTTGATTCAACTTAATTAAATTAAAAGACGTGGCCTTTGGAAAATTGTTCTTTTCACTTTCGTGACGTTTCAGATGTCAACATCTTTGAACGAACCTCAAAAGCTCGAAGATGCGAAAAAAAGGTGGTTCAAGTTGATGCGCTCTGGCAGCCGGCCACCGCATGTCTCGCATCGCAACTGCTTTACGCACCTGTTCTCACACGTGACGCCTGGCCACTCGCAATGGTGTCCATCCAAACGACCTGGACCACTCGACGAAACAAAGTGACGGGAGAAGACTGGAGGCAATGAGCACCATGGATCATCGGGTGTGTAACAAACAAGAACATTCTGGACGAGTACTGAAGGCATTGAATCGAACTTCGATGTGATGGCTTATAGTCACTTAAGTCCCACGGCCGCCGCACTGAAGTTGAAACAATTCATTCAGCAGCAAGTAGAATTCCACACAACTGCGCAGCAAAATGAAGGTGTGTGAAGTTTGAAAGAAATTTGTTTCGAGAAGCCATGGTTTCGGCTCTTCGAACCCGCCTTGGTAGCCCAGTTGCTGCATCAACTTCCACATATCTTGAGCTTCCTGTTTGCAGTCGTCACCTGGAACTCCCTCCCACTTGAGACAGGGATGGAACATGACAGAACACTTTATGAGAACAAATAATGCATAGAACCAACTCTTGATTCACAGCTCAAATAGCCATTGTTAAAGATTCGATGCAACATGATACCATATAGGAAGTAGTTCATCACCCATCAACTCAAGTCTATGATTTTGAAGGCTCCCCAAAAATCAAGCCAACCACAACTTGCACAAGTCCAGATTGCAGATCAAGTCCTCTTGATTTTCATGGTTACATATAGCATCGATCAACACAACTCCGATGAAGCTCTCAGGCGCCTTCGGTGTCCACGGTGAGGCTTTCAGACTTCAATCCATCTCTGATGGCCACCGCTAGAAAGGAAAGCAGCGCCCCTTGAAGAACGGCCCTGCCCGGCCCCATGCCCTTTTAGGCGCGGTGACCGAAATCTCGCATTGCAAATGTGAATAATTGTGAATAACAAACAGGGTTGCAAAATTTTGCCAGATACAGGCAGTCCTTCGAGCCAGATCGGCCATTTAGTTCGATGATTTATGATAATTTATCGACCCCCCCCAAAAAAAATAATTCCCATAGCTATACGTTGAATTACCAGAGAGTAGCACACTGTTTTTTTTTAAACCACGTTTTACCACTAACTATTATATAGACTCTTTCTGGTAGTTTTAGTATAGGATATATTTCCCTTTTTTGGGGTTTTGCTATAGACTGGACAGGGTTTGCGTTTGGAATGAGATTTTACTAACGTGCAGGGATCCAGACCATCGTTTGTTTTTGTCATTTAATTTTCCCCAAACTAAAATCCGAGAAACCAGCGCTGGATGTTACATTTTTATAGACGGATGTTCTATTGAAAAAGACGACTTTAGATAATCACTGGCCTTTCATCATGGATAATCCATAATCCAGTAGTTATAGAAAATTGAAAGTTAGTGACATTTTATATTCTGCCATGATGTTCAGAAGGTACTCAGCTTTCACCGCCCTTTTTTTCCCGCTTCTGCGGAAGCACGGCCCTACAGTCCGAGATGGTGCTTAAAGAGTATAGTAAGCTGCGGTAAGCTGGGAGGTTTTTTCAATTGGAAAATCATCGAGCATGGGGCGGGTTGCCTTGCTTTGTTTGACTAGCGAAGGGTGTGTCTATATAGATATATATATATATCTCTCTCTCTCTCTCATGTTGTCGCGCTTGTATATATATATATAAATCTATACTTCAATGTCATAGAGGTGGTCCTAAAGTTTGACCTGACATGTAATCTCCAAGTTGCCATTTTTGCAACTGGAAGAAGCACACATGTGTCGCCCCCCAGAGGATCAGCGGATCAGGAGCCATCGCTCCAGCTGGAACTTGAAGACTCCTGAAGCGGCTGCGACTGCCAACCCCCAGCTGAAAACCGACAGGAAGGCCATGGAAGGCCCAAATGATTTTCATGATCCTCCCAAATGGGTGAATATGTTTGATGCCACCCACTTTAGATAAATATTAAAGCCAATCATTTTCTGAAATGTGTGGAAGGTCGGCCCTGGAAACCTGATGAAACCGGATATTGATTTCCGGGTTTTTCTCTTAAAATCTCTTTGGAACATTATGTTCTGACATAGAATGTTTAAACAACTCACTAGTTAAATCCACTTAAATCCCAAGTTCAAAACACCATGATTGTTGGCGAAGTTACCATTTTCCTATTGTTTTTCTATGGTTTTTCAAAACAAGACCTGAAATGATCCTCCTGGCACCGCAGCGCGTCCTTTTCGTAAAACTCCTCAGTAGAACTGCCCAGGAGGCCGTCGTCGTCGCGACGCACGGAAGACCTCGGCATCGTGATTGAACAACGAATATGGTACAGCTGATACAGCATACAAAATATAATAGATGATTAGATATTTGATAATGTCAAAACATCTTATATATATATGTATGTATATGGTACCCCCCCAAGACCTACCTGTTTGTGGTTTTTACTGGTATTTGCAGTAAATTATGCACATTTTGAGCTTATATGTTTGGTTGCAGTTTTGGGTCATGTTTTGGTTGACTTGTGGGGGGTGCCATATATATATATAAATGTAAAAGAATTCCAATAACCATGTAAACACTCACGTGCACACACACACATTGAACCCCCAGAATTTATCTTGAATCTTGAATCCCAAAAATTTGCAAACGATTGCAAATTTTGCTGAAGCCATAAACTTGGTACTTTAGTTGAGGTGAGCCGGGAACCCCTTTTGAATCCTGGGATTCAAGAAGTTTTTTCTAAGCCTTGAATCTTGAATCTTGAATCTTGAATCCTACCTCCTTGGATTCAAGAATTCTTTCTGGAAATCTTGAATCTTGAATCCTACCCCCTTAGATTTGGGGAAGAATGCATTCTGAATGCATTCTTTGCAAAATCCAAGATCCAAGATTCCAACAAGACTCCTGATCAAAATCTTGGATTCCAAAAGAATTTTGATAGGGATTGGGAAGAGTATTCTGTAAAATAAATTGGAAAAGAACCTTCTGTCATCTTAAACAGTAATTTCTTGAACAATTAAGAAGGACAAATTAAACCATGATGAGTAAAATACATGAACTCATCCGATAGCAATACCTCTTTATCTACACCAACAAAATGTATTGGAAAGGATTGCAGGTAGATCGGCAAAGAAAACGTTCTTTAAAAAAACATGGTCGCAATCTATGTTTAGAAAAAAAGGTAAAAGACTGTAAAAACCCTAAAATGCTATCAAAGTTCACATCTTAAAATGGTAGAATATTGTCATTAAAAATGCAAACAAATCAATCTGAAAAAATCCAAGTTAAAAAAAAAAACAAAATGATTGATTTAAAACTAGATCCTCAGAATATAGAGCTACAAGAACCAATAAAAATATAGGATCTTTCAAAGTAAAATACATATTCACCCAATGCTAGAAATTCCTATAATACCTGCGAAAATATCACAAAATTAAGGACTATAAAAAAGTAAGACAATTTATAATATGACACATATACTAAAAACTGATCTATATTTTTTGACTTTCTCATTGATTATCATCAAAATCAGTTATGTTTGAAAGATAAAATATATCTAACTCAAACACTCCTGGATTTAAAACAATGAAATTACAAGATCATCAACATTATACAGATTTTAAAAATGTATCATTACAGCAAAAAAAGCAATTATTCTACAAAAAAAGATGGTAGATGCTGAAGAAAAAGCTAATGGAAATAATGTAGGTTCACAAGAACAAAAAAGAGAACTATCACCTAATCTTGCACAAAGCTCAGCTTTGGCAGAAGCTAAAAGGTTTCAAATTGCTACAGAATGTTTAGTAAGCATGAATTCCACCAGTAGTCATTATAAACAACTAGCTTACAAAAAAGTTGTATTCATCAAAAAAATATGCTATACTTTGCTGTAAAAACAAATACTCAGATAACATAGTTTCAATCCATCGATTCCCCTAATCATATCGCTGCAAATCCTAAAGGTTTTGTAAAAATACCAAATGTTGTAGAAGATATTGAACAAGCAGACTTGCAAGAATCAGATCATAGATATAAAATTTGTGTTGATATATTAAGAATGGCTGAAAACATATAAAAAAGAACACATTAAATATAATGAAACAAATATGTCAAACATAGATGTTACAGCACTATGCTGCAGCTACATATGTGGGCAGGATGTGTCCAGCTACAATAGGTGATAAGATAAGAAGGAAGACAAAGCATTCAGGAACATATCTGCACACAAAAGGTAGGTCTTGGAGGGGGGGGTGCATATATATATATATCCCATAGTAACATCATGGTACCGTATCACCCAGATACAACAGTAGTAGAAATGGATATAGCCAACAATAAAACATATTCTTTTAAAACATGTAACTTAAGGGATTTCAGAACTAAACATGGAGATGATACGAGACTATCCAGCTTATGGGAACATGAGGCCTGCTCTGCTCCCCGGTGTTTTAACATAGGAATCGCAGCTAAAACAGTCTATGCAAATAAGACAGCAAACCCTGAAAGGGACGAAAAAAAAAAACAACAGTTTGGGTTGGAATTCTCCAGTTCCATCTTTTTGGGTCTTGCTATAAGCTAGATCGGGGCTTCTGAAAATGGGGCTTTCCGGAAATGGGTGCATTCCCTCCATCGTACTATAACTATAATCATTCCAAAGTTGGACCATTGGAGTATTGACACCCACAGTTTTGAGGGAATGCCCAGTCTTGAGAAATACCTAGAAGCGGGGGCAAAACCATCCATAATATTATGTGAAATCCCCACGGTTCCACATCTCCTTGGGATGATGTTGATTCAAGGTGACCGTGGCCTGCGGCAACAAAAACAACGTTGCAATAAACTACAAATCCAATTTTTGGGCCTGGGAACGCCCCAACAAAAAACTTAATCCCCCAAAAAATCATCAAGCATCCAATATCTGGTCGGTGGTTTCAACCCCCTCTGAAAAATATGAAAGTCAGTTGGGAGTATTATTCCCAATATATGGAAAAAAACATGTTCCAAACCACCAACCAGATATGTATGGCAACAAAATTCTAACCAACTAACCTAATCAACCATCCGGGGTTCCATGTTTTCCAAGGAACGTGGTATCCTCCCTGCCCCACGTGATGATCCGACCATCATCCCGCATGGCCAGAAAAACCTGGGGACGAGGCTTTCTGGTTCCAACATGATAGGACTGAAAATTGGGTACCCTCTGGTAAACATACGTAGCAAAAACTATTGAAAATTGCCATAAAAATAATGAGTTGATTTTCCCATTTAAAAATTGTGATTTTCCAGAGTTTATGTTAGTTTACCAGAGGGATCCAGAGGGTATGGATTTAACTTGGGGGCCCACGGCATCCCATAGCTGCCTGGAAAAAATGTCGAAATACTGAATTGATATTGCCAATCTGATATTCTGTGCATTAGCTTGATTAGCTTGTTGTTAGTATAGACGTAATTTTTGTTGGCAAAAAAAATACAGTCAATCAAGTACTATATTTACTATATGAACTGTCAATTCAAGATTGACCTGGTTGCCGCGGCACGTTTTCAGAGGCCGTGATGTGGGAGATGTTTTCCTGAACCGATAAGTGGCCCGGTGGCCCAAGCTGAGGCCCCCAACGATAGCTAAGTTGACTTATAGCTTGGTGACATTTGGTTACACTAACTAGGGCCTAAGTATGGTTTGTGGGGGTATGACCAGAGCCAACTGGGGTTTGTAAACCAACTTATAACTGGGGGGCCTCACCGTGATGTAAAAATCAAGGCGGATTCCATGTCTGAAATAATTTTGACAACCCTTTTTGGCATTCCGTGCTTGACATGTTGGATGACGGAATATGAAGGAAAGAAATCTGGTACTGGGCACATCACCTTTTGATTTGCAGGTGACGTTGCAATGAAACTTAAACAGAAATACCTTGCTGCGTCTGACACCGTTTGACCTATCTATCTATCTATCTATCTATCGATCTATCTATCTATCTATCTATCTCTCCCTTTCATCTGTCTATCTGTCTAGCTGTCTACCTGTCTATCTGTCTATCTATCTATCTGTCTACCTGTCTATCTGTGGTGCAGTGTCATTCAGTGTAATGTAGTGTAGTGTAATGCAGTGTGGTGTAGTGGAGTGTGGCGGAATGTAGTGTAGTGTAGTGTAATGTAGTGAAGCGAAGCGAAGCGACATCTGAGCCTCCAAAAGTGGTCCGAACCCCTAGTGTTTTTAACATTTTGGCTTCAAAATGTGCTTCGCGCCACAACAGCATGCACTTTCTCGAGATCTGAACTTCCAAAAGTGGTCCGAACCCCTAGTGTTTTTAACATTTTGACTTCCAAATGTGCTTCGCGCCACAACAGCGTGCACTTTTTCCACATCTCAACTTCCAAAAGTCGTCCGACACTGAGGTGTTTTGATGTGTTTCGTACATTTTGACTTCGATATGTGCTTCGCGCCACAACGGCGTGCACTTTTTCGACATCTCAACTTCCAAAAGTGGTCCGAGAATGGTGTGTTTTGTACATTTTGACTTCGAAATGTGCTTCCCGCCACAACGGCGTGCACTTTTTCAACATCTCAACTGCCAAAAGTGGTCCGAACCTGCTGTGTTTTGTACATTTTGACTTGCAAATGTGCTTCACGCCACAACGGCGTGCAATTTTTCATCTCTCATCTGGCCAGCTGGCTCCGCACCCGCCGCTTTAGCGAGCCTACTTTTCGACCCTCCGGAGCCCCAGATCATTGGAAAAACACAGTGTTTCGCGACTTTCCTACCTTTTCACGCATCTGCATCTTCTTTCTTCTTACTCTTCTTTCTTCTAATCTTTCTCTTCTGCGTCTTCCCTGCTCTGCTTTTCATCTGTCCATATTGTCGGAAGTTTGACTTCTAAACTTCCTTCGATGAAACACTGTAAACAATGGGGGTATAACGGGATAAACCATCTACCAACTCAGGATTTCGCAACCATCCACAATATGTTGCTTACTCGTGAGCTCCACGTCCCAGCATCCCACAGATCGTCGTCCACGCCGCTGCTGTCACCACCGAACTCGCGCCGGCCCCAACAGACCACACGGCCGTGTCGCGTGCGGGCGCAAAAGGCTTGAGCTGAGGAGCAAACCTCCTGGCGGGAGTGTCATCGCAAAACAAGGGGATGCCACCTAGTTATAAGTTGATATATGTATACACCCCAATCACATCAATATAATTTATAACTATGTACATATATAAAGAAAAAATGCCATAGGTCTTAGTTGTATAACTGGTTATAAACCAACTTAGATACCTAGGGGGCACCAGCTGGTATAGCAATGGTAATTGAGTTAATCAACACTAGTTGGAACACCTGCAGACATATGACGAATTGGAATTTAATCTACAAACATGGAGAGATAACGCACCTAAAGGGTGTGTTTAACCAACAAAAATGAAACGCACGGAATGTGACAATGCGGGTCTAGCAAACCACAAACGGGATACCAAAACATAGGAACTATTGCATCTTGCAATCCCCGACCCCAACTGGTTCAGGAGTAGGGGGGGGTGGATCCTACATTTCTGATAATGTATGAACATAAGGGGGGGGTTAACCCCCTCACTTTTTGCCAAAAATGTATGGGAACTAGGGGGGGGGTAACCCCTCAAAATGAGGCATGTATGAGTGCCAGATGCTGGAAATGTATTATTGGTAGGGGTATTGAACCTGAAAATGTATGCTTTGTGGGGGGCACCACTGACAAGAGCCAATGGATACATAAACTTTTCTAAATGTATGCAAGCATGGGGGGGTCTGCACCTCAATCCAATTGATCTTTTTTTCCTGGGAAACCTACTGAAACCCATGGGCCATAAAATGGCTGAAATATCCCCCTTTGAATTAAGTGAGAGTGTTGGTGTTGACAATATTATAATGATAATCCGGGAGGCCCTGACCCTCTTTCTGAAAATGCATCTATAGAATCAGAGACCCCAAGGTATTTTCAAGTTGACAATCTCTATAGAATCGATGCCGCCAAGTCACTCTCGTAGATGGTTGGGGGGGGTTAGTTGGCCTTCTATAAAATCAGGTTCCCCAAGTCTCCTTCATTGACAGCTGACCTGAATGCTCCAGTCTTGCCTAGCTTGCCTTATGCACTCCCAAATTTATAGAGTTCAAAGGCTCCAAGTGTTCACTGAAAAATCTCTGTTTCATTTTGTTTCATTTTGTATCGCTTTGTTTCCATCCGTTTGCTCTTTTTTAGAAAGGCGGAAAGGCTGGCTCGAGGACTTCGACCCAAAAACGGTGAGACACACTGGGGAGACACAACGGGAAAGACACATCCAAAATGAAAAATGTCACTTTTATACTTTGTAAACCAGAAAAAGCTGCTTTTGTAAAATATTGAAATGTCAAAATTGTACATATTTGCTGAATATAGCTGATGATAACTGATGAAACCCTGATGATAGATCTCCAACAAATCTCCAATATATCCCAAAAGTATCCAAAAGTATCCAAAAGTTTCCAAAAATATGTCAAGATTCCAAATGATTCCAAAATATACAAGGATGATCAAGGATGATGAAGGATGATGAAAGAATTGTTGTGGGAAATTGGTTCTGCCAATGCTTCTCTATAAAATTGAAGAACATGACATACATCCAAAGACATCCAAAGAGAACGTATCCCACTGTAGAATCGCAGTCCCTAAGACTCTCTGCTGACTAGTCCTCAGTGCTGTATTCAACATGAAATCTCTATAGAATTAGAGGCCCCAAGGTCCTCTATAAAATTGAAACCGTTGACACTAAGCGTTGACACTGGGTAGGTACCCCTTATTAAGTCAGGGGGTTAAAATGCACCATTTTCCAGGAAGTAACGTTCCCGATTCTGTAGAGGAAATTCCAAGGGGGATGCTGAAATATACTTGATCTTAAATATTCTGAAATGTATGCATTGCAGGGGGTACCAATGACTACCTTAGCCAGATCTATTCCCTCCATTTTCCAAAAATGATGTGCTTTTCGGCTACCCAACCCCCTTAAAATACATTTTTCAAAGAAGGGTATTCCCAGAAAAAAATTAAGCATTCCCGGGGATCCTGGAAAAACCAAACCCGTAAAATGTATTAAACCACCCCCCCAAAATAAAAGATCCTGGGGGGGGTTGGATATCCCGACCCATGGATCCTACATTTAACGTACACCCACCGGTCAAATAATGTATTTAGGGGGGGTCCTGGGGAATCAAATTCTTGGAGAACGGTAAATGCATTTTTTTTCCCCAACCTCTCCCCCCCCTAAAATACATTTTTAGGGGTGGGTGATATCTTGCAATACGTTACAATGAAATATACTTAACTTCCTTCAAGCACCTTAAACACATACCACACCCATGTCGCCTTTTTAGATGTTCCATGAATGATGGCTACAATAACAGTTCATCAACTTGCTGGCATTTATCGGGACCAAGGCTTCTTTCCCCGATTCCGACCTCCCAAACTACTCCCATGGTGGTAACCCAGTATGCGAAGTGGCTATGGCAATCGAATTTGGGAAATTTGGGTACTGTAGGTCTACTCCCTTACTAATCATGCGCTACTATTACCCTGGTTGATCCAAAAGGGCCCCCAAGAAATTCCATGGATAAACCGACCGTGGACAGAACCTGCACATCTTGCAGCTCTGCTGAGAGCCAGGAGCAGTCACCACCACTGTCCGCATCGCCCCAGGCCACAACACCTCCGGACAACATCTTGCTACGGACGGCGTGTGCGGGCCAGAGGTGAAATTTTGATCCACCCCAAACACGCAAATTGTCCCATTGCATGGTGATAGACTGCGCCATGTTTGATGGGTGAAGCGTTTCTTTCAATGGCAGCCTCCAATGGGTCATCCCAAAATCATTGATTGTGCAGAGTAGTCTGGAAACATTGCAAGCATGCAGCATGAGGATGACCATCAATGAATTGTACCCAAACCAATAAACACCGGGGTTTAACCCAACCAAAAATGGGGGATCTGACATGATCTAACCATTTCACAGCAGCCGGATGGTATCTACACCCAAACAGTGAACATGCCAAAGTATTCATCCAGTCAGTTGACCCAGGGTCGATCAACCATTAGATTCCCATTGTCATCCCCGTAAAGCGGCAATAATCATTGTACACCCTGCATGTTTCGAGGATTAACACCAACAGTTGTATATTTTTCATAGCCCCCAGTGAATAGCTAAGTTGACTATAACATGGCTGACTAAGGTTTATTGTTGTTTCTGAGAAATATAAGTGAACAGATACATAAATCAATCAACAAAAACAAATAAACTTAACACACACATGTATATATATATATATACGTAGTTAATATAGTGAATGGTGTTAAACCAACAAACATCACGTTCGGGCCTCTTGTACCCCATGATGTCCCCGTTGCGTTGATGGCTACAACGGCACCTCCATGGGACAGCAAGGCTGCGAAGGCATACTGAGCTGCGAAGAGTTCCTGCACCTGGTGCAGCTGCTCCTGCACCTCGAGGATTACATGGCTGGGGTAAAGGTTTACCTAGATGCGAAAAAAAAAACATGGTTTTCCTAGGAAAATGATCTACAGACAGATGGTGGGTTTCACATCTATCTATCTGTATAATTAAATAAATAATATATATATATATATGTATATATATATATATATATACATTCCTTAAAGGTTGGAATATAAGTCAACTAGGTTAAGTTCTTAACCCTCAGACTCTCTAGCACGCTCGCTCTTTTTCCGCTCATCTTTCTCACTGTGTCTTCCAACCTGTATTCCTTCCAGGATAATGCATTGGGTACGCCTACAGATCCATCAGCCCTGCTGGTGGAGGCAACCTGTATCAGTCAGGCTGAGATATATTGGATCACATCCAGATATCTTTTCACACCCCGCCACTGGGACAGTTAAACCCCTTTCAATCTGTAGGTGTTCGCAGTGTCCTGCGCAAAGAACCCATCTGCAGCGCAGACTGCAAGTTACAAGGTCACCCCACAGGGGACCCGATAACAGGGTGGGTCAAAAATCCCTGATTTAGGGAGGGCAAGGAAAACAATGCTGCTACTTTGGATCAAGTTACTTGAGCCAAAATTGGCATTTGTTATTCGTTATTTAACCAACCACCAAGAAGTGACCACTGTCCACCCAGGCCTGCCAAACAATAGACATTCATTCATATATATATATATATATAAATTTGTTTACAGAAAAGTAACCATCAAACACGATCAAACATGATGAATTCATCATTGGACATGAGACTTAATAATCAAGAAAGAGGAAGCATGGGGAGGTAATCATCAAACGTGGTGCTAGTTATGGTCACCATCTTGTCCCATGGTGTTGACTTCATCTCCAACTTGCGGGTGTTCCGAAAAAGATAGCGAAGTCAGCTGCTTCGTTCGAATGATTCTGGCGGAACAAATGCTAGTTGTGAGGGATGATATTGAGTCGTAGCACCATGTACTTTTCTGCATCCCAAAAAAACAATTGCCAAAAACGTGGATTTCTTGCGCAGCCTATCCCATCCTGTCCCCGAAAACAAATCGCTAAGGCACAGCGCTGCAGTCCCCCCCGCAGAAGGGGTTTCCCCAAGCAATCCTTAGCATTCGGGTTAAGTGAACCTCCCGCAGGGTGATCCCTCCTAGGATTGGTGGAAAAGGTTCACTGGCTTCACCATGGTTTGTGGCGGATATATCGATAAATCATGTTATGAAACCACAAACAGTTCACTAGGTTCGCTATGTGGGAGCACAACCTTGGAAAAATGTGATTGTTGCCGATCAGATGCAGATGGATGCAGGGTATCTTCACAAGATTCTCACGAGTAAACCAACACAAGGACTTGCAGGTCGCATTCGTTGTTCACCTTGCTTTGGTTGCTATAAATAATTAATAAATTAAGTTCGTGTACAATCATATTTGATGTAGGAATAGTTGATTGATATCCATTTTCCTGAAAGCGGGCACACTCTGGCAAGCAAGATGGACATTGCACGCAGTATCTTTGTATACTCTGCAAGCCCGAACAATCTTTACATTCACAAGTAACTATGGACCTGAATCCAAATATGCATACATATATATATATATGTTAACCCCCCGAAACCTACCGTTTTCGATTTTTCAATTTGTTTTACAATGTTTTTTGTTGGTGTTTGCCTTCAAAAGCAGCCAGCATGTTTTCATGCATTTGAAGACTTTGGATGCTTGATCATGATGAGCCATGATGCTTCATGTGTAGATACAATGACATATTTTGATGGTATGTGCAGCGTTTTCGGCTACCGTATTGTGTTCCCAATACAGGGTTTCAATTCAAACGTTGACAGAATGCGCACGCCATTTTGGCAAATGTCAATTTTAAGCTTTACATTTGTTTTTTCCAGTGTTTTTATTCCTTTTTTGCGACACATTAAATTTTGGATTTTGTATGCTTTCAGGTCTTGCAGGCATATTATTTTATGATCAATATGGTAGATATTTCTTTGGCATTTTTTCCTTACTACCTAGCTTCCCTCGGGTTTTTACAATGTTTTTGTTCCTTCTTGTGACACGTGAAATTTTGGATTTTGTATGCTTTCAGATGTTGCAGGCATATTATTTGATTATCAATATGGTAGATATTTCTTTGGCCTTTTTTTCCTATGTAGTAGATTCTCTCTTGTTGTGCTACTGCAGTGGCTCAATACTTTGGATGATGTGTGGATCTTAGGAGGTCCTAGGACCTCTTAGTTCGTACCCCTTCCAAACTATGTCTTAAGTATAATTTACGTACCTCCAAGTACCTCAACCTCTCTGCAAAGTTTCCTTCAAGTAGTGATTCAACCCACATGAAAAAGATAATTCAACTTTGGGTCTTTTCCCCAAAAAACCTGAAAAGGGCAGTGAAAACACTGGAAATGACTACAAGAGACGATCAAACATGCATCCTTTTCTTGAAGAACCAGTTCTAAGTGACAAGAGCAGGCTTTACAAACGGACGCTTTCATTCAAAGGGCAAAAAGAGCACTCCTTTTGAATAGGCAGCATTCCTTTGCAGAAAGCCACTTCTCTTGAAAATATAATATATCTCTTCATTTCGATCAACAAGTTTTTTTTTAATAAAATGTAATATGCATTCTTAGTTCACAGGCCCATGTCATAACGTACTAAGTACAATACTTCGGGAAGGAAGAAACACGTTGCACAAACAGTCCCTGCAACATACAAGGCATCTTCCAAATAAAATGCCGTATCTCTTCAAATCAAAGAAGGCTATCTTCAGAAATGTAGCCATTACTTAGCCACTACTTTGAAGAACATACTAACATACATGTTTTCCTCTAAGTGACACGATATTTGTCGAAAAACAAGTTGGATGTTTTAAAGAGTTTAAAGAGCATGCTGCACATGTGGCACAAGTACTGCTACATTGTGCTTCCTAAAGCACCAGCGTTTTGACAGTGAATTGTGTATATACTTGAAATGAACAAATGTGAGCCGTCTTTGCTTAAACAAAACATCACAAATGCTACCTTTGTGAGATTGACAGTGCCGCTTCTGAAGAAAAGTGACTTGAAAGGGCACAGCATTACTTCAATAAGAAAGCGCTCTTAGTCTATGCAGTATTCACTGGAAACGCAATATAGTTCGAAAAGAGTTGTAGTGTAGCATTACCTTTTTACAGTTTTCCATTGACAAGAGTGATGCATTCCTTAAACATTGTGGGACATTCCTTCAAGAAAATGCAACATTGCTGTGGCACAGTGTGTTTATTTATTTTTCAAGCTTGGAAAAAAGACCCAAAGTTGATTTTTTCATGGTAGTTAAATCAAACCCATCTACTTAAAAGGAAACCGAAGATGGATGCATTTCCACAGGAATGCGTTCAGAATGCATTCTTTCCCTAATCCAAGGTCTAAGATCTAAGATTTGCTCAAGAGTCTTTGGGGAAACTTGGATTTAAAACCAAGAGCCAAGAACCAAGATCTTCTCGGGAGTCTTTGGGGAATCTTAGATTTAACACCAATAACCAAGAACCAAGGTTTGCTCAGGAGTCTTTGGGGAATCTTGATTCTTGGTTCTTGGTTTTGGGGAATCTTAGATTTAAAACCAAGAAACAAGAACCAAGATTTGCTCAGGAGTCTTCGGGGAATCTTGGTTCTTGGTTCTTGGTTTTGGGGAATCTTAGATTTAGAAACAACAACCAAGAATTGCTCAGGAGTCCTGGGCGAATCTTGGTTCTTGGTTCTTGGTTTTGGTTCGGACCAAGATTTGCTCAGGAGTCCTGGGGGAATCTTGGTTCTTGGTTCTTGGTTTTGGTTCGAACCCAGATTTGCTCAGGAGTCTTGGGGGAATTTTGGTTTTTGGTTTTTAGCAGAGAACGCATTCTGAATGCATTCTTCCCAGGTTGCAGAGCATGCATTCTGCACACGTTCTTCCCAGAATGCTATCATTGAAGTTAAGTTCAATCAGTCTCAAAAGCATACTTATTACACTATTAGAATATATATATACAAAAAAATACCCTTAGCGTGTATGTAAGGTAACCCACTTTTGACCCAACCATCTGATGAATATGTCAAAAAGGTAGGTTTCGGGGGGTACCATATATATATGTATATGTCATACATATCTTTAAATAAATATATATATATATACACATATATATAATATATTATATATACGTGTAAATATAAAGAGAGAGGGAGATTTATATATATATATATACACATGTGTGGGCGTAAGATTTTTCATGGCCATATATGGACATGTAGGATTTTTCATGGAGGCTATCGATTTTTTTAAAGGGTGGAAACAACTTTGGACGAGAAACACTTCCGCAGTGGCTGTGAGGGCAGCAAAGGCATAAGCATTCCTAGGATGGCTGGGCGATGGCCGAGCCCCACCACGGGCAGGATCTTTCCTGTGTGTTTCAAGGGAAATCATTACAGACTTTCCAGATGGGGATGATCCCCGAAGTTACTAAATTTGGTGGTGTCTGTTGGTTTCTTGCTGAAGGATCTGCGGTAAAACCCATCGAATCCCAAAAACGCTCAAAATCAAAGCGTATGGCTGCAATCCATTCAGTTGATGGTTGGTAAGCGGACTGTGCATGTGGTAAAATCACCCAAATGAAATTTAATAGGAACACACATACGCATGTATACACACATGTGTATATATATATATATCTCTGTACGTATTTACATATGTGCATGTCTGTCTTTGTTCCTACACACCAGCCATGGCCTAGCCCTAAAAACCAATCCCACTACTGGCTTACGGCGATTCTCCATAGCTAAAAAGTGGTGCCACCTAGTTGAGCATGTCTGTGTTCACCCACCTAACTTATGTATGCGCCATACTTATCGTAAATTTATAGTTATTCACTGCTTATGGCTATAGTAGCTGTTCGCTCTTATGTTTTTCTTATTCTTGGGGCCTTGGGGTTTCTGCCTTCCCCCTCCATCTTGTCAACGCTAAAGTAGCCTTAGTGGCATCCCCCTATGTGGCCCAGTTGTGGGGGAACATCCCCATTTTTAGAGTTACCATAGTTATATTGAGGGGAAAATAATTGGAACATCTCACTTGGGAAATATGTTGATGTTTCTCTTACCTATGTTTATAGTTACCATAGTTTTTTCGTCACCATAAACCAACTTGGCGAAGTATGGCTTTGTCAACTGCTATGGATGGAATATCCACTGGCATCCCTGAAGCTGGCTCCACTGGCTTGGAAGAGGTACGTCCCGCAACATACCAAGGGTAAATGTTGGGAACTGATGGCCAGCCGCAACATGTCCATCATGTAGCTTAAGAATCTAACCGAATGACCCAAACGGCCATTGTTGGAACAGAAAACACTCATGTGTGTTTTCAAACATGCATGATTCTGAGATAAGTTTGGGTATCATTTTTGATTTCTGTTTTCTTTTTCCTGGTCCAAACAATTGATTTCTGCATGTTTTTGTGTCATAGCACGACGCCAAACTCTCACCAAGCTTCGCTTTGATGGCTGTCAGCCCACTGAGCTTTCCACTGGGTCCACCTGGGGGAGTGCTGAAAACAAACAGAAAGTTCGCCCTTCTAACCATCTTTTTGACCCGAAATATTTGCGTTAACAAAGTTAATAACATGACATACTTAGGTTGTTCATGTCTATCCAAGGCTCCAATTTCAAGGCCTCCGCATTTTTTCAAAACCCTCTGGTAAACTAAGATAGCTATTGAACATTGCCATTTATAGTTGGTTTACCCATGAATATGATTGAATATGGTGGTTTTCCATACCAGAGGGTAGCTGGGTCAGAACGTTTCTGAGATGCCTTGCCCTTGCCCCGCAGAACCTCACCAAGGCGCTCCCTCCAAAACGCTCATCCCCCCACGTCACAGCCGTGCCTGGAGGATGACCGCCCCACGTCACGAAGGTTTTCGATGGCTAAGGAAAGGATGGGAAAGGAAAAACCAAACAACATGAACATATGACATTTATAAGCGATAGTTTGATATAGTTTGACCTAGGGCTAGTGGATGCTTGTTGTCTTACTTGTTCTGCCTCTCTTTGGAAGTTCGTATGTTCTGAACAGTTCATACATATTAACCAAGTACTAAGACACTAAGATATGCCATCTATCAAGGATATTCCTGGATCATTTGTCTACATATTCATATGTGATATAAATATTATATATATATATATTAAATCTTATCCTAACCAGAATTTGCCTAGCCATTTTGCATGTTTCTCGCCATCTTCTCTCAAATCTATGGTGGTGTCGACCACGATGTCGCCACAAACTAGCCAAACACATGTGTGTGTCAGTTGTTGTTGGTTAAATATCCAATGACATCCATTTGTTTGAAAGTTGGAACCAAATTATTCTGGTAAACTACTACCTTTTGCAGCTGGCTACAATTCAAAACCCTTTCGTTGCTGTTTATGTACATTTATTTAGCCCCCTCTTTGTGTGAGTGGCTCAATCCAATTTTTTGGCATTTGAACCCGCATTTTCCTAAGCATGACTATAGATAAGGTGCTCCCAAAGCCACTGGTTTATCATCAGTTTCCCTAGTGGAACTTGCCTTTTTGGGGGTTCATACCCTGTTTTCAAACAGACCAACCCACAGATTCTTGGTTAATCCAATATATTACCTTTTATACCACCATGAAATCCCAAGATATGTGCACATGTCCACCTCATTAATCATTGATTCATCCTCATTTCTATGGAAAAAATCTAATTTTTTCCCGGGTCAAATCCCGTAACGCGCCGCTTCTCCCGTCCCGGCACCATCCACCAGCAGCGCGCAGAAGGCCGAGTGCGAGGCTTGCAGATCCAGCAGCTCCGTGCTGAGCGTCAGCTGATTTGGGCAGCAGGCTTCCACGTCGACGTTGCCCCAGGTGAGGACCTACGTTGACGTCGCCATGGTAGACAAGAGGTGAAATAAGTAACCTAAATTTTGAAGAGAAAAGACACATAAATTAATGTAAACATATATATATATATAGCCTTGACAAACCTTGAATAACCTATTGGCCAATTAATTTTGAGCGATAAAAAATAAAAGTATGATATGTATGTATATCTAGGCGTATTCGATAGATAGGTATTTTAGATATATAGATCATTTTGACACGCAGCCGGAAAGCACCGGCCCACAACAACTTTTTTGGTGTCCAATGTTCCAACCATTGATGGCCAAATTCACGTAGTCACACATTCACCAGGAACCCCTTGGCCAGAGAAGACGTTGGAGGTGATTTTGTTCGGACAACAACTCCTTCATCATTCCTCCATCTATAAGCCAATTGGTTTGTTTCCTTCACAGCCAGCTAAAGCTAAAGATCAAATCCCCATCAATGGGATGTCTCAAACATGTGTCATTTTGAGAAAAGCAAGCTTGGGGTCGGTTTGGGGTAAAATTTGCCAACATGTACCAGTCGGGTCAACCAAGTTTTTTTTGGCCTGAAGATAGAGCACCCAACATCTCATGGTTGTTCATTATTTTCGCGATTGAACTTGCCATAGAATGGACCAATGGACGTATATATAGTCATCATCAGTTCCGAGATACTCCCAAAATCATTTACACTGCACATTGTTGGCTATGTATGTATCCCATGAAATATCCCATTTGTTTATCCCCCTTGTCCCCATAAAAAAGCCCGGTCAGTTAAGTCCAAATAACCTAGAATAGGAAAAAACAATAATAAACTACCTTGCAACATATCAGTCAAGCCAGTGTAAATTTAAAACAATCAGTTAACAACCACCAAACAAAATCAAAGAGAGGTTGGATATTTATAAGGAAATGATCCCATGCTTCGTTTGTCCATTTGGGCCTGTCATAATTGGGCTTCCAACTGCTTTTTCTGAGTGTTCGGCTGCTAAAGGCTGGCCTCTCTGTTCGCCTTAATGACAGTGAAGGCGAAGAATCCAGCGCAGATCCTGCCAAGTGTCGGGGGGAATTCATAGGGAGCCCCAAGATATGGGGGTTCATATGAAAGTTTTCTTCTAAAATGGGATGGGCCCCGAATCATCCAAAGTTAGACCATTTTAGTATTGAAACCCATGTTTTTTTTGGATCCCCCATTCCAAGAATTTCAAAGAAACCTGCATATGGGAGTAGTATGGGAATAGTTTGGAGTATGGCAGCGGGAGTCCAATCATGGTCCCTGTTAAGTCCACCAATGAAGAAATACAAAAAACAGGTAGGTGTTTAGTTTAAGTAGCAACAACTGAGTCTCAAAAGGATGCTTGGACTTGCATCAGAGGTCTTAAAATCAAAAATGACAAACCCAATCAGTTGATTCCGCAAGTGGTGGGCAAAGTAATGTTTTTATGGCAAATCGAAGGGTTGAACGCAACAGAAATTGGGAGATCCAATCCCCAAAACCCGGGGGTGTCCCAAACTGCCCGGTTGCCCTCCTTCGAACGTCTGTCAACTGGCCCGTGACGCTGCTGCAGTCACCGCCATAATGGGCCTTGCCCCAGACCTGAGCGGGTTTCAGATCCAAATGCCAATCTGACTCCATAGCCCCTTCCCTTAAGACAACCGACACCTCCCCAAGAATCCCTGGTTTGGAGAGGGGTCCCGCAAACAGGGCGTTTCTTGTTATCTGACTTGCTGAAAATTTGAGATGATCAGGCATGCAACCAGGGCTGCGCATGGCCCGTGTTACTGGGAGCATCTGGAAAACATATAAGCTCAATGCCAGCAACTTCTACACAATCCCCGTCTTGTCCTATGTGGATGATCCATGTTTAAAACCAGCCAGATCTATAAAACACCCCCGAGAAAAAAAGAGAGAATGGCAAAATCCAGCGTAATCCAATCAATAGTCGATCTAAAATCATCCTGTCCTGAACCTGTTTTGGAAGGTTGCTCAAAACCGAACACATTGTGTTTTACCATTGGCACACTGTTTTAAGTTGGTTTTCGGACCTCAAAATGTTATAGATATATCCCCCACCTTCACCAAGTTATGTGCATCAACTTAACTTAGCTATCATCAATCAGCTCCAAATGCCAGTCACCATTTTTCTATGGGTTACCATGGGTTAAACCCCGCATCTGAGGCACGACCGCCTCGCCATCCTTTCGCAACGCTGCGAATGCACCGTGCCTGGCGTGCAGCTCCGTGACGTTCTCCAAACGCTCGCTGCAGCTGCTGCTGTCGCCTCAAAAAGGCGATAGGCCTCGCATGATCCGCATGGACCTGGCACTTTTGGTTAATATGGACTTATATTCGTAGCTCCAACTGGCTGCACATTGACTCACATTGACTCCCCTCTAAATCAAACATCATCAATTATGATCTATATGAAGTCTATGAACCTCTAATAGGACACCATGACTCAAATTTGCTCACCCGAAACCAACGGATAGCCTCCATAATCGTGGGCGCCCCACGTAACTACGCGCCCGTCACGGCGTAGCGCAGCGAAGGCATAGCCCGTCGAAACGATCTGCAGCACGTCCACGAGCTGATCCTGTCCAGGGTCGCACTTGTGAGAGAACCATGCATTAAATCAACAGAAATTTGAGATTTACTTGGATCTGCTGAAGGGACCAAAAAATATTCCCTACAAATTCCGCAAGTAGTGGATTTTCCCAACAAAAGGATTTAAGGATTTGATGGGATCTATAACCATAAACATTTGGGATATAAGAATAAAACATCATGAGTCGATAGGTGACGTCGTGCTGAAGTCGTGATCTTAAGCTTATATACTGGTTGGTTCTCAATTCCCCTGCAAGTTTCAGCTTCTAGTTGTCATGTATGAATCACACTTTCACCAAAAAAACACAACAACTAACCGCTAGGTATATCAATGATCTCTTTCGATCCAGTACCTTCGGAAGCATGACTGGCGTATGATTTGGGGGGTTCGCCGTACCTTCTCAGGAAGCATTTGAAACCGTAGAGGATAGTTAAAGCCAATCGTATTCCATAAGATCCACAAGTATACATTCCCTTTGAATCCTTAATGAAACAAGAAACACACAATTTTGTGTTGGTGAAATCCCATTAATATGGGTAAAACAATGTCACAAACTGTCACAAACCACCCATGTAAGAAAATTGTTTATATATATATATATATATACATACATATATATACATACATATATATATATATATACCAGCCATGAAAATGGTGATTTGATGGTTTATGGCAATGTTTTACCCACATTACAGCATTTTTATGAATAAATTTCGATGGTGGACTTAAGGTAGTCTAGTGGTCCCCGATCGGTTTCTTTGAAAACACGCATAAACCATCATACACCCATAAGCAGCAAAACAACAAACCCTTGTCAACATGCTATGTAGTAAGCTGATCTGGCCAGATATTCTAACTGGATGTAAACGTCTAGGTGTGGCTCACTGACTAGGGAGATGCGAAAAATGAGAGGGCAACTTGTTCCGATATTGGATGTACTAGTAGTAAAGTGCATAATCGAGAAAATTGAGTAATTAAACTTAAAATGTCACTGCACACGGGAGAGGGGTCAGTTTCCCCTCTCCCCTGTGCACTCCTGAGCGCTCCGGACTGCACACCCTGTGCACTCCTGAGCGCTCCGGACTGCACACCACCTCACTGGTACTATCTTAAGAGCGGCTCTAAAAAAATCAAAGAGGGGCTGTGCAATCAAAAATCCATGGCCCAAGGATTGGTGGGGAGAGGCGGTGTGCACTCCTGAGCGCTCCGGAGTGCACAGGGAGAAGGGCAACTGACCCCTCTTCCGTGTGCAGTGGCTATCTTAAGAGCAGCTACATACCACCCTTGACTAATTTCAGCATTTTCTGCATGAAAAGGTTTGAGCAGTGGTGGATTTGATAGTGTGACACGAGGGTTGAACAATCATCGGCTTATTACGCCATAAGGTGTTGTGGGTATTATGATGGATTGTGTTTCCGGGGGAGTGGTCAGTATTCCCAGTAAAACAAAGTCCAACAATAAATCTCATAACAATGATTATTAAAACCCATGCTGTAAGCATGTCATGCCAATCCAATCCTTCTGGTACTATTGGACTATGTTAAGCACATCTCAGGGATTTTTGAAACAGGCAAGATTTTGATCGGAATGGTCCATTGAATGGGTGTTGAAGTTGTTGAAATGGAGATTTTTAGCATGTTAAATTCCATGAAATCCCATTAAACCTCTATTCAGCCACATCCCCCAATCCTTCCCACAGCGCACCACCCGCCTGCACCTCTCGCGCGTCGCCGCCCGACTCGGCTTCGCCCCAAGACACCACCCGGGCGTCGCCGCGCAGCGCGGCGAAGGCTGCGTAGGTGGCCTTGGTTTTGATTTGGTGATGGATACTGAGCCATCTTAATTACCGGAAAATCATGGGAACATCGCCTTGAAAGAATTTCGAATATAATGGCGCTGCAATAGAACAATCTTGAAGCTGACAATAGCTCACAACAACTGCAAGGTGTGGCCCCCGAACGTTAGCCAAGTTGTTCCACAGCTAGCAGAACAATCACCGACTTTAAAAATCGACTATTTGGGGACGATCCCCGTACCAACCACAGTTCACAGCGACGTCGCAGGGAGGTCGTATATAAAAAAGGGCCCAAACAAAATAGCAAAGAACAAAAGACATGTATGCTAACGGAATATGAACAAAACTATTCTTCGTATGAACAAAACAACATAGAAATTGATAATTTTTGTACCATTGTAAATGGATCAGTTTTCATGTTTTTTTTCCATGTTTTCCCCTATTCTACGCAGCTGCTTTTATCCAAAACCCGCTTTTGCCGAGGTGCCACGATCTGCTGGACCTCACGCAATTCTTCCTTGACACCTGGGAGGCAACGTTGCAGAACACGTTTTTTTTAATCATTGTTCCTATGCAAGTCTCAACGCTTCCCACAAAATATGATGGATTTCAAATGGCTAAACCATAAAAGCTTATATATATATATAATAATCCTGGAGTAGATAGAATCCAGTTTCGTAGGGGGCGTTTTTTTTTTGAAAAAAGCCAGGGTTTTTTGACCCAATACTAAACTATATATTCGGACCCCCTAGATAGAATATTCCAAAATCTACTCCAGGATTCTCAAAATGTTTTTTTTTCCTTTCCTTTTCAAAACCTTCCAATTTATTTTTTCTTTCAAATTTTCCTTTTCAAACAGCTGCAAAAAATGAACTTTGGATGGTAAGATCGTAGACGTAGATTCCTACTTTTTTCATGTCCTTTTCCTTTCACACTTTTCCCTGCAAAAATCTGTAATTGTGAACTTTGGATGGTAAGATCGTGGATTCCAGCTTTTCTCATGCCATGTTCCTTTCAAAGTTTGATTCCTGCTTTTCTCATGTCCTTTTCCTGTCACAGTTTTCCATTCAAAAACCTTCAATTATGAACTTTGGATGGTAAGATCGTGCATTCCAATTTGTTTCCTTCCATTTTCCTTCCAAGTTTCCTTTTCAAACAGCTGCGAGAATGAACTTTGGATGGTCAGATCAGCTATTCCTACTTTTCTCATGCACTCTTCCTTCCAAACACAGTTTTCCATTCAAAAACCTTCAATTATGAACTTTGGATGCTCGATCTTGGATTCCTACTTTTCTATACTTTTCTCATCTCCTTTTCCTTTCGCAGCTTTCTTTTCAAAAACATGCAAGACTGAACTTTGAATGGTAAGATCGTGGATTCCTTCTTTTCTCATCCCATTTTCCTTTCGTTGCTTCTTTTCAAAAACCTGCAATTTCAACTTTGGATGGTAAGATCTTGGATTCCTACTTTTTAGATGTCATTTTCCTTTTAAAGCTTGCTTTCAAACAGCTCCAAGAATGAACTTTGGATGAGTAGATGTGGAGGAAGGGGCAGGGAGCACCACCAATACATGCTTAATCTTAATCCCAAACATCCTTTAAAAAATCAGTATTTTCATGGTTCTAGAGGATATTCTATCTATAGTTTTGCCCAACTGTCCTAGCACAGTACTAGCACAAATGAACTTTGGATGGTCGATCTTGGATTCCTACTTTTCTGTACTTTTCTCATCTCCTTTTCCTTTCACGGCTTTCTATTCAAAAACCTGCAAGACTGAACTTTAAATGGTAAGATCGTGGATTCCTTCTTTTCTCATCCCATTTTCCTTTTGTGGTTTCTTTGCAAAACCTGCAATTTCAACTTTGGATGGTAAGATCTTGGATTCCTATTTTTTAATGCCATTTTCCTTTTAAAGCTTGCTTTCAAAAAGCTCCAAGAATGAACTTTGGATGGGTAGATGTGGAGGAAGGGGCAGGGAGCACCACAAATACATGCTTAATCCCAAACATCCTTTAAAAATTCAGTCTTTTCATGGTTCTAGAGGATATTCTATCTATAGTTTTGCCCAACTGTCCTAGCACAGTACTAGCACAAATGAACTTTGGATGGTCGATCTTGGATTCCTACTTTTCTGTACTTTTCTCATCTCCTTTTCCTTTCACGGCTTTCTATTCAAAAACCTGCAAGACTGAACTTTGAATGGTAAGATCGTGGATTTCTTCTTTTCTCATCCCATTTTCCTTTTGTTGCTTCTTTTCAAAAACCTGCAATTTCAACTTTGGATGGTAAGATCTTGGATTCCCACTTTTTAGATGCCATTTTCCTTTTAAAGTTTGCTTTCAAACAGCTCCAAGAATGAACTTTGGATGGGTAGATGTGGAGAAAGGGGCAGGGAGCACCACAAATACATGCTTAATCCCAAACATCCTTTAAAAATTCAGGGTCTTTTCATTGTTCTAGAGGATATTCTATCTATAGTTTTGCCCAACTGTCCTAGCACAGTACTAGCACAAATGAACTTTGGATGGTCGATCTTGGATTCCTACTTTTCTGTACTTTTCTCATCTCCTTTTCTTTTCACAGCTTTCTATTCAAAAACCTGCAAGACTGAACTTTGAATGGTAAGATCGTGGATTATTTCTTTTCTCATCCCATTTTCCTTTTGTGGTTTCTTTTCAAAAACCTGCAATTTCAACTTTGGATGGTAAGATCTTGGATTCCTACTTTTTAAATGCCATTTTCCTTTTAAAGTTTGCTTTCAAACAGCTGCAAGAATGAACTTTGGATGGGTAGATGTGGAGGAAGGGGCAGGGAACACCACAAATACATGCTCAACTCCAAGCATCCTTAAAAAATTCAGTCTTTTCATGGTTCTAGAGGATATTCTATCTATAGTTTTGCCCAACTGTCCTAGCACAGCACTAGCACAAATGAACTTTGGATGGTCGATCTTGGATTCCTTTTCTGTACTTTTCTCATCTCCTTTTCCTTTCGCAGCTTTCTTTTCAAAAACCTGCAAGATTGAACTTTGAATGGTAAGATCGTGGATTATTTCTTTTCTCATCCCATTTTCCTTTTGTGGTTTCTTTTCAAAAACCTGCAATTTCAACTTTGGATGGTGAGATCTCGGATTCCTATTTTTTTAATGCCATTTTCCTTTTAAAGTGTGCTTTCAAACAGCTCCAAGAATGAACTTTGGATGGGTAGATGTGGAGGAAGGGGCAGGGAGCACCACAAATACATGCTTAATTCCAAGCATCCTTTAACGATGCACTCTTTTCATGCTTCTAGAGGATATTCTATCTACAGTTTTGCCCAACTGTCCTAGCACATCACTAGCAAAAATGAACTTTGGATGGTCGATCTTGGATTCCTACTTTTCTGGACTTTTCTCATCTCCTTTTCCTTTCACAGCTTTCTATTCAAAAACCTGCAAGACTGATCTTTAAATGGTAAGATCGTGGATTCCTTCTTTTCTCATCCCATTTTCCTTTCGTGGTTTCTTTTCAAAACCTGCAATTTCAACTTTGGATGGTAAGATCTTGGATTCCTATTTTTTTAATGCCATTTTCCTTTTAAAGTGTGCTTTCAAACAGCTCCAAGAATGAACTTTGGATGGGTAGATGTGGAGGAAGGGGCAGGGAGCACCACAAATACATGCTTAATCCCAAACATCCTTAAAAAAATCAGTCTTTTCATGGTTCTAGAGGATATTCTATCTATAGTTTTGCCCAACTGTCCTAGCACAGTACTAGCACAAAATGAACTTTGGATGGTCGATCTTGGATTCCTGCTTTTCTATACTTTTCTCATCTCCTTTTCCTTTCACGGCTTTCTATTCAAAAACCTGCAAGACTGAACTTTGAATGGTAAGATCGTGGATTCCTTCTTTTCTCATCCCATTTTCTTTTTGTTGCTTCTTTTCAAAAACCTGCAATTTCAACTTTGGATGGTAAGATCTTGGATTCCTACTTTTTAGATGCCATTTTCCTTTTAAAGTTTGCTTTCAAACAGCTCCAAGAATGAACTTTGGATGGGTAGATGTGGAGGAAGGGGCAGGGAGCACCACAAATACATGCTTAATCCCAAACATCCTTTAAAAATTCAGTCTTTTCATGGTTCTAGAGGATATTCTATCTATAGTTTTGCCCAACTGTCCTAGCACAGTACTAGCACAAATGAACTTTGGATGGTCGATCTTGGATTCCTACTTTTCTGTACTTTTCTCATCTCCTTTTCCTTTCACGGCTTTCTATTCAAAAACCTGCAAGACTGAACTTTGAATGGTAAGATCGTGGATTTCTTCTTTTCTCATCCCATTTTCCTTTGGTTGCTTCTTCTCAAAAACCTGCAATTTCAACTTTGGATGGTAAGATCTTGGATTCCTACTTTTTAGATGCCATTTTCCTTTTAAAGTTGCTTTCAAACAGCTCCAAGAATGAACTTTGGATGGGTAGATGTGGAGGAAGGGGCAGGGAACACCACAAATACATGCTCAACTCCAAGCATCCTTTAAAAATTCAGTCTTTTCATGGTTCTAGAGGATATTCTATCTATAGTTTTGCCCAACTGTCCTAGCACAGCACTAGCAAAAATTGAACTTTGGATGTCGATCTTGGATTCCTACTTTTCTATACTTTTCTCATCTCCTTTTCCTTTCACAGGCTTCTTATTCAAAAACCTGCAAGACTGAACTTTGAATGGTAAGATCGTGGATTTTTCTTTTCTCATCCCATTTTCCTTTTGTTGCTTCTTTTCAAAAACCTGCAATTTCAACTTTGGATGGTAAGATCTTGGATTCCTACTTTTTTAATGCCATTTTCCTTTTAAAGTTGCTTTCAAACAGCTCCAAGAATGAACTTTGGATGGTCGATCTTGGATTCCTACTTTCTATACTTTTCTCATCTCCTTTTCCTTTCACAGCTTTCTATTCAAAAACCTGCAAGACTGAACTTTAAATGGTAAGATCGTGGATTCCTTCTTTTCTCATCCCATTTTCCTTTTGTGGTTTCTTTTCAAAACCTGCAATTTCAACTTTGGATGGTAAGATCTTGGATTCCTATTTTTTTAATGCCATTTTCCTTTTAAAGCTTGCTTTCAAACAGCTCCAAGAATGAACTTTGGATGGGTAGATGTGGAGGAAGGGGCAGGGAGCACCACAAATACATGCTTAATCCCAAACATCCTTTAAAAATTCAGTCTTTTCATGGTTCTAGAGGATATTCTATCTATAGTTTTGCCCAACTGTCCTAGCACAGTACTAGCACAAATGAACTTTGGATGGTCGATCTTGGATTCCTACTTTTCTGTACTTTTCTCATCTCCTTTTCCTTTCACGGCTTTCTATTCAAAAACCTGCAAGACTGAACATTGAATGGTAAGATCGTGGATTTCTTCTTTTCTCATCCCATTTTCCTTTTGTTGCTTCTTTTCAAAAACCTGCAATTTCAACTTTGGATGGTAAGATCCTGGATTCCTACTTTTTTAATGCCATTTTCCTTTTAAAGTTTGCTTTCAAACAGCTC